CATCATCATGTCCCTTAGGCTTAACGCCCGTTGGGGCCAACCATTTTATGGGATCAGATTTTTCCATACCTGTCGATCTTGGGCCAGGTGAAACAGCTCCTGCCCACTGAGTTGACACCACTCAGTTATGTCATCCAGCCACTCTCTGCATGGGCGCCCCCGTCGAGATTTTCCATCGATTTTTCCAAATAGTAGATGTTTTATCAATCTACCATCGTCCATTCTGCAGATGTGACCGAACAACCGCAGCTTCCTCTTTTTGATGGTGTCTATTATCGTCTTCTCTCTTGATATCCTTCTCCGAATATCTTCGTTTCGTATCATGTCCTGCCAGTTTATTCTTAGAATCCGTCGGTAACATTTCATTTCGAATACCAGTAACTTTTTCCTGTCTACTTCTTTTAAGGTCCATGTCTCTGAAGCGTATAGTAGGACACTGAAGACACAAGTATTTAGGATTTTCAATTTATTTTCTATCTTCAGTTTTTTGCTGTTCCAAAGGTGTTTTAAAGAAGCGAGTGCACCTGTCGCTTTTCCTATTCGCCTTTTGATTTCCTCTGAGCAGTTGTTATCCCAAGTGATTAAGCTGCCGAGGTATTCGAATTTATCTACATTCTCTATGGTGCCACCTGCTACTTGTATCTTAGTTTCGATATTCCTGTCTCCAAATACCATAGTTTTAGTTTTATTTATATTCACTATTAGTCCAGACTGTTCGGCTGCTGTTTTTGTTAGCTCAACTTGGCGTTGAAGTGAGCTGAGATCTTCATCAATGAGATCAATGTCATCTGCGAACCTTAGGTTGTTTATAAGTATTCCGCTGACATTAATTCCGCAGGTGTTCTGTCTCACCTGATCCATTACTCTTTCAAGATATACGATGAAGAGGAGTGGTGACAGAGGATCGCCTTGTCTTGTTCCTACGTCCGTTTGGAACCACTCGCCATAATCATTACCAATTCGAACAGCTGACTGTGATTTTTCATAGATATTTTGTAGCAGTGTGATTATTTTTGTATCAACACCATATGATTTTAGCGTAGCCCAAATTATTTTGTGTTTAATCGTATCGAATGCTTTTTGAAAATCAATAAAACAGTTATAGATTTTCTTTCCCTGTCTTTTTGCTTTCTCGGCTAATAGTCTGAGCATCAGAATCTGGTGTATCGTGCTTCTGTCTCTTCTAAATCCTGCCTGTTCTTCTGAAAGGTACGGATCTAGGTAGGCTTTTAGTCTGTTCATTAGGACAATTAGAAGCACTTTTCCTGTATGATTAATAAGAGAGATCGTTCGATAGTTAGAACAGTTGCTAAGATCTCCTTTTTTTGGTATGGGTATCAATATAGATTTGCCCCATTCCTCTGGAATTGTACCCTCATGCCATGCTTTGTTGCAGAGCTGATATATTTGACGTGCTAGTGGTTCTCCTCCAGCTTGTAGCATTTCTGCTGGAATTCCGTCTGATCCTGGACTCTTATTTTTTTTTAAAGCACTTATTGCTGTCTGGACTTCAGAATACAGGATGTCCTGGGTAGGTTCAACTGTCGAAGGGGCGATGTCTTCAAGTTCTTCGACCACCTCGTCTCCTCCACCAGGATCTTTATACAGACTGCTACAATACTGTGTCCATCTTCCTTTAATGTCATCTTTTGTCTGTAACAATGTGCCCTGCTGATCTCGTATCACATTGACTCGAGGTACAAATTCACTTTTCAATATTTTTAATAGGCTGTATGCTTCTCTAGTATTACCAATGTTTAGACCTTTTTCTGCTTGTTCGCATTGGTTTTGTATCCAGCGTTCTTTATCCTGTCTTGCAGATTTTTTGACTTTCCGACATGAGTCTTTATATTGCTGTGTATATTCTATGAAAACGTTTTTCATCTGTTTTAGTTTTCGTTTTTCATCAGCAAGCTTTAGTGTAGTTTCGGAAATCCAGGGTTTTTTAGTTTTCCTTTTTGCCGGTATCGCTATCTCTACTGCATTTTTAATGGCCTGTCTTATCTTGTTAGAATGCTCTTCCAAACTACATGTTGGTCCTATATCCTTTATGTTGTTCAATAATGTAGTGTTGTATGATTGTCTTATATTCTCATCTTTCAACTGATTTACATCAACTTTGTATGAGTGATTTGGCCTGTTCGACATTTTCTTGAGCCTTAGTTTGATATTGCATAAGACTAGCGAATGGTCTGAGCTTATGTCTGCACTCTGAAAAGTTCGACAGTTGATGATCGAAGTCTTCCATCTTCTTTGAATGAGAATTAGATCAATCATGTTTTTATGAATTCCATCTGGCGATGCCCAGGTCCATTTTCTATTAGGTTTCTGTTGAAACCTAGTATTACATATGTAGAGATCATGTGTAGTGGCAAATTCAAGGAGGCGTTCTCCGCGTTCGTTTCTATCGCCATATCCGTATTTGCCCATAACTGATTTCCAATCTGCATTGTCCGTACCAATTTTAGCGTTCCAATCTCCTGTCATAATGATTATATCTTTTTTATCTGTCTTTGATATTACTTTTTCAATATCGCTATAGAATGCTTCAATGTCCTCTTCTGATGATGCAGAAGTTGGTGCATATACATGTATGACTGTTATCTTAAATGGTGTAGCATCAAATCGCGCCGAAATTATTCGTGGACTGATTGGATTATATCCTATTAATGCTTTTTTTGCTTGTGCACTCAATAAGAAACCGACACCCCTCATATGTACAGTTTCTTCTCCTGACCAGATGAAATCTCCATTCGGTGTTTCACCTTTTCCTGTCCATCGCACTTCAGAAATACCAATTATATCATATGTGAAACGTTTCATTTCGTTTCGCAATAATTCCAATTTTCCAGCAGCCCATAGGGTCTGCACATTCCATGTTCCAACTGTCAAAGAATTTTTGGCAAGAGTTAGCCTTTGCGTGTTTTTCGTCGTATAGCTCGTATGTGTGTTCCTTCCAGTCGCCAACTTATCGACTCTGCCCTGGTCACTCAGCAGAGGACGCGGACCTTGTTCACCCGGGCGCCGTCCGAGCCGGTATGAATTTCCTCTGAAAACGTTCATGGTTGGTTTCTGTCGTCTTGTTCTTTTTACAGACGGCGGTATCTGCACCCCTTCCGTCCAACACTCCTCCTTTATCCGGACTTGTGACCGGCATAGAGTCCACAATTAGTGGTCTCCATGGTGGAGTTTTAAAATCGTATATAGTTTTAGAAAGAAAATTCTGTTAGATAGTTTTGTACAATGGCCCAAGGATATCTATACCCTAGACTCGATAATATCTTGGATGGGAACAATGATGAAACGGATGACAACGAAAGTAAACTATGATTGACTATTTTATAATGAATCAAATCACTTTTATTGATTAAATCCATAGATATGGATAGAGAAATCGTAGACCCTTCCTTTGGTGCAGAAGGTACTGACGAAGTCGTAACGCGAGTAAGATTTGCTGCTTACCGATCCATTTTATTTCCATTTAAAACATCTCATTCAGGGTGTACCTTTCAACACAATCGTTCCGGATAATATACGACCAGCAGCCATGAGAGATATGGAGCAAGTTCGAAGTCATAACTGTGCTTTTATGATTGAAGTAAGAAGTCTGTTATACTCGGTTTATAAATTCTCTCTTTTCGATATTAGCCATTTAAATTTGATCCAACATATCCTGAGGGTGCACCTGTTCCTCTTCGAAACAACTTTCAATGTGGTAAACGCGGAGAAATAGATCATGTGCACATGCCATGTTCACGATACAATCTTACTGTTAGTTGTCATCGTGTTCACTGATTGTAAATATAAATAGGAAATGAACTGATCTATAGAGAAAGAAAGAATTGGTATGGCATATCATTCACAAAGCATTGATGAACTTAAAACAGATGTGCGATACTCATACGGCGACTATAGAGGAACTGAAAGTAATTAGACATCTATTTTCGATTTAATCTACTGAAGAATGTTTTCATCGCATAGGAAACTATTCGAAATTGTACTCGACAAGAACATGAATTTAGCACATTGGAAAAACTAATCAACGATGTAAATTATTTCCATGCATTCCTATGATTAGACTCTGTTAATTTATTTACAGATTTATTCGAATGAACAGCGAGCATATTTTATGTCGACGATCCTGCCGAATATGTGTAATCTTGCTTTGAATGTTGATAAAATATGTCCTCAAGTAATAGCTGGTTTTGTGTTCGTTTTCATCTGTGAGTCGATTTGAATGTTAGCCACCTCCATTGTTGCGTGTCGGATCGAATGCTTCTGTTACGTTATCACAACAACAAGCGGCTGCATTATTGGCTTGTGGATTCTTTTGCCTATTCCCGAATCGATCCTACGGTGATGGAAAGTATAAATTTAAGAGATTTCCAAATCCAAATTTTGATCGGTAGATAAAACTCGACTGTTTTCTTTTCTGTTTTTTGTTCATAATATTTCTATGTTACAGATTGTATAGATCCGGTCATCCGAAGAAAGTAGAGAAATTAAAATGTATTCTCCACTATTTTCAACGAATTACCGAGAAAAGTTTGTAGAAAATCTTGCTTTCTAAGTTATGTACTGTCATCTTGTGTACTTATATCAACCTAACATTCAGAGCCCAATGGTGTGATTACTATTCAGCGGTCTGCCTTGCCGTTAAATAGAATTCCGGTATGGGAAAGACAGACAACAAATTTATGTGATTTACATCTAACAACAGGCTTAAGAATTGAAGACATGCAGAGCACTTTACAAGTAATTTGAATAAATTCGAAGTATTGAAAAAAAGAAAGAATAGATCACTTTAGGTTGATTTTGCTAACGCATATATCGTAAGTCGTGATGTTTTCGACGCATATTTCTAGTAAGAAATGCTATGAATGTTTAGGGTGGTGGGGTACTAAGAGGTGGTTGTGTTCAAGAAGAGATTCGCTTTGCTATTTGTCCCGAGATGCTTGTCAGCTTACTCCTTTGTGAGAAAATGGAGAAGAACGAATGTGTTTATCTGATCGGATGCGAACGATACTCATTATACAAAGGGTATTCGAACACATTCGAATTTGCTGGTGACTACCGAGACGAGACACCGAAGTAATAGATTTCTGTATATGTCTTGAGATGCTCTATTTATGTGATGTATTTGTAGAGATAATTGGGGTCGAAGATCGTGTTACTTAGTTGCTATGGACGCAATATACTTTAGTGACAAAGGTAAACAGTATGACATGGGATGTGCTGAACGTGAACTACTCAAAGCTTATGTCAGCTTCCGACAAGAGGGATATGAGTTACTTCGTCACGATGCTATTACAACTGGCAATTGGGGTTGTGGTGCATTCAATGGTGATCGAGAACTAAAAGGTGGGTAGGAAGAGAAATACTTTAAGTTTATGGTTGTGTCATTTTCTACTTGAACTCTAGCGATTATTCAATGGATGGCAGCATCTGAAGCTCGATGTTCGCTTATCTATGCGGCCTATCGTGATACAAGACTCATTGATTCATTGGGCGTAGTTTATGATTATTTGAGAGATCAACAGGCAAACGTAGGATACTTGTATAAATATCTTCGAGAATATTTTACGCAAACTAAATGCGGAACATTATTTGAGTATATTTTAAATACGCCCGTTTCATCTTTGAAGTGATTTTGCTCTTTTTTATGGATAACTATTCAAGAAATGAATCAAAACCAATCATATTTTTACAATATTTTCTTTTAATCATCAATAAAACATAGATGTTCATTTTCAGCAAACGTACTTGCTCCATATATTCTGGCCTTGCTTCTTTGCGCAAGCAGGATATGCTTGCTCTCTATGTAAATATTTGTCTTTCCCGCGAAACATAACAAAGAATGAGTCGATTCTCTTTCTTCCGTTTGTCTTTTTCTTTTTTCGAAAAAAGTCTTCTATTCGTAGAGAAGTAGTAAAACTTGTCGATCTTATACTGCTTCATAAAAAGTCACTGTTTCGCTACTAACGTCTGCTTCATTCGTGTTATTTTCTCATTCAGTAGCAGACATTTTATTATGGCTGATGATGCGACTCGTGAACGACGCAGAGAACGAAGGACGAGACCTCGTAATGATGCCACTAGTAGGTGACACTCATGTTTGTTCGTAGATCTTAAAATATTCATACTTTTTGAATAGATGCGGACACGAGTTCTCATTTTCCCAATGCTGAAGCATTACAAGTATTTCCGTGTAGTGTTAGAATTTATTCTCGAACACATTTGTAATTCAGACGGCGTCATTCGATCACATTGTTAACATGTGTCCCAATCCTCCTGAGATGAAGGACATGGAACATATGACCAATGCAAAATGTATATTCATGATTTTAGTAAGTATCGGTAGATATTCAGAAATGTCTGTTGTTATACTCGAATAGCCATTCAAATATGACTCATCTCGATCCAATGATAAACCAAAGCCAAAGCGTGATGCGCGTGGCTATCGTGATATATGGGATGCACAACATGTGCGTATGCCGTGTTCGCCTAAAAATAGCATTGTAAGTTTAAATTGGTTCCTTTTTATTGTGACATGGGCGGGAAAATATTCGATAGGAAAAATATGGATCGATCTGGAATGGTATCTGTGAACAGTTGCATTATCTTCAACGTCTCTGCAAGGAGGGCACCGCTAGTTTTAGAGATTTGAAAGTAAATAGTGATAGTTTGAACATTGGTATTAAAATAAGCGGAATATTTGTATCAGATAACGATTGAAAAGTGTGCTGGACGTCAATATAACATGGATTGCTTGGATATACTCATCAATCGAGTAAATATTTCCCTTCGAAAGAAATCTTTCACATCGAAAGTAAAAATAGGAATATCAACATGTTGAACGACAGGAATTTTTGTCATTGGTTCTACCCAATATCTGCAATCTTGCATTGACTGTAGATAAAGTTTTTGGCGAGGTAAGTTCTGCACTTTTGCACGTTATCCTTGCAGAAGACGACATGGTTTAGCCACCTCCTCTATTACGAATCGGAGCGGATAGTTCGTTGACAATGTCACAAAGGCAAGCTGCATCGCTACTGGCTTGTTCATTCTTCTGTTTGTTCCCATACCGTTCAGATAATGTTAATGAACAAATCGACGAATATAAATATTTTCAAAACCCAAATTTCAATAGGTAAAAATAAGTAGCATGTATTACAATTTGTCGTGACTGATCTTTAAAAGGTTGTATAACAAGGGAGCACAACACAAGATCGAAAAACTCAAATGTATTCTGAATTATTTTCGACGTATAACAAATCAAAGTACTATTCACCTTATTGTACGTTCACCTATTGTACTACCTAAATTTAGTGCCAAATGGTGTAATTAGTTTCCGACGATGTATATTACCTAAGATGTCTTGTCCAAACTGGTCTGCATCTCAAGCGAAGCTCTCTCAAATGCATTTAACAATGGACAAAAAGATCGAAGATATCGAAGGTGTTTTACATGTTGATTTCGCGAATGAATATATTGTAAGTAGAGGAACTACAATTGAATTTGATTGTGTGCAAGTATAATAGGGTGGAGGTGTTTTAAGAAGTGGATGTGTTCAAGAAGAAATTCTATTCAGCATTTGTCCTGAAATGCTCGTTTCTTTGCTTGTTTGTGAAAAAATGACTGATGATGAATGTATATTCTTGATTGGCTGCGAACGTTTTTCACAGTACAAAGGTTATGGCGATTCATTTCAATTTGCTGAAGACTACACTGATAATACGCCTAGGTGAAAGACTTTTGCCTCCGATTACGGCAATGTTTTACATCTGCAATATGATTCTAGAGATAATTGGGGTCGAAAATGGAGTCACGTAGTTGCTATGGATGCATTGTATTTTGATAAACCGGAAGTACAATACGCAATGCAGTATATTGATCGTGAATTAATCAAAGCATTCACAAGTTTTCGCACACGGAAAACAAGTAACAAACCAGATATTGTATTTGGTATTGCCACTGGAAACTGGGGCTGTGGTGTATTCAATGGTGACCGGCAACTAAAAGGTAAGGCATCATTCCATCTCGAATGGGACTTTTGTTTGAAGCATATTCTTCTTCCAGCAATTATTCAATTAATGGCAGCTTCACAAGCTCAACGTCCACTTATCTATGCCACATTTCATGATACAAATCTAGCGGAATCTTTCTCAGAAGTCTACAATTATTTAGTACATCAGCGAGCCACAGTCGCAGATTTATATCGATATCTTGAATGTTACTCGCAACGAAACAAGCAAGAAAATTTGTTTGAGTTTATTCTTCGTAAACCAATCGAATCTCTAAACTAATTCATACTCGAAATGGTCGTTCTTTATTGAATAAAAAAAATCAACATTTCTAGAGCACATGAATTTGTCTGCACATAGCGTTATTCTTCGGAGTAAATGTATAGTCATGACCAAGAAAATGACGTGTACGATTTCCAAACCATCGGAACGCTTTCGTGCGTTTTATTGAATAAAAGTTCTCCACATTGTCACTGAAATGTTCAATGTTGACTTTTATCGATCACGCTTATACAACTGCTTTTACTCACTAAATTTCTGTGGGTTGGATACTCATTTGCATGCACACTTTAATTGGTGTATCTGCGTAGTCTACATCGGTTGTATAGTCCACCACAGCATTCGTACTGATAGTGACATTGATGCCGGTAACAACAAAATCATTCAAAACATCGACATGACTGCGAACACTCAATCCAGAACTGAAAGAAACGCACCGAAGGAATCATCTGTTTTTCTCATAGTTTGCAATCATAATACGAACCTAACTCGAATAACTGAGTGTGAATTCTTATTCCAAAGACTAGCAGAAACCATACCAGACAAATCTAACGATGCAGCGCTCTGTGCTTCGTAATGAACAACGAGTCCATTATGAAGATGAATATAACGTGATAAGTCATGTACCATGATATTACTCTAAATTAAGGATACACACCCTCATTTCGAAACATTCGCTTATTCTATCTTACTTTAAATGCAGATGTTAGCTCCGATGGTGCGCTCCACACGGCAGACATTAATCCGGTCACTCCATTAAATAGTACAACAGGTTTCAATTGCATATTTAATAATGTTACTCGTAATTCTGCTTGAAGATCTTCATCTGGTGTGTCACTTGCTTTACCATCGTCACTCACATACGAATCAAGCCCGGATGCGCTAACACCAAACTAGACCATTGAATAAAATCGTAAATTCTCACTCGGCGAATTATATTTTGTACTGCAACTTACGGACAATAGATTGAATCTGTCTTTTTTTTCGTATTGTTGAATATGCAGATCGAAATCACTCTCACGTAACGCACCGAGTCGACTCATTAATTGTGAAATAGTGTAATAGACTCCAAAGCCAAAGGTTTGCATAAATGGTCGACGATAATAATCCGATTGACCTTTATAAGCAATTCGATCGTATGTCAAATCAATCAAACCGCCGTCATAGATAAACTTGATTTTTCGACTAAAATCCAAGAGAAAAATAAAAAGATTCTCGATGCATTGATAAAATTTACAATAGCAAATCATCATTTTCAGCCATGGTTGTGATTAAACGCCACATATAAACACCTAATTGATGATTTGTTCTATCAAGTGCTGAGAGCTAGAACGAAACAAATGACTAAGATTCGATCTTCGTTCATTAAATCATTTTACCATCAAGTTAACCAAATCGCCAAGCGAGATATCCGTTCGAAGTAAAAGTTGTCCACAGAGTTGACGAATTTGTATGCTTGTTTTCGGTCGACCCTTTTGTTCGTGATAAATTGCACGAAGAATGGTGATAATTTCGCTTGAAAACCGTTCAGGTTGGTACTGTGTCAAGGCGTTGAGTGCCAACCAGCACAGATTTGTGTCATTACACCGACGAATCTCATCAACAAGTATTGTTTCGTATATTTCTAGTTTAGCATTGTACAACGAAAGATAAACTAACGGTTTTTTCTTCGTATTATGAAGCAACGTTGTATATTTTTCGATCGCCTAGATATTATGAAATATTTCATTGCAAAATCTTATTCTCAGCAAAGGTACTTACACTAGATTTTCTATTTGAATCGTACAGTCGATGAACGATAGCACCCAATGCTAAGTAGGAGCTTTGTTCAAGTTGACTATTGATGGCAGCAAATTTCGGTAATCGTTCCTAAATAGAACTTTGTAGATATGTTTTAAAAAGTAAAATCTTGTTCTATACCAGAAGTTTTTCGAGCAGTATATCGGACGGTCTTGGTGCAAAAGCGCTTGCCATTAGAAACGATTCGATTAATTCCACTTTATTCTTTGAACTCATCGAATTATCCAAATATTTCACAACAGCATTCAATGATCCTGGTGTTTGTGCAGCTACAAATGCCTCGATCAGTGTAGATCTACGACAAATCGTGAGATCATTTTCCTTATTCAATAAAAATTTACCGAATGGAATTCGCCGCTTTATCGAGTATTTTGCTTAGCGTTACTTCGCTTTGCCGTCGCGTCAAAGCAATCAAGTGTAGAAATGTGTTGCTTGCATGCCGATCACCAACAACTGATCGCATCAATTGTTTTTCATGATCTCGAATAAAGACATCAAACTGAAAAGAAAGAAGCTAGGAAAATCAAACACCCAATAAAGAAATTCATCGATATCTCTTACCTTTTCACAGTATTCATCACATGGATGAATTTGCTTTTCCGTTTCCAATGGATGATATTGTTCTGATGTAATGCCTAAAGAATGTTGTTTTCTATGAAACATTTTCTCGGGTAATAGATTTACTTAGAACAGATTTTAATGCGGCATCAATACTCGAAAATAATTGATGTTTATCGTTAGTGAGTTTTTCGCTAAGATCAACACTTAATCTAATACAAAAGAAGAAGATAAATACGAACTGAAGACGAATGATTACTTACCGTGACATGATACGAAATCCAGCGACTTCTGGAATGACTAATCTGGGGAAAGCCATATCCGAGCACGAACCAGATTTGAGTGTTGAATTATCAAATGTATACACACATGTTGATTGGAAGTCAATTGAATAGTTCAATGCCTAAACAACCAAATCGATAGAAATCGTCTCAGCAATAGTCCTTTGATCATACGTGTTTCGCACTACTATATTCATCATTGTATTTCACATTTGAACATTCAGCTTTGTCTTTGACAAGACGATCTTCATAAATGCGATATTCTGTCTTACATTTTCCTAGTGTGTCGATTTCCGAGGCATTGTCTTGTTTGTATTGAAACAAAGAGATGATTCCTTTTTTCAAATTAATTGCTGCTAGATTGTCGTTTTCGTTGAAATACGACGAAGATACAATTCCTTGGTCCCAAAGAAACATGGCGGGATAACGAGTAAGAGTGCTCAATGCTAAACAGTCAATCATACTATGAGAATTCGTTCGATTGAGAAATCGAGCATCTTTCAACTACATAACGAAAGAAAATGAACAGAATTTGATTCCAATCAAATGATTTACTTCGATTTTTAATAAATGTTGTTCGCCATTTGCACTTCGCCAAGTACTGCTGACATTCAGCCGAGCATACAAATGAAATGCAGCATCGGAATTGCGTTTTATATGACTTTCTTGTGAACCATCCCAAATCTTATGATCGATATGAATATCCGTCGCATAATGATAAATATAATCAACATTTGATTGGAATCCATAAGATCGACTAATGGTCTCATTCTTTTTCTCTATTGATCAAAAAACAAGATTTAGTTTTTTTTTCTCAACCGAATAAATTATTCTCTATATACCTGTACTGGATGAATAGGCTAGTGGAAACAACAAACCAAATAGGATGATCAATATCATCTTCGTGGTGAACTAGAAAGAGTGATCAGCAGAATGGCGAATGTTAGAAGAAAGAAATTATTCTTCGCTTTTCTTTTCCTTTTCTCTTGTATATATGTAGAGATATAGATGAGTAGAACGCGCGTGTATTTATGATGGTCCTAGTTGATATTCGATGGATGTAAGCGGTGGCGATAGTACATATCTCAGCCAATGTATGCAAGCCAGCGATCATAAGTTATAACGGGCAACAGAAAAAAAAGAGGAGAGAAGAGAAAAACAGAACAGGATGAGTTATTTCTATAACGAAGAAATAAAAGAAGATTTGGGAAAGGAAAGGAAGAATGACCCGAACATATGAAAGAATAGAATTTATTAAGATAAGTTCGCCCTTCGAACGAATAGACTCGATGGTCAATTGATAACGAAAAGAAATGTTTTCACGCGAACTGTACGATAGATTGTTTAATTGAAATTCGTATCAAGAAGTTTGTGTTACTGTAGTTGTTAATTGGCATCTGGAAGGGCTTTAATCGTGTTGTCGAATATCAAGCTGCAATAGTTCTTTTCCTCGATATCATACACAGCTGAGTGTTGAAATCTAGAGACTTATCATATTCTATCAATACAAAATAAACTCGTATAGAGTACTATTTTTTACATAAACTTCACTCCTTTGTTTCAAATAATCATTTAGATATTGATTCAACAAGTTATGGAGCATATATCCCGTAGTTGATATATCGTGAAAGACAAATCTTAGAATGTACTACTGGCAAATTGACTTCAGAGTCTTTTCTTCTTTTTCTTAAAGGTAATTTCATGAAGGACAATATATTTTACGATGGCAGAATACAGCTAGTATATATATAAAGAAGCAATCTGAATACTAAAACTTTTGTCAGAAAAAAAGAGTTATTTTATGACATAATGGTATGATATAGTGGTGAGTCAAATCATAAACTAGTGAAGGTGATCGTCGTTGTCGTTTTTCTTTCATTATCTTATACTTGGAAAAAGAATTGTTACAAACAACCACAAAACGAAAGTTGCTTGTTGCCATTATATACTTGAATAATGCAATTACCACGCAAATTAGTTCTTGCTGGAGTTATTCTTGGCATTATTCCAATTGCACTGGGTATTGTGGGACTCGTCACTAAACATTGGCATCGGTATAACAACGTACAATATAATCTTTTCGATGTTAACAATGCTAATGCTGGCGATACTATTGATTTTGGACTTTGTTTTAAACCTCCCAAGCAGAGTGCAATTCAAGGTTTGGAAATAGGTGGCGTCGCTGCTATTGGCGTTGGCATTATAGCTACCGTTGTCCTGCACACGATAGTTAAAAATCGCTGGCTTCGATTACTACCGCAAATTCTACTAATTCTTGGACCAAGTGCTATAGTCATTGGTCTTCTTCTGTTTCAAGAGTGTGTTACGGAGGCGGGTTTCGGATGGAGTTTCATATTAATGATCGCTGCTGGTATTAGTGGATATATTGTAGCTATTTATTTAGCAGTGGTTACTGCTTGTGGCAATCACCCATATCATAATCGTACTAGTTCAACTATTATTGTTCGAGAATCAGTTCGATTTTAGTTTTTCTCGATTAGCTTCGTTTTTTTCTTCAAACTTTTCGACTAATTTTATTATCTAATGTTATGCTTATAACAGAATATCTAACAAAATAGCAATAGACTACTATTAACATTTTTAATATCTGTTTTAAACAAAATTTTGTTCCGTATTTCGATCTTTGTTAAAAATCTGCAACAATTGAATAAAGAAGAAGCAATTCTATATTGATTTATGTGTGGATAATATTTGATAAGCATCCAGATAGAGAAAGTTCTGTTCTGGATCGTTCAAATAATATTTTGCCCAGTGCAACAGAATAGTTTGATCATCTGTTAGTTAACTTCTTGCAATAAGTCTACATAATTTATGAAAGATAAATAGGAAAGAGTGTTTCTACAAATCGGCATCTGCTATTCTAATTTCTCTACTTTGAGGACTATATATGAACTCAATAATATTTTTATTTCTTCATTCATTATGTCATAACTGACAAGAATAATAAATCGTTGATTTTTATGAATGTTTTTTCTTTGAACTTTTACTGTACGGTTTATTTGTGGATTTTGGTTTGTTAAAAATGCACTACTATCAAAAGTTTGCAGTTATCGGTCTTATCCTTGGTGTAATTCCTGTGATTTTGGGTATCGTTGGTTTAACAACGTTATCATGGATCAGTATCACATACGATGAATCATTATCAACACCGGTTACCTACGATCTTTTTCGTCGATGTCGGAACGGAACAAACGAATGTGACACTGTTCCATCTTTTCGTATTTCTCAATATTTAGAGATCACCGGTTATGCTGTCTTAGCCATGGGTATTATTCTTAGTGTGATATTCACCGGATTTGTTGATAAACGCTCGATTCATTTTCTTACGCCGATTGTTATCATTCTCGGAGTATTTTCGATGATAATTGGATTTATTTTTTACATCGAAAGTATCTTCGAGATGAACCCCAATAGTCCCATCCTAAAAGTGAATTTCGGATATAGCTTAATACTTATGCTATCAACGGGTGCTCTTGGATGTTTACTGGCAGTTTACTTTTCCTTCACTGCTGGTTATATTCAACGGCATATACTCTCCAATGTCAATATTTATTAAAAACAGTTCACACAGATGGAAAGTATTTGAACAAATGATGATTTATGTATGAAAAATTTGAGAAGAAAACAAACTATCAGCAGTATCTGTCGCATTATCTTTTTTGAAAAGATTATAAATCTTCGTTAGCAGATTGAAAACTTTGTTTTGTTTTATTTATTTATATCGCGAGTTACTATAATAAAACCTATCTGTAAATCTAAAGTATTCTATTTATTGCCGAGAGAAATGTATTTATAATGGTCGGTGAAATTTATCATCAGTATCAAATCACTTCTGCCTACTTGTAACATTATTCGACATTTAACGAACTCACTGAATATCAGTAGCAATGACCAATAATAAATTCATTGTGATTATTATTAGTGCTGCTATTGGTCTTATTCCAATTATTCTTGGTATTGTTGCTCTCGTAACACCAGAATGGATTGTAGTAAATTTAGTCGGTGAAAGAGCGAGTACTGTGTATGGTCTTTTTCAACGATGTGCTAGTATCGAGACTGAAACCGGTAGCACTACAAGCTGTGTGGATATTAAATCTGCATTTCAGACAGTTGAAGGTTTACAAATAGCTGGCGTGGTTATCCTAGCCGTAGGCGTTGTCATTGCTATTATCATCAAACAGTTTTCACCAAAGTACATTTTGAATCTATTCACACCCCTATTACCATTGATTGGCTCTGTTCTTATTCTCGTTGGTTCTCTTCTGTTTGCTAAATATGTTATCGAACACTATAGTAACAACTTTATCGATGTCACAATTGGTTACAGTATGGTTTTAATGGTTATCGCCTGTATTTGTGGCTTTGTCGTAACTGCTCTATTCGCTTTCGATACAGGTTACAACTATGGTAATAGTCGCAGCACTGTTAATTTTGGATAGTTTATTATTCATATTCACAAAAACACTATTTTCATGACAGAAATTCGTTTATCAAAAACTTTTACACATATCAGCAACATTCTTCCATGATACACCAGATGCAAAAACCTGCCACACAACCGTAAATCCTAAATTACAGGTGTGATTAGTTCAGACAAAAAAAGGACAAATAAATGCTTACAGATGAAAATATGAACCACCTCCGCCACGAATACCTGTAGGTGCTATTCGAAAACCAGATTGTTGATATGACGAAGAGGAAACTATGCTCGTGGGCTGTGTTCGAGTCACTTTTCTATCTTGTCTTTCCATTGCGGTTCTCCTATGAAAAAAGTAACAAATCTCTGTTCTGTTCTGTTTTCTCAAGGACAAGACGAGTAGCTATTAGTAAATCCTCATGCATATCATGACAAGCAAGGTTAGTTATATGAATAGGAACGGGCAAATTATACCTTTTGTTGCAATAATTAAAAAACAATATCGAAAAAAGTTTTTTCTAGAAAAAAGAATCATCACGACAAACAACTATAGATATTTTCCACAACAAGTTGACTTTGATAGAAACAAATATTGCAGTAGACTGTTTCACACGACAAGAAAAGAAAAAGATTTCGTAAAAAAATATTCATAGATATAAGAATAATTGCGTTAGTCATGACTTGAAAAACAAACATTCGGTTCGATTCACTAAAATATTCTTCTCATTCGTTTCCATCAGCACTGGACGTCGTTGGAATACGTGTATCATAGCATGCGCCGACATATAATTTGGCCATGTCAGCAACAAGTGATTTATCAGGTACCTTTTGACTAGTACCGTAAATCACAGCCTAGAATAGAGAATGTGATGTGCTGACATTATTGAATAGAAGAAGTTTACATACAGTAGGTGTATCGTTCTTATTATCTGATCGGAGAATGTCTGCAACACATTCTCGTGTATCATCAAGTAGTTTTTCTACAAAGCCTGGCTGAGTATGAACTTGAGTTACGGCAATATGTAAACTAGAACAAAATTTATGCGTTTCAAAACTATTTTTTGATGAGTAATCTATTGACGAACCCAGGTGGATTTTGTAGACCATTCAAATGCCATCCTTTGGCGATTAGTGCATCAATCAAGTAGTAAATATTGAATTTATCCGAACCAATCGCAACAACACTTACATCCGGGTGATGTAAAAGATAAAGGCCATCAATTTTACTCCAGCTAAAAGAGACATAAATCAACAGACGTCTGGTCTGTAGCAAAAGAATCAATTCATCATACCCATCAGCAATGGCTCGTGTAACTTGAATAATCTTTTTAGTTTCTCGAACATAACCTTCATGGCCATAATACATAAGTGTCGCCCAACAACATGCGATTAAAAAGCCTGAACGACTGCCAGCAATCGATGGAGAAGCATAGATACCACCTGGCCAATCAGAAAGAGCATAGAATTGATGTGCACGAATTTCCGGTGTTCGATATAGAATAACTGATGCTCCTTTTGGTGTAAAACCATACTGAAATATCATGTGTACATTAAATACTCGATTTTGTCAGCGAGAAAAACAAACTATACTTTATGCGTATCACAGCTGATACTGGTTACACCCGGTACGCGAAAATCGAATGGTTTTAATGGAAAACCAGCTTCCTCCATAAATGCAATAAGGAAACCACCCAGACATCCGTCAACATGCAATGGAATATTATATTCCAAAGCAAGCTATAAAGATTCATGAAAAGAAAAGTTAACAGAGTTCGATCCGTTTACTTTGGAAATTTCTTCGACTGGATCGATAGCACCATGTGGAAAGTTTGGTGCCGATGCAACAAGCTATTATTTAAAAAATTAATTCGAATGCTCTCTTTCAAATCGGATGGATTTACCATGCACGTATTTCGGGAAATCGCTCGACGCATTTTCTTCACATCAACTTCGAGTGTCTTCGGATCAACAGGAATACGTGTCAGTTTGATTTTGAAATAAGCGCAAGCCTACAAGAATCGAGTGTAATTATCAAAGAATATAGCTGGACATACTTTGTTGAACGCTGGATGAGCTGTTTCAGGCATGATACTAGAAGATGAAGATAGAATAGAACTCATATGTTGAATGTTTATTTATACGATCAAATATCAGTTTCGTCTAATCTTACGACAAATGTGTGTGAAGAATAGGACAAACTATACGATAATTTCTATTGCTTCAGTTTACATGTGGCAACCATTGATAATTGTGATATTGACTTCTGCCTTTCATTGAAAACAAAGAGAAAGGTGAAAAATCCAACGAAATGCAATCATATTGATTCTTCGGTAAGTATGCTCGATATTTTTTATCGTGAAATCAATTGAACTCGACATTATTGTATGGGGAAAAGGAGGAAAAGGTATAAGTGTACTTTTTTTTTATAAAGATAACCTTGACAACAAATGGAATCCATTTTGATTTGACAAAATCAATTGAATCGTGCAAAATCTTCATTTACATTCCTGACAATTTCTCATGAAATCAATGTCCCTTGTGAAAGTCGTTCTTTCGTATTCATCGAGTTAATCAAGAGTTCATCGTTTACGCTTTGACACGATGTTCTTAGGTCTCCTCTCCTCTTTACTTCGTTTGATTAAAGTTGAAATAATTGTTCTTTTCTCTCGTCAATTTTCTTCTTCTTCTTCTGCTTCTTGCCTGGGCTTTCGTGACCGGCAGACACAAATAATAGACACAAACATTTAACGACACACACATTTGATGTTGACAAAGCCCAATAGCCATTTATGTCCATACGCGTGTGCATGCACATAAGTCTGATTGATTGAAGCAACATCTATATACGTAACCTCTTTCGATTTTTTTCAAGGTATTCTTTTCTTTGCGCTCTATTTTATATGCGCTCGTTTTAGCGAGATGTATATGTATAGAAAGAAATGAAAGATTCAATAAAAAACAGAAAGAATAGATGTTAAATATTCTCTTATTGCTTCGTTTTCTTGAATAAGAGAGAAAGCAATAGAAGCCACTTCATTGCTGCCTGACTGCATGGCATTCTTGAGTGTCCGGTCGTTCTCACCAGGGAGTCGTCTTTCGNAGAAAAATTCATCATCATCGGTTCTTTCTCTTTTATATGTGTAACGGAAGCACGCTCCAATTCGAAGTTTCTCTTTTCTCTTCTTTTTGTATTCTATGTCAAGACCAGATACGTATTGCACGAATGAAAATTCTGCCAGCGGAAATAAATGTATGTATGTTTAATTGCAGTCTTGTTAGCTGTTACTGACTGTGTGACTGTATCTTGTCAAGGAAAAAGATCTCTCTCACATTCACATAGTTATTCGCACATGATAAATGTTCCAGTAGTGTGAAACAGAAACATTGGCATCTTTCTCGTTTTAATTCCGCTTGAGTCAGTCATATTAGAATGATGAATAAGATAGAACAAGTTCCGGAGAGATTTCATGTGCCGAATGCGTGTTATGTTACATTTAATCGATCTTACAAACACGTAAGCAAGTCACTTTCATCTTTCTGTAACAAACATATTTCGCAATGCAAAATCACAGACCGATCAAGTCGACTAATATCACCCCTAATCAGATTTGAGAGTACCTTGTTCATTGAATCTTAGACGTTTTCTTTTGACAGTAATTCTCGTCGGCGTATTTACATATGTAACTTTTTATTTATTTTAATGTCAACTATGAAGAGGAATCTATAATGGAGTACACTTAAGATTTTTTTTCTCGCATCCCTTCAAGTACTTGTCGAGAAAGACACTCGGAAACTCTCATCTACACAATATATCTGTTGAAATATTGAATGACTATCTCTCATGTAATCGTTCACTTTCTTCTCTGCTCTCGTCATTACTTATTAATTACGTTCATATAGATATGAATCGCAGAACTTCAATGCATGCTATCGTCATCGGCTGATTTATGTCGATTAATCTTTTGATATATTTTGACAACATAACAATGGAAGTATGGTTTCCCTCGTTTCTCCTTGCTTGTCTTTATGTCTCTTCTTTGCCGTCTGCTTCTATCATAATTCAAAATTAGATGCTGCTTCCTTCTGTCGATGACAAGAGAGAAAGTGAAGTGACCACTCTCTTTTCCGTCTCTCCAGTCAACTACCGGCCATGTCATCCTTCTTCCTTGTTCTTTCTCTCCCTCTCTTTCTCATTTTTTTTCTTCTTTACCAAGATATAGACATACTGGATTCAATGTTAAGAAGGGGAGAATAAACTCGAGTAACAAAGAACAAAGTTAATCACTATAGCATCGATCTCATGCGAAGGGTATGTCCTCAATGATACATAACTAACTACGTACAATAATACCATAATAGATTGCTATTCACTGCTGTTGACATCATCAATCACAGCGAGACAAGAAAGAAATGAGCATGCGTTTGAAAGATTGATTCTCACATAAAAATGAGATTGAATCAAAGCACTTTTTTTCATTTAGTTACTATTTCAAGTGATCGAATCAGAACATCGAGCAGTTTGAAAGTCAAGTATCCCGACGTGAGCTGGTTATCAGATTGAATTCGACAAGAGAAGAAAGAGAAAAAACGAAATCGTACTAAGTATATAGATAAATAACATTTGGTACAAATCTCATTCATATCTAGCCGTTCCTTCTTTTTTCTTTAGTTGATTTACGAGCGGAAATGTAATACAACGAGACTCTATTAACTAGTCACTCTGCCTGTCTCGAGGCTATGCACAGTTAGAGTTCTATTTTTTCCTTGTCGTTTAGTTTTCATCTGATGTCATTACCTTAAACTCGATTATTAGTACGAGAGTAGTCATCAAACAGAGAAGACTATTAATATAGTTATCTATGCATATGTATGTGTACCTGTCGAGAAAAGAAGAGCGAGACAAGAATTAAATGAAAGAAAATGTCAAAATCGTATTTCTTCCTTGTACAGTTGAGCCTATAGAGGTAAGAAAAGACGGGGAAGGAGAAAAAAGTACTATTCGCCTTTTTTCCTTTGATTATTGAGGTCAATCGATGCGTGTGTTTGTGTCCGCAAGAGATGAGAAAAGAAGAAGAAGAAGAAGAACAAAAAAAAAGAGAATTAGAGTAACAACAATACAATCGTGTTATTGATGAGAACAACTGAATTACCCTTTCATTTTCATCACATTTTTTTTTCTTACACATTCCATTACATTTATATGTGCATTGTTTGAAAGAATAATAACAACACCTTTACTAATCGAATCAATAATAGCTTATAGGCGACTCTCATTTTTTCTTCATCATCTTTGCTCCTTTTGTTTATTTATATTGCACGGTCAACATGAGCATTCAAGCTTCGATAATGATACTAACATATACACGGCGCTTCGATCAAACATATTCTACACTTCTTGTAGCCTAATTGACCAGAGATAAATTCATCTTGTTAGCGTTGATTCTTCTACCAGTTTTTCTCCTCCTTCTCGATGCCATTCGACGTATTTTTGCTTCATTTCGATCTCAGGTGTGAGAAAATTTCATTCTTACACGCATTTTTTTTTCTACCAGAAGAATATTTCTTCGATCGTCGATAGTACGTGACGCAATTTCTCCCTCTCCTTCTTTTCCACTCTGTATTCAGTCGAAGATAACTCGACTTTGATCGATGACAGGACAGACAAGATGAGATCGATCGATACCACAAATTACTCGAACACATTTGTTTTTTTCGCAAAATCCTCTGCTTGAAGTCTTTCTTTGTCGATGCATTCATTCGTGCGTGAATTAAATAACAGCATTAATTCATCATAGATTTCCTATCAAAAACGAGTGACGAAACAACAAGTGTGTATACGAACGTAAGTAATGATGTAATCGAACAAGCGGCGTGTCGCATTTAGATCGGTCGAGCGACAAAACGCGATGTATGTGATGCTTTTATGAACAAATTTACTAATCTACATTATGTATATAAAAAGAGATACATGTAGATAAAATAATGCGATAACAAGATAGAGAAAAACGATAGAATTTGTTTCATTTCAAGGTTACTCATTTCAGATAATCAATGGAATGGATTGGTATTATTTAACTCTACTGTTTAGTCTTTTCTTACTACTATTCGAGTATTCGTCCATTGTCGATGCGTATGATTTTCAATGTTTAACATGTGACAATTATATCGATGGACCTGGCTGTGGAGAATTCACAAAGCAAATACCCGTACAGACATGTCGAACATTTTGTTATTTCGCTATCATACATAATCGTACCTTCTCGTCAAGTGTTTCGAAGCGTGAACTATCTACCGTAACATTAACACGAGCTATCCGTGATTGTTCACCTTATGATGATATGTCAATCGATGGACCTGTTCTACTCGAATCGAAACTTGGCTCCTTATCAACATCTCCTCATATTGATATCATAACCATAAAGCGATGTAACAGTGAACAATGTAATAATGATTTTTATTTAAGATCGGATGATCTACTTTATGGAGGAAGTTCAACTTATCGGCAAATATCATTTCCACTGCGTTTTTTTCTGTTTCTAATTATTTTCTATTTTAAAAACATGTTTTAAGAAAAAGAAAAAGCTCAAAAACGTTAACCATTTGTTTCCTCCTCTTTTCAAATAGGCCGACGAAAAGCTTGAATGCATTCATAATTGTGCTGTACGCGGTAGACGAGAGCGAACACATCCATACAAATGTAATCATCATCAGCGTTGATGTGTCTATTGTCAGAACTCGCCGCCGACCGCCTCTATTCTTCTATCCTTTGTAATGTGTCGTACAAGTGAGTCAAAAAGATATATGCAAATGACTATATATGTGTATGCATATGGTCCATTGTAGAAGTAGCCGAATGAAGGCGCGCATGTTTTATCCAAATGAGAACAGTATGTACTTACATTTCAGGTCTCTTTATGCCTTTGGAAATGGCTAAATCACGGTAAGTTTTACAGGCCATGAGTAATGATTCAGTACCACCCGATGTCATCTAGATATGTAGGATAGTGAGAGAGAGAGAGAGTTTCTATCATTGGAAGCAATCTTTACTTACAGTTCCACAGACATTTTCGTCACCATGAAACATTGTTGCGACACATCGAACAACTTCTGCTTCCATTGTTCGAATGTCGGGAAAAACATCGGCGTGAAGTGGATTTGATTCACCGAATAGTTCGAAAACCTAAAGAAGATTCGAGAAAGCCTCAAGATAAGCAAACCGCGTACCATGTTATAGATTGCTGTTGCATCATCATTGGATAGCTTGTAAACACAGCCAGAAACTTTGCCTGTTTCATAGTTAATATTTTCAAACTTGCGATATTGTTGAAGTTTTGCGATAAGTGCATCCTAAGAGAAAAGAAGCTCCGAATTGCTTTCTATAGATTGAAACTTCTACTTTGGAAAGGCCTTTCTTTGGTAAAGCTTTGGCAAATTGATGGCCTTGAATACTTTGAGCCATACTGTGATAAACTGATCGTAATGTATCGTCACGTGCTTTGGTGATCTGTCGTTGCACTGCTGGTATACGGCGAGCCAAACGAAATATGGCTTGTTTGATACGTGTGGGCACATCTAAGACATCTCGTATAATAAAGATCTATCTTTCGTGCTGTATCTTACTTTCATCATGTCCAAATATAAATTGATAAACACCAATACCAATAGCGGTGGCTATCGATGTTATTGCAATTAATTGTAATGGAGTATACGATTTCGTTATATGTTCATTTATTGCTTGAGCTTTCGCACCTAAAAAGCTAACTTGTGGTTCGTAACTATCCAACACTTTCTAAATACAAGAATTGTTTTTTGCATTATTGAAATGATAGAACATAGTCTTACTGAATACAAAGATTGACCAGCAGCCATGGTTAACGACAACTTGTGTGATTTTGAAAATAAAGATGTTTTATCTTCAAGTAATACAAAACAGAAAAAAGTCAAACGATATCAGTATTTTATCGCAAAATATTTAGCAACCGAATAATAATACGGTTACATCATCACCAGGTGTGTTTTATAGCAGTATAAAATGACTCACATTGCAAATATTTCGAATGATAAACTACTGAGATAAATAAAACTGTTCTGTCTCCTCAATACCCTCGGTTAAGTATGTATAAGTCGAATAATATGCTGCAATGCACGTCGAGAGTCAAGCAAATTCAATGAAGTTTGAAAACCTATTTAGAAAGAACGAGATGTTTCTCAAGTTTTCACGTCATATCATGTATGTCTTGAGAGAAGCAAGAAATTGGTCCAGCCTATGAACATATCGTATTAAAAGAAGACTTCTGACAACTGCGAGGTCGCTAGTGATCAGACAGAAAATTTTTCGGTCAATCTATATGAAAAAGAACAACTTTTCGTAATATCAATAACTACTCATGTCAATAAAACCTTAGAAAACTTTCTAATGAAAAGAAACTGATTTCAACCAGCGAAGTGTTAAAGAAACAAACTATCTATCTAATTAACAATTTCTATGTCAACGAAACATCTTGAACAGAATCAACTGATTAGGTGCCATTTATGTCAACGAAATTACAACAGCGAAGTTTATAAACGGCATATTAATGAGAGTCAATGTATCAAACGAAATCAGCATCGATTACCGTTTGAATCGATAAGACAACGGTCGATTCAGATCGGTGATAAAATATTTTCTGTGCAACAACAATTCCAACAGAAGAAACAAGAAGTTCAATTGCTAAACAATGGAGAAAATGGCAAACAACAGATATCATCCAGTAGTAAAAAGTTATATCAAGAGAAAATTCCGAAAGTCGCACTTTCGAATGCTCGTCGCCGAACACTTGAACAAGCCAGACAATTATTAGAACGACGAACAAAGTATCAACCACCATGGGTACACAAACAATCGCATTATCTGTACAAGTTGCCAGCACAACTCAATCGAATGAATACCATCACGCTTCCACCGAAGAGTACAAATCCAAGAGCGAAATTCAAAAATGAACATGCACCAAACAAAGTCACCGATATTCATTCAGTATCTGTGAAACAACCTATACAAACTTACTCGCCAAAGTTACCCATTTCTCATACATCTACGAATTCTATCGAGCAAACTAATTCTGCATGTCATTCAACGCGAAAAGTTTCAACATGGACTCGACCGTTGCAACCGTCAGCTGTTCGAAATGTCATTTCTCCCATTCATATTCCAACATTTCAAGATTCAGCCTGTGGGGCATCACATGATCATCGAGTAGTACCACTAAATTCGAATAACAATGATGACGACGATGATGAATTCGAACGATACAGTCCAACTCCCCCGTCAACGCCCAAATTTCAATATGAAAAAACAGAAAATAAGAATTACCGAAGTATTTTTAGAAAAAATGTATCAATCAATGAACAAAAAACAACGAAACTACAATCAGATCATTGTAAGTTGTATTGACAGAACTTCGCATTGATTCTTCTGGTAATTTAGTTGAAAAACGTTGTCGACAATCAACTTTTCATTTACCACCAATAAAACCCTCATCCTACGCAAAACTCAAACAACATCCGACAATAAATCTGACTCCATGGCGTTAAGAAACGAGAAGAAAATGATTTATTTAATTTAAAAAAAAACCATCAACTGCTGTTCTTCTTTATTTTACTTTCAATGTTATTCATCTCCATTCTTCTGATTGCGCGTATTTTACACACTACAGAAAAATAGAAATAGGTTAAAGATAATAAAAAAAAAAACTCTTTATGTGTTTCTTTCGCTCCATTCTTTTTGCGCTAGCTTATGGGACGTTAATTTTTGTTCTAGAATGAAGAGGAAAACGACGAAAGAACCTATTTACAAACAACTTAAACATCTTTAATACAACAAAAAATCAGTTTGGGTTCTAATGCAGCATAAACTTGTTGGGTAACTTGAATACGAAGAAATTTGCACAGTAAAGCAAACTGTTGTTGTTGAACTTGTGTATAAGGCTTCAGCATCTTCTTCGGCGTATATGTGGGTGGTGAACAAGCTACAATCGCTTGACATAGATCATTGACGAGTAAACGAACATGTTCAGATAATTGATATTGTAATTGGGGTTGCAATTGTTGCATTAATTGGATTGGTAGTTGAGTCGGATTCATACCTTGTAATAAATAACATCGACGTTCTAATGTCAACAAGAGTTCAATTAAAATTGTCACTGTATGTGAATTGGTGAATAAAACTGGATCAGAAAATGGACTTGACGATACAGTTGCGTTTAATTCTACTAGTTTAGGCTTGATTTTTTCGTCGTAATAAACATACACTTGAGATAATAGTTGTTCGAAGGTGGTCTTCTTGATATTGATCTGTTGCTGCATGAGACTAATCATATTCATAACGATTGGTTCAATATGAAAAGTGCTTGGCCAACGGCGTATCATGTAGTTCAACGAAGCATACAAACGTATAAGCATTAGTTCTAGATGATTACTTGACGATGTGGTAGTAATTAGATATGGATATAAACGTTCAAGTAATATTTGTCCTTTAGAAGATTGAGCGAACATATCAGCAAATAAGTATTCGGGATGATTTAAGTAACGACCGATGATCGAATCAAGAATGGTCGACGATGGTGTTGGTACGGCAGATGCTGGTGTTGTACTTTCACTCGGTGTTGCTGCTTCGGTAGACGTTTTATTTGGTGTTGATGGAGCGTCATCGCCATCGTCAAGACGCAAGATGTCACGATGGATGTTTTCGATATTTAATAATAGGCCTAATGCATATTTGTCGTGTGTAACCGCATTCTTTTGGGCACCCAAGGTGAATTGTCCTAAAGAGTAAAATGTGACATGAGAAATGTAGAGAAAATATTGCTATTCAGTCGTACCATCAAGATCGAGAATGCATTTTGGATGTCGAGGAGTTGCAACCGATTGTTTACCAAGTTGAGTTTGTATCGGTGATGCATAAGGTAACGACTGAGCCGGATTTATGTTACTGAATGTCGCTTGATTCGATGCTTGCGATAGGCGTTGGGCAAGTCTAGAGAAGTTCGAATTTTTTTGTAAAAAAGACGACGCGTTCTTTGAAGTACTCACTCTTTTTCTTGTTGAATTGACTTTAACAGTTGTAAAACAGGGTAACTAATATATTGTCCACGGTGTTCGTGCCGATTAGATTGATTTCCATGGACCTGTTGCATGTGGCGTTTCTGCTGGGACCATTTATGAAAATAGTAATCCTTAACAAAAAAAGAATAGATATTGAACTTTGGTTCTCGAAAGAAAAGTATTGTACTTCTTCTTGTGTCTGAGAGACTTGATGAAGTTGAATTTTAACGACCCATTGCTTTTCACGATCGGTCATCATGCCGGCGAACTCATCATGGCCAGGACCACGTCCCTGCCATGTATTCAGAAGTGGTGGACGAGGATAATGTTTAGCCGGACGATTTTGTCGTGAATGACGCGACGGACTGACAATTGTGTCAAGCGGCGATGATGGAGATTCAGTTGTGCGATGATTGTCAGCAATTGGTATTTGATCAGAACGTTGAATAGCGTCCATAAATTGTGAAGACATGCCTGAATTACCAACTGCTGGTGATTGCGATCGAGAATTATTACTAGTGTTGTTATTGGAAGCAGCTAGACGAGCTCGTTCTAACATTTCACCTATGGCCATTGAACGCATTGATGCTTCGCGTTGTTGTTGTTGCTGCTGCTGCTGTTGTTGTTGTTGTTGTTGCTGTTGCTGTTGTTGCAGTTGTTGCTGACGCTGAGCGTACAACAGAGGATTGTTCAAAACCCGACTTGGATTTGCTTCTCGATAGCGATCGGGACCATTGATATTTAAATTTATTAACTAAAAGAAAAGTAAATCAATTTCTAACTCTTGAGAAGTTTTCTCTTTACCCTAGCTGCCTGTTGTTGTTGTTGTTGTTGCTGCTGCTGCTGCTGCTGTTGATGTTGTTGTTGTTGCTGTTGAGCATTCATCGCTTCACGTTGCATCTTTTCCATCATTGCTTGAATATAGAGAAGTCTTTGCTGGGGTGGTATCTGTTTGCTGATCAGCATTTGTTCAAATTGTTTCAATAGTTGATAGTTGATTTGCTGTTGCGGTATCGTCATTGGTGAAACACGCGGAATTTGCTGTGGAAGCGGCGGCGGTGGTGGTTGTTGCGGCTGCTGTTGAGAAAATAGGTTCATGCGGTTCGTTTCTTGTGCTTGTGATATGGCCATACTAAAGAGAGGATTGCTTGATGACTGTTGAATAATCGATCCCGGTCGACGGTTCACCGACGTCGTAGAAAATCGCATGGGATCTTCACCAAGTAAAGCATCAATCGATTGAGATTGATCATCCTCGTCGACAAGCGATAGGCCACCCGTGTCAGGTACATCCGTGTCGAAAAATGACGGTAAACCAGTCGATGGATTATCACCAAGAAATTCACCATTTTCACCAAAGTCTGATTTTGTTTTAATCGCTTCTAAATCGCAATCACCAAATGTTTCGTCATTTAAAATATCAGCTTCAGTATCATCTGGTATTGCAATTCCTGTCATCATGTTTAAACCATCCGTGTTGGGATTCATTGTTGTTGTTCTACGTACTTGAAAAGCACCACCGGATAGTAACTTGATGAAAAACAGATGATCGATAATAAAAAATATGTATAGAAAGGGAAAACACACGCACACACACTCAAAAAATAAGTATAGAAGATCTAAAATAAAAATCGAGGTGGAATTTAGCAAGAAGAATAGGAAGGAAAAACAAATGAATGAATATCAAAAGAATTAATCTCACTGGTTGAAGTTCGAATTTCTGTGAAAGAATTTTTCATTGGATGAAAGAGTAAAAGAATTCAAAATTTTATTTCTTTCGAAATATTTTGCTAATTTATTGAAATTCTTGCATGATTTAGGTGAAGATCTAAAATCTTCAAGAGCGACATCTATCCTATGGGTAATATTACTTTCAATGAAAGCCTGTTCAGTTTTTCTTAATATTTACAAGGATATTGCTCATCTTGAAACATACGTTATGCGGTCAACATCATTCGAAGGGGTCTTGTCGAATGTCAGTATTCGAACGATCCGTCCACCAATGATAATATCGCCTACCGAGCAGATCATCGTTTGGCATATGCGATTCGAATCCGATCTATTTTTTGAGTTTGATGATGAAATCATTTAATATCTTTTAGATGGTGAAAAAGAAAATCGATAATCGTCTTCGTGTACTCATTGAAAATGGAATAAAATCATTCCAAAGATCTTTAGTCGTCGTTGTCGGCGATAAAGGTCGTGATCAGGTAGGGCTTTTTCTGAAATACAACGCTGTCTACATCTCGTCATTATCTTTCAGGTCGTTATTCTTCATCATATGCTATCAAAAGCTCAAGTGAAAGCACGTCCAACTGTTCTCTGGTGCTACAAGAAAGAGCTTGACTTTTCTACGTAAGTCAATTGGTAACCTAGTACTGAAAATGTCCTTTATGTTTACATTTTAAGGCATCGAAAGAAACGTATGAAGCAAATGCGTAAACGACAAGCAGCGACTGGATCGATTGGCAGTGGTAATGATGAGAATCCATTTGAAGTATTTCTTTCTGCAACACAAATTCATTATACGTTCTACTCTGACACACCGAAAATTCTCGGTCGAACATTTGGCATGTGTGTTCTACAAGATTTCGAAGCATTAACGCCCAATTTACTGGCACGAACAATCGAAACAGTTGAGGGTGGTGGTTTGGTTGTTTTACTTCTTCAAACGATGCGTTCATTGAAACAATTATATACATTGACAATGGATATTCATGCACGCTATCGGACGGAAACCCATCGACAAACCGAACCACGTTTTAACGAACGTTTCATATTGAGTTTATCGTCATGTAAACAATGTTTGATTGTTGATGATCAATTAAATATTTTACCATGTTCATCGAATGCAAGTTTAATGATCGAACCAATTCCAGCTAAAACCGAAGAGAATAGTTTAACAGCTGAACAAATCGAGCTGAAACAATTGTGCCACTCGTTGAGAGAAACTCAACCTATTGGACATCTGATTGATTGTTGTAAAACATTAGATCAAGGCAAAGTTCTTTTGAAGTTATTAGATTCGATTACAGATAAAGCATTTCGACACACATGTTCGATAACGGCATCACGTGGGCGTGGAAAATCTGCTTCGCTTGGTTTAGCCGTAGCAGGAGCGATTGCATTTGGGTAAGAGATAGAACTCTTGTTTGCTGGAGTACATTCGTTGATGGTCTTTTTTAGCTATTCGAATATTTATGTCACTTCACCAGCACCAGAAAATTTAAAAATTTTATTCGAATTCATTTTAAAAGGTTTTAATGCACTTGATTATCAGGATCATATTGATTATGATATTCAATATTCGTCAAACGATCATAAGGAGAAAATCATTATTCAATTAACCATTCATCGACCCAAACAGCACCGACAAGTGATTCAAGTACGTTTCCAAAAGTGTTGTTTATCTAAAATGAAGTATCTTCTCTTGTGTAGTACATTCAACCAAATGAATCATCGCGTTTAAGTCAATGTGAACTGTTGATTATTGACGAAGCCGCAGCGATACCTCTTCCACTTGTCAAACAATTATTGACTGGTGCAAACTATTTAGTATTTCTGTCGTCAACTATCAATGGCTATGAAGGTACTGGACGTTCACTTTCATTGAAACTTCTCGAACAATTACGACAGCAAAGTGCTGTTCTAACAACAGCAACCAAAACAACAACAAGTCATCGAACACTGAGCGAATTAGAACTGAATGAACCCATTCGATATGGCATAAATGATCCAATTGAAACGTGGCTAAACAATCTTCTTTGTCTTGACTGCTGTCAAGACCCATCGAAGTCGAAGTAAGTGTACTATCGTCATTGTTTTGTTATATAGTTATCCTATGTGATTTTCAGTAAAACAACACGTGGTGCATGTCCATCCCTTGATTCCTGTTCACTTTATTGCATTGAACGTGATACACTGTTTTCCTATAATGAATCCTCGGAGTTATTTTTACGCCGTTTGATGTATCTATTCGTTTCATCACATTATAAAAATTCTCCGAATGATCTTCAAATGCTCTCCGATGCACCCGGACATGACATCTATTGTCTACTTGGACCTATTGTTGATCCTCATCAATTACCAGAAATCTTGTGTGCGATTCAAGTATGTTACGAAGGTGAATTATCCAAAGAAATTGTCGCACGACAATTATCTCACGGACAACGAAATTCAGGTGATTTGATACCGTGGACTATTGCACAAACATATCAAGATTATACGTTTGGAAAAATGTCAGGTGTTCGAATTGTTCGCTTAGCCACTCATCCTGATTATCAACGAATGGGTTATGGAACAAAAGCGATTCAATTATTGGAAAAATACTTTCAAGGACAAATCATTAATCTCGATGAAGTTGAACAAGCAGAAGTACGAACTCACTGTTTCTCTGTTCCTTCGGGAACACCGATCAAATCATTTCTTGTCTCTATCTTTAGTCTCCATCATCACCTGTTGCTGCTGAACAAGTCGAAATCATCGATGATGAAGATTTACCATTATTAAAAGAAGAACTTCTTCCACGACAAAGCCTACCACCATTATTACAAAAACTCACTGAACGTCGTTTGAAACATTCAATTGATTATCTTGGTGTATCCTATGGTCTTTCGCCTGATTTGTTGAAATTTTGGAAAAAAAATCAATTCCTTCCTGTTTATCTTCGACAAACCGCATCAGACCTTACAGGTGAATATTCCTGTATCATGATCCGGTCGATTCATATGGCCGACCAAGCACCATGGCTATTTTCTTATTATCAAGATTTCCGTCGTCGATTACTTTCCTTACTTGGCTTCCAGTTTCGAACATTCACACCGGGTATGGTTCTTAATATGATTCAACAAGGTGTTTATCCTGAAACAAAAGAAGGTACGTGTAGAGCTCTGTCGTTTCTCATCGGCGCTATCGTTCATCGTACTTTTAGAATTTAAAGCTTCGTTAGTGGAACAAAACTTTACCGATTACGATCTTCGACGTTTAGAATCGTATACACGAAATTTAGTTGATTATCATTTAATTCTCGATCTGATTCCAATGCTTGCTCGATTATTCTATTTAAATCGTTTACCAGTTCAATTAACAGCCATTCAAATGGCATTAATTGCTGGTATTGGTCTTCAATACAAGACCATTGAACAACTAGAGACAGAATTAAACTTGCCACAATCTCAACTCTTGGCACTCTTTAATAAACTCATCAAAAAGATCATCGATGTAAGTCGATTTGCATGAAATCCTGTACAACTAGTTTGTGTACTTTAGTTGATAAATTCGACGCAAGAAAATGAACTAGGAAAAGACTTTGTCAATTCGTTGGATGCTGCTAGTATGAAACCGTTGGATAAATCACTTCGACAAGAACTGGTTGGAATTAGTATTTTGTTTTGCGTCTGTACATTTGATCGATTGATTTTAGAATGAAGTAGCAGCAACTATTCGTAATCGACAATCGGAAGAGATTGATCGTTTGATGCACGATCAACATTTATCGAAATATGCAGTCACTGGAAGTGAAGATGTTTGGAAAGAAGAATTGAAGAGTGTATCCGATCCGGGTGTGATATCTATTCCCAGGTAAATGAGCATGTCATAGGCATTTGAAAGCGAATCTGTTGTGTCATATTTTATAGGACAATTAACAAGCGAAAAGATGTGGAAATTGAAAGTCATTTTGATCTTTCGAAAAAGAAGAAACCGAAGAAGAAGAAGAATAAATTTTAGTTGTTTTCTTTTGTGTTTAAAGATAAAAATATCAAATTGTTGACGAAAAACAAACAATTTAGAAATGAATTGATTAGTAATCACTTGTTGTCATTTCTAGATCATCAAGATGGATGCGAAAAGTCAACTCGAATTACCAACTCCCCCAACCTTTTCTCAAATGATGGAAGATTTGGACATCATGACATCGGATGACAAAATTTTTAAATTATTTCAACTTGAACAGTTAATTGATCAATGCGGTAGGAAATCTCATATGTATTACCAAACGCTAATTTGCTTCTGTTTAGAAGATCAATCTTCATCATCATCAAACCGAACTCCAGTCGAACAAACTTATTGGTTGATAAATAAATTTCTTAGTCGATTGAAAACTTTGCAAGATCTTGATACAACCATAACAACACAGAATGATGCGAGTAGCGATGAAGTCGAGAAAAAATTACGCGATATTATCAATCAACTTCAAATGTGTTTGACTAAATTGCAAACGAATTCTTTTTCAAATGTTAAAAATGTTTTATCTGATAATAAATAGAGATAATAGAAAAACAACAAATGGCAGCTTGTTTTTGTTTCAGTCTAAATTCGCGAAACACGTGCATCGATAAGAACTACTCAGACGCGTGCAAAAGATTTTTTGTCGTACGCAGTAATCGAACAAACGCCGAGTGAGAAAACAATGCGAACTGTCGCTATTATCGGTGGCGGTGTAAGCGGTTTAATATGTATTAAATGTTGCTTGGAAGCGGGCCTTGTCCCAACATGTTATGAAATGACGAATGATATCGGCGGACTTTGGAACTATGACGCCAATGCAGTTGACGGCAAAGCGAGCGTGATGAAATCGACTGTGATCAACACTTCGAAAGAATTCATGGCTTTCAGCGATTATCCTGCACCGATTGAATATCCGAATTACATGCATAATACAAAATTGTTAGAATATTTTCGCATGTATGCAAAACAATTTCAGTTGACAAACCATATCCGGTTTCGAACATTTATCACGCGTGTTCAACCTGCAGATGATTATGAACAAACAGGCGCTTGGTTAGTGTATAGTGTTAATGCAGAAGAAGCAGATAGAAGAACGACGGAGAATGAAAAATGCGAAAAATACGATGCGGTCATGTTAGCCACGGGACATCATGCACATCCACGATGGGTCGATTTCCCTGGTTTAGAGAATTTTAAAGGTAATACATTGGGATTCTAAGAATAAAACTCGTTCTGTCATATTTATGAGCATAGGTACAAAATTGCATAGTTGGCAATATAAAACTCCACATGGTTTTGAAGATAAAGTAGTAGTGATAATTGGCATTGGTAATTCGGGAGGAGACATGGTTGTTGAGCTAGGTCGATTTGCTAAACAAGTAAGACAAGACTGTCAATAGAAGTTTTTATTCTCTTGTTTTAAACGAAAATAAGGTCTATCTAAGCACTCGCCGTGGCTCATGGGTATTGAATCGTGTTGGACCAAATGGTTGGCCAGCTGATTTATATAGTACGAGTACAGTAGCTTGTACAGTTCAAAGATATTTTCCATGGCTAGTTAATAAATTGCTTGAACGGGATATGAGTAAACGATTTGACCATGAATTGTATAAAATGAAACCAAAACATCGTCCTTTGCGTATGTACGAAGAGCTGTTTCCTTATATTTATAAAAGTTACCGTTGTATAGAACAACATCCATGCATGAACGACGACTTACCGAATAGGATTTTATGTGGATCCGTTATCGTAAAACCAGATATTAAAGAGTTTACCGCTGATGGACATGGAATTGTATTTACAGACGGTTCCAAACTTGATCATGTCGATTGTGTGCTAATGGCAACAGGTTTCAGCATTGCATTTCCATATTTGGATGAAAAAATCATTTCCGTTCAAGAAAATCACGTAAGCATCTTCGAAAATGCATGACATAATCAGACGATCTTCTATCAGGTTCGACTCTATGAATATGTTTGGCCATCTCATATGAAACATTCAACACTTGCCGTCATGGGTCTTGTACAACCATGGGGTGCGATTAATCCAATCACAGAACTTCAGGCACGCTGGGCTGCCAAAGTATTCAAAGGTGAATTGAAATTACCATCACGTTCGAAAATGGATGAAGATATCGATGATAAAGCGACAAAAATGAGAGAACGATATGTTGCTTCACCACGACATACTGTCCAGGTTGATTATATGGAACATTGCGATGAACTTGCTGATCATCTCGGCTGCCGACCAAATATACGTAGGATAAAAAATGAATTTTGTTCATCATGAACGAAATCTTTGATTTTTTCTTATAGTAAATTTTCTTAAAACTGACTTTAAACTCGGCTGGAAATTATTATTTGGACCGTACACACCCTATCGTTACCGTTTAGAAGGTTCTCGTAAATGGGCTGGAGCTCGTGAAGCAATTCTAACACAAGATGAAAGGTAAAATTAAACTGATCTTCTTCCCTTCCGTATTCGAATCTTTATCTTCTAGAGTAAGGTATCCTCTCTGTGCTGCACAAGACAATAAACAAGGCATTGAATGGACATCGATGTTTTCAATTATTGCTGTAGTAGTACTTCTGTTTATTGTCGTTCGGTGTTTTGTATAATTGTTTGATTCGCTTTTCTTTTGAAGAATGGCCTATAGCGTTCAGAGTATATTTTCACAATTCTATAATTAACAACATACGAGCGAATATTCTACTAGCTAAACTACTAAAGCAAAAAAACTTTTTACATCTTTCAAGTCGGGTCAGATTCTCATCATGGATAAATGATCGATTCACACCCTTGATTACTTTTTCTACTGATTGTGTTTTCGAAAAACGAAATTCGACTGTACTTAATACTCACAGAGTACAAACAAGTACCGATTTGTGATTGAACATTATACTGGACTTGAAGATAGTTATTGTGATCAACGAAACTGTCATTCATTCTCGACTTTTTACCATTAAATTACGTTCTTCGGTTCATAGGGTTTTCGGCGTTTCGTATTCATGTGTATAAACGCGTGACTACATTTACCGCAACAAAGTATTTGTTTCAGTAATGATTTCATACTAAATTATACAGTTTATTTGAGAATGCAAAAGGTTCCCCAGTGAATAAAAGGTTTTTATGTTGAATTTATTATTTTGAAAGTACTTCAGTTTGCGTTTTTGTCTTCAATAATTCGTATGAAAAGCGCACGTCAGACCGAAGAATATCATCTTGACGAGAATGCATCTAAAAAAGGATATAAAAAGGCTTTTGTTCATTTTGACACATAATTAAGATGAAGAAATGCATTGGTTCTCAGCTGGCCTTTCTATCAGTTGTTGTACAAACTGGTCATGGTCTGTTTAGTCCTGTTACGTCAGAGATGAACTATACTCATTCAATGGCAATTCCATCAATTCAAGCTGATCTTTGGTGGACTGTTGATACTAATAATAATAGTGAAATCACCTTTGAATCACACATGAATACCACCGGGTGGATTCCTATAGGTATCAGTCCTGGTAAGATACAGCACTAAACAAATCTGTATCATCTTTCCTGTATATCTAAGTGGTGGTATGTTCTACGCAGATATTGGTTTTGATGGATCAGGCAGTGTTAACTTTCAAGTAGGTGTCATTGCATTGTTTTTAGAAATACTGAATCGGTTTGTGTAATCTAGGATCGCTTTGCTCCTGCATATGCAGTGACTATGCTTGATAATACGACGACGAATTCGTTTACTCTGCAAAGTCGCGAAGTCAACGGTTGGACTGCCATTCAATTCAAACGTTTGATTAACATATACGATTACATGGACGTACGAATTAAAGTATGAGAATCACTTCGATTCTATTTCAATCAAGGTTTATTTATGTATAGTCAGGAAGAAATATCTTGACTTTTACTTGAGCGATTGACGATTCGGATACAAATAACAATACCACATATCATACACCAAATCGCGGATCCCTAATTATTCCGCTATTGTCGTATACTGAACCAGTGAATGAAAGCAAATTGGCTGGACTGAATTCAATTGAGTTTCGTGTCAATAATGTAAATCATCTGCGAAAAAAAGCAGTTTTTTATCTCACTAATTCATTCTACACACATTTTAGAATGCATTTCCAACGGACGAATGAAGTTACCATTGAAAAGCATTCAATGTCCCAACTAATATCACTGGAAAACAACATGTTACAGCTGTATGTTCACATGAACTTCATTGCATGGAACTATCTTTATTCATATTTTTCAGTATGAAATTTTAATCGACTGTACTTCTACACCATATTCACTCCATTTTACTCTATGTGAATGCGATTCTATAGTAACGTTCGATAACAATAATTTACCACACGGCAATTGCGATGATAATGTGACTGCATATTCATTACGTGCATTTAATATTATTATGGTGTAGACTACCGGAGGTGATTATGTAAGTGTTGAACGCCGATAAAAATTCTTCCATATCTATTCAATTCTATTTAGCTTCTGCATGGAGCATCCCGAGAAAGCAGGTTTACCATATTGCAACTAAACCGAGTAAGAACTAACTCGTTGTCTATCACATGTGAAAGATGACTATTTGTTCTTTTAGGCAATATCGATAATTCTTGTATGTGATTATATCTTGCTAATTCACTTCGACAATATGATCTTGGTGAGTTAACATTTGGTTTGCAACCATCTCCATTGAGTATTATCGTTGCACCGCATGATGATGCATTATCAATTGATGTATATTGCCCTAATAACTCATCACTTCCTCATACACATCTTCAAGTTATTATTTTACTTCGTTGTGTAGTCTTTTTGCTCAACCATCGCAGCCGGTTTTCTATCATTAAAATAAGTAAAAGTGTATGGACAAAATTGATCCGTAATAAAACCGCTGTACAATACTTGTTCAATGCAGAATGGTTGGATAGTAATTATCGGTTTGAACACCGTCTGCTAAACCCAATTCAAATCTATCCTGTATGAAGTGTGATATATTTTAGGGAGACGAATTTACTACTCGTTGTATGTATAGTACAACCAATAAAAATGCAGTTACACTGGTAAATATCTATAGCATATGGATAATTACCTGAAATACAATATGATTTATTATATAGGGTGGTCGCCACACAGATCAAAAAATGTGCCTTCATCCGTTCATAAATTATCCACGAATATCTAATTTAAAAACACGTCCTGGCATTATCAGTCCGATATCACGGACAGGAGAGACAAACATCCCCTTGTGAATACATTTTTCCACAAGTTCATTCCTATTTAATAAATTCTCTATAGAACTTCAATCAGTGAAACAAGAGTTTCTCAGCGGGCATTCAATTCAGTGCCACTTGGACAACAAATTCAACTGCGCAGTTCCAAACATTCTACAGTACAGCTGCACGACTTGTTGCTTATGGTTGTGCAAGATTTTATACTATAATGACCATGGCGAGTTTACCAACATATACAGACCTAGATATGACCACATGTTTACCTCATTCAAATAGTACTACCGCAGCCAATGCTATACCAACTAGCACTAACACAACTAATTCCATTACGAGTAATGGTACTACAATCAGCACTTCTATTATAATCACTACAATCACTGCGAATAATAATAGCGATTTGGTCATTCCACAAAGTACATTGGTCTTGTTCTTTTTCTGGATTTTATGTGCAATCAACGGATTATTTAATTAGCAGAAGGTCTTCCCATCCATGTAGAAGATCGATAAGACACTTCAATCATGATGAACATAGTTCTATTTGATTACATTTTTGTCATTTGTGATTTTAATTCAAAAGAAACACATTTGTTGAAATCTATATTTTTCAATTTTGTTTAAAAAGTGTCAAACAATGCACTCTAAAGAAGAAAAGAAAAGGTAAAAGGTTTTGATCTTTTTTCAGTAGTAAAGAACAACAAAAAAGTCATTAGTCATTTCCTTGATGATTTGATAATAAAGCATACGCAGTAACTTCTAACATTCAAGTTTTTTTAATGATTCATTAGTCTACCTGTAATAGATGTACGTTAATATTCACCAATCTACGGACGAATAATTCACAGAACGAAACAATTGCTTTCATCAACGCCTCTCCATTCAATGTCATGAGTAACAATCAATATTAAGACGTTGATTTGCTAGAAAACCATTCAATTCATGATCAAATAGCGGATATTAGTCACGCTCGCACGATGTGACATATTACCATATACAGATCAAAATATTGATTGATAAAATAGCTCTAAACTCGATTGAATATCTCGCTCTTTTTTACTCGATGGCTCAAGGATGACCTATGACAATGCCTCTATGTCAAAACAACGTTCAATTGAAATGTTATGTTACATCGTTTATTTTAATAGAAATTTCCTTGAGATTAGAATAATCTTAATTAGCAATTTCGTATTCGAATCAGCAATGAAAGACAAAAGAAATCGTCATACTTTGATTAGATCCCTGGAGAAGGTTTTCTTCTCAGATGATTACAACCTTCAATTGATCAATCGTTTCGATATTGGTTTCATATTCTGATCATACATATATTAAATAGATACGAAATAAATTTACACATCGATCATCTATTCTTTCATTTAACGTTATGGATATATTTTGTAACAAATCACGAAAGAATATGGTCAATCCTTACTGGTCGGAACTGTCATGGCTTGGCTCAGAATCTGTTATTGGTTATCTTCATACAGATGAAATCACATTTTGGCAACAAATTCTTTCGAAATATTTAGCTCCGCTGGACAAAGACGNCTAGGTGTGATGATGATAGGGAGGAGTCCGCAGTCGGCTATTTCATTCTCAATAACGCACACTACCTTTCTTTTCTTTTGCTTCTTTGAGTAGTATATATAGACACATGCCGAGAAGACATGCTCATAAGTATTTGTCATTGTATGATTAGATGATGTGTTACTTATGCTCGATCACACTAGATGATACTGTAAAAGAATGGTTTTGTTCAGGAGTTGGGAGCTTTTTTTGTATTATAGTTTTATTTATAAAAGAAAGAGGGAAAAATTCACATGACAAACGTTTATTTAAACACTAAGAGGCCTTCATCCGAGTGATGTTCGCTCTCAATCTGTCCAATGTACGCTTGAGGCAGTGAAGCTATTAACTATATTACCAATATGTAAATATCGTCTGATGTTCATGTTTTTTTTCAAAGAAAAACAAAGCAGAAAAAGGACGATTGCTATTATTATTTTCACATCAAAGATCTAATGAAGTTTTCACCTAAATTTGCCTATGTCGTATGCGTTTATATGAGATTAATCACCTAGCCGGTCTTATGCATTGCTAGTTGTACCGGTCGTTCTATCGGTAATTATAATGAACAAAAGAAAACCATCGAAAGTAATTCAGACATCTTAAGCAACCACTCGAGAACACTATATGAATAATACCACCTTCGTATCAAACATATTAATCATTAGATGATTTCATCTATTGTTTCGAAAGTTAAAGTCACCTCATGATTGGATTTGATTCCTTTTAGCTATGTGAAAAATGTCCTTTTCAATTTGTTATTAATGCGGTTGGCAATACGAATCAAACTACATCTGTGACATCACGATGTTTTACAATCGAACAATGTCAGATGACAATAATCACTACTAATGAACATCATAGCATCTATTTCGTCCCAAATGATATCGATCAAATAGTCTTCTCATCAAAAACTGAAGTTCTAATCGATTATAATCAAAACAATTCATTAGTGACATTTTCATCCAAATCGAATCAGCAAATAATCGATCGAAGACAAATCGGTGTAAATCACTGTCACAATGTTAAAACAAAGACTAAACGTCATACGAAAGGTTCGTCTTCATCTGGTAAGTCAAACATATTCACGGCACGTCACCTCTTCTATTCGTTGTCTTCTTCTTTCTAGATGTAGATTCATCAATAATCGTTACATTCAATTCAACTGCCTTTATTGACTATCATTATCAAGAATTTCTCGATTATCCATTACGATTATCTGTGCGTTTTCGTACACTAGGTCGAATCTCGAATGGTGTGTTACTTTCGTTAACTCATCGAAAGTCTCCTTCACTGATAATTCCATTCATTATTATTGAACACTCAAATGGAAAAATAGAAATAACAATTCTTCAATTAGATGAAAGAAAAGTCTTATCTACTGTAACGGTAAGTCGGCCACCTGAAATCAATTGTTCTACGAGGAGAAAGTAATATTATCCTCGCAATGTGTGCATTCATCTTTCTCATCTTCAAACATTTCCGTTCGAAAGACAATGTTAATCTCTTTTCTCATTAATTTCAATGTTCCAACCATTCATGCTTCAATGAACAAGACAACACAATGATCATTTGCATTTTTGCCGAGTTCCTTCTCCCGTTTCGACCTCTTTTTTTTTCTCCTCTATTTCGCTTCTGATTAACAATCCATCTGACACAAGATGCGGAACAATGATGAACGAGGGGGGGGGGCGAGGGGAAACTCGACCGGAGTACCATAATAATAATGATATCTCTCATCGTAATGATGTGCATAGACGTTCATGAACGAACAAAAAAAAAGATTGAAGTGTTATTTTTTCCTGTTGCCAAGGACTTTGACCACACCCATACACCTGGAATGAAATCATCGAAGATTTCGATAACGAGCTCGTTTTCTTCTATCTCCCTAGGCAATTCAATGTGGAAAAAATATTAATAATGACAATTGGCATTGGTTACAATTCGAAATCGATCAAAGCGGAATCTTCACTGTTGTTGTCGACAATGACAGTCGAACATGTAAAGAAAGAAAATCTCGACATTTGTCATTGTCTTCATTCTCTTCGTTTTAGCACAAATCCCCACCTATGTGGTCTCGAAGTGGAACATCAATGCTCTGTTAGTTGGAGATACACGCCGATTGAGTTCAGATATCTTTCAGCCATTCGTCGGCTATATGAGTGATTTGATGTTTAATGATGAATATTTGTTTCAAAGTTTGAGCAAACCGAAACAAGCACGAGTAACGCAATATGATTATGATAGCCAGCATGCCGTTGTTGGATATCGTATTGCATTCTTCAACTTTGTTACTATTGATACACCTAAATCTTACATTGCCTTTTCGGAACGCGAGAATCAGAACAAAAATCATGGCAAATTGGACATCTATTTTCTCTTTCGTTCGTATGTACCCGACGGAATCATTCTCTATCGCTATGCTCAGGGATTGAATGAATACTTCGCTATTGGCTTACGCGCGGGTATTCTCGCGTTGTTCATCGACTTTGGGTTTGGCAAACGACAAATTGTTAGCGATGAATCAACGAAATTAGCCGATGGTAAATGGCATGAAGTACGAATTACAAGAATTGGTACAGATAAGTACGTAAACTTAATCTTTCGAAGTTCAGACAAGTTTTGTCTTTCTTCAGATATTAGATATGTAAATGCAAGTGCATAGTTAGATTGAATTAGGCTTTCAATTCCATTGAAGTACTTTTCATCTGCATATTTGAGTGTGGGGAAACTCAAATGATCCGCTGAAGGATATTTGATTTCAACGAAACGTAGTCTTTTTGACAATGAAGTATTCGAGTGAATTGGATAGCTTTTGATTTAAAAATCATCGTTTTTCTTCTTCGATCAGGATGTGAAGAGATCTTTGTCATACTCGAGAAAGACAGATGGCGAGAAGCTATTTTTATCTTGAATGAAAAAGAAGACTTTCAAGTGCCTTAACCTCGTCATCCTTTTTGTTCTACTCTTCTGGAGAGTAGTTAGTCAAGGACAGATATTGTACTAATCTTGTTATTTCTGCTTTATCGAACAGTCAACGGTCATACCATCTTCAGTCGATTAAACAAATGACTTTCATGCGTTGATCTATTCAATTAAACTTTTCTCTCGTTTCAGAATTGAATTGGTTGTCGATAATCGTGTCAATCGTTCGACATTATCGGCCAACGGTATTCGAAATGCTGTGTCTCTTCAGCCGGTTCTCTACGTGGGTGGAATTCCAAATAATAACCAGATTAATTTAACTGGATCAGGTTTAAACCCACATGGATTTCAAGGATGCTTAGCAAGTTTCGTTGTTGACGGCCGATTACTTGATTACCAACGAGCATTAGTATTAAACGGACAAGTGAAAATGAATGTTTGCTCAGGTAAATTTCATCATAGGTCTCCTCATTTTCCTCTGCATCAGAAGAAAACACATCGAGCATTTTCTTTTTCGTATGGAAATCGATTCAGTCACAAAAACACGTATAACTGCCCTTTTCTAGCAATCTCTACCAGTGTATCGTCTAATATGAACACAGGTAAGTTTATTGTTTGTTTGCTTCTTCTAGACACCCTCTATCTTCCCTTGTATAAAAAAAAATCGTGATTTTTCCTTCTCCTATGTCATGTATATCTCCACTTGTTTATCACGCACTCTTCCATATCATTGAGCGAGAGTTGAATGGCAAACAAAATCGGATTTGTCTTTGATTGATTTAGATTTGAACAAACTCTGTTATGATTTCACGTGTGTTCACTCGGGTATATGCTCGACGAATGATAACGATGGACCACGGTGTGATTGTCTAGAGACGAGTTATATTGGTGAACGATGTGATAAAAGTAAATCAGAAATAGCTTTCATTGAAAACTGATTGAAGATCTTTTTCTGTTTGTTAATGTTTAGTACCGAATGGATTCTATTTTGGTAAACACTATGCAAGTGGATCGATTGAATATGTGATGCCACAAACGCGCCAAACAGAATACGATACAATTACATTCGGTTTACAAACACTGGCCCTATCCGCACAAATCTTTCGTTTAGAATCCGATTTGGATTCTTATAGTTTAGAATACGAAATCGTAAGTTGTTTAAAGTCAAAACTGTCACTTTACTGAAATCGAATATGTGTTTAGCTACGTGGTCGTTCGTATATAAAATTGAATATGGGAGAGAAACAGCCTGATGTTTATTCATGCGTTGTTCATGTTACTGATGGAATGTATCATGCTATTAAGATTATTCGTAAACTTTCAACGATTGAATTGTACGTAGATGGAATTCGGGTCAAATTAGATGGAGGAAATAGTACGTAGAGGCTGTTAGTGGGAACATGAAAGATTTGAGATGTTCAATGTTTAGAATATACACGTCAATCAGATCAACAACGATCGTTTCTTGCACAACGAAGATTACGAATTGGAAGTTTCAAAAACATCTCGATCTGGAATGGAATTATCGCTGGTAAATATGAGTTTCTATCGATTATCCCTCCATCTTTCGAACATGTGTTTATGTTTGATAATTAGACAGATGTACCGAGTGAAAGATGTCTAGCTTTGAGATATTTATTTTTGACTTTAAGCCAAACGAGCCCATACGTTTTATTTATGAAAGATTTCAACTGATCGTAAATCAGATTTCAATCTCGTTTTATTTCAGGTCTCTCATTCAATCGTCAATCAATATTCGACAGTCTTTCCAATACTCTTGTTCGTACTGGTGATGTAGAAGAAGTACAACCAGATGATCATACTGGTCTATTCAATCTAGTTGAATCTACACACTATGCTACTCCGATAATTTCTTCCACTGTTCTTTCGACATCCTCAATAATGAATAGCACTTCTGAAACAACGATTCTTGATCAAACTATCAGTCCCACATCAGATATTCCAATAGCTGACAATATCTTTCATCAACCAGCAGCAACCCAAGTGAATACAATTTCTCAACTACCTCATCAAACACCGTTTGAATGGATCTACAAAAAGCTAACATATTTTGGCATTCGTGGTCTTCTCATCGGTTCAATCTTGTCGATCTGCTTTCTGCTTTTTCTTCTCTTTTTAATCTTACATATCCATTGCAAAACTCGCCAATCGAAAAAGAAACTTTCGCACAAATATAATCAAACCAACGGAAGTAAAACTTACTCCCAAATCAAAGGTTATTCCATGGCATCACCCGACGCATATCAATCGAAGAAACGTGCACAAAAACTTCTTCGATTCTTGCACGCTAAGCAATCCAATCCAACTTCGTTTCGTCTAGCATCCAACGGCAGCATGTCCCGTTTGAATAGTGGTGATAGTTATCATCTCATATCTTCAATTCAAGAAAATCGTAAAGATAAAAAGAAGAATTCGTCCTATAAAAATGCCATCAACACTGCCAACGATAATGATGGTTGTATATATTCAACTCTAGCTCAACCTATTCCACCTCCATCGACATCCTCGTCAATATATCATCAAGTGAATCGTCTGATGTCTAATCCAAGCGAGCCATCAACTACTCTAACACAATACCATTCACCCATTGTTCCACACACAGCAACATTACGATCGTTGAAGAAAGAGCTAGATAATTCAAGTGCTCAAACGTATTCGGCTGTTTACTCTTGCGATTTAGCAGCAAATTTAGATGTGGAAGATGAGTTTTTCGCCTCACATCGATCATCATTGAAACGCCGGTCACTCTCTAAAACACATCCGAATTCCATCGAAATTCAAAATCAAATTCTGTTTCTCTACGTCAAAAATCTTGTTGATTGCTATGGAATCCAACCTAATCATCATCAAACAATCCTTCTGGCCACTGCTGACGAAAATCGCATTCAATTATCCCACGTTCGTGTAAGTCTCTTTCGAAAGAAAACCTTCGAATCATCAATATTTGTCTTCTAGTCCGGTATTTTTCACTCCCAACTTCCAATTTCATCCGTTGGTGCTTGCCATAACATCCTATTTTCCTACAATGGTCAGTATCTTATCGGACTTTTCTACGAAGTAACATCGAACGTGAATCCATACGGTGTAAAAATATGGTCAACAGATGATTATTCCATTCGTACGAATGTGCATCCGATAAAATGTTCCATTGCCAGTGTATCGCGACATTCACCGATACTTTACATGGCTGGAAAACAAAAGTATGGGCGGGGAATTTCACTTGGTCTGCTTGATATTGACTCATGCAGTCTGGCACGGGAATTAAAGTCCGATCCCGATACATCGATTGGCGATGAGATCAAACGAATTATTCTAACAAAAAATGAATTATATGCCTTAGTTGCTTGTACAGAATTTACAAGTACATTTACATGTTTCGTCGTTTTCAAACTAGAAGCAACGCCAACGCCTTCGGTTTTAAATGACGATCAGTCATCATTGATCACGGGAACGATGAGTAATTGTACGATGATATTAACACGATTTAATTGTGATCCAAATTTTACATTTTCCATGGTCGATTCGAATAACAATGGTGATCAATATATCTTAACTATACTACGCACCAATGAGATTATTATCTGGCAGTTAAACGATGGAGAAATCTTATATAGTTATGACTTTAATTATTTACTCAATGACACAAATACAAATCAGATCGTTGATTGTCAAATGAATGATAATCGCTTATTAGTATTTACTCAACAAGGCTTTATTTATATCTGGGATGTGACAATTCCTATCGGCCAATTCCTTTTAATTGCAACAATTTGTGATCCATTGGTAAATCCTTATGAGAATGACGTTTTTTATCTTTATGACTAGCCAAATAATAGAAGAAAACAAAATAGATCAATCTGTATAGCATATTTCCTCATAAAACTCGTTCATTTCAAGTGCTCGTTCACTCTGACTTTGACCTAAAACTCGTTAACACATAAATACTCAATCGAGTACATTTTTCATTTAGATCCACTCAGTAACGTGGCTCGACTATCGACATTTCCTTTCCATTGACACCGATGGTCAACGTATACGTACTTGGAGTGTGAAACAAAAAGAAGTCATAAATGAATCAATCTCTCTTCAAGGTACAATTCAATCTCTACATGTTCACTCAGTAACCAACCATTTTAATAATCAAAAAGAATATTTTATCACGGGTGTATCGGCCAATGAACGAAGTTTAGTTCTTTTTGAATATACGCAGTTAAATGATGATATATCCAAGCACATCGTTGCTTGTTAGTCATGGAAGAAGAACTCGGAACAGAACTGACACACATTGCCATATATTCTCATGCGAAGGGCAAATCATTTTGATCTGCTCTCCGTCGCACACGTCTTTTTTTTATGTAGATCAGATACAATTTGTATTTGTTTTTCTTTTTCTGTGGGTTTGTTTTCTATTTTTGCTATAAAACGTTTCCTCGATATCAATTTGTAATAAAACATGCAATTTGATTTCGACAGAAGGACTCATCGGCTCGAATTGAATTTCTTTACCAATAAACGAAACAACGAATCTGCTGCGTCTTTTGACAGCTGTCAAGTTTCATCTGCTCCGCTACTGCATTCCATCAATAATGATTTAACTATAAAGTATTTTTACTTCTTTCGGTAAGAAAATATACATTAAAAGGACTTAAAACAAATGCTACTGCGCTCACGAATCTTCAATTATTAATTAAATGACACAAAGAGAATTCCTCCATTGTTTTCAAGCACGTATAGGATGCCTTTGTTTCTTTGCATAATAAATCATTTAAGTGAGAGCCATCTTGCCCCATAAAGCGAATTCGATTTGAACAAAACTTTGCTCTCTTCCTCTCTTGTTTTCTACTAATCGTTACTTCGATATTAACCGTTTGCATGCTTTGTATCTCGCCTTAATCAACGAAACATTTTCCGTTCTTCGGCCGATAGTAAATGAGATAGTCGAGGAAGGAGAGAGACAAAATTGTGAATATAGTATACATACGAAGTACCTTTATAACAGCTCATCTTAATCGTTACGCATTCGATTTTCATCATATGTATTTACAATGAAGTACCTTCGCTTTTTTCCTCTCTTCATGTTTTTTGTGCATATTTTGCATACACTTGTCGCGTCTGAGCGTTTTTTCTCTTTCCTTTACTTATGTACGCCAGTGATTCGCGTGTTTATTATTATCGCCGGCGTTGTTCATCGAAATAATAATCGTAGATATGTTCGAAGAACTATTACTGCTTTTCTCCCGTTTCCCCTATTAATTCCAATAGAATCATAAAATAAGAAGGAAGCACAAGTAACGCTGAGTAGGAAACAAAGAAATCAAATCATACTAAAAAACAGTCATTTAGAAACATGCTATTGAATTTCTTTAATTGTAGTTGCCATTCATGGCGTCGATTGATCATTTTCATCTGGACTTTTTCCTTAATATTCATTATGCGAATACCTCTACTTTAACGAATCTTACACATGACAAACAATCACCATCGACACATGAATACAACTGGTCTGTTCTATTTTTGTTCATTGTGGGGATCTTTGGCACCTTTGGCAATCTACTCGTGTGTATTTCAATCACTCTTGATAAACAATTACAAACTGTTACGAATTGGTTTCTCTTCTCTCTGGCTATTGCCGATTTCCTAGTTAGTTTGATTGTTTTGCCGTTTTCTGTTATCAAAGATTTTCATGGTAAGAATAATATCAAAAGAAGACATGATTATTGAAGAGAAGATAGATAGAAATTGTGTTAAATCTCTGACGTCGAGAAGATTTGATTAGATCCTCACTAATTGCGTTAGCGAAACAAGAGAATAAACAGATGGTCACTTGAGAGTTACTACTGTTGTTAGAGTCACCAACTTTGCGTCAAATGTAGGTCAGAACAGTAAAAAAAAAGCTTGACAGTTTCACCATTGAGAAGTTTCCTTTGCTTTGATAGATGATTGTTTATTTTCTAGTCGTTGGCCGACATGCTGACAGGACTGAGCTAATAATACGATCCTATCATGCGCAAAACCAATTCTCAAGAGAGTTTGCACATGATAAGTTGATTTGAACGAAAAGTTTTAGGTAATTTTCATCTTAGCTCGAGACAAACTGTCAAGCGCATTCGATAAACAAGAAGAGACATTGTCGCCAAATTGAATTAGTTTACATATGATAGAAATCGGATTTGTTGTTAATAATCTTTTTAGGTTCGTGGCAATTACCAGTCATATTTTGTAATTTGTTTATATTTTTCGATGTACTTTTGTGTACAACTTCAATTTGGCACCTGACTATTCTTTCAATCGATCGTTTCCTACATATTTCACGACCCTTTCGCAGTCGAGAGCGAAGCAAACGGAAAACCTTCTTGACAATTCTCTGCATTTGGACATTTTCTATCGCGATCTCATGTACCATACTTATTCTTGGTTTTCTCGATCAAAACAACATTATCATCATCGATTCCGAACACCGTCGTCATTGCGTTCTCAGTCATCGTCCGTTTATCATCTATGGATCAATCATTTGTTTTTGTATTCCATGTATATTAATGCTTGTTACTTATTCGTTAACGATTCGCCGTTTACAATTAGAAGCAGCGAAATGCTTCGCAGATCCCGATGATCATCTAATGATTAAGCCGAAGAAATTCGACGGATTGCGTCGGCATCGATCCGCAACCCAACAACGTCCATTATCATATCCGCGAAAGAACGTTTTATCTAGGGAAGCTTCGAGTTCAACATCCGCATCACTTCGAACACCAACACAGACTGACATTGATGACAAAAAAAATCATCATCAGCAATGCCCGTAAGTTTCATGACATCGAAGAATCGAATAGACTAATTTTTAATCTGCAGACATTCATATTAATATCCCTCGAGAACATATTGACATCCTTCCCTTTATACAAAACTAATCATTATGATAATAACGATGTTTCTAGGATATCTCCGATTCAAGCCGTTCCGACATCGAATACACAACAACGATCGTTTCTTCGCAATACTTTTGTACAGAAAGCTGTTCATGCATTCAAAGGTGGATCGGAAACAACTAGTGAACGTCGTGCAATAAAAGTTCTCGGCATAGTTTTCTTCGTCTTTCTTATTGCATGGCTTCCCTTCTCGATTTTGAATATTCTCTCAGCTGTCTGTCCATCGTGTGGTGTTCAAGCATCTTTATTAAATCTAACCAGCTGGCTTGGTTATATTTCATCAAATCTCAATCCCGTAAGGAGAATTCCGATCTTTTGAGTTAATTCTACAGTCAAATGTTTGTTCTAGATCATCTATACAGCATTCAACGTCCGATTTCGTCGAGCTTTTATTTCCATATTGACTTGTCAACCGAATTATTTCTCACAGAAACGTAAAGGAAATAATCAATACGTATTCGTAGCAACAAATAATCAACAAGCAATTCTAGCCGATCAAGAACAGTACTTTTTCCCGTTGCGTCGTTCTGGTAAGGAACGACAATCGTTACGGAAGAATTTTCCATAACATTTACCGTTATTAACACGTGCACGTCTGTGAAATGAACTCTTTTTTTTCGTTTGTCTATTCCTATATTAAAAACTCAAGTATGTGCACGAAACATACGAGACACACCTATTGACTTAATTGTAAGACGTCATTTGAATGCAAGTAAATATTCTCATAAACCTGGCGAGACTTTTTATTACTTGAAAACATTGTTAATTTGATAATTGACGCGGAATTTTCGCTGTCATTGGACGTGTTTTATCAACAGATAGAGAATGTCTGCGATTAATCGAAATAATTTCTTGCACTGTTTATTCCAGTCATTCTTTTACATTGAGCCTATTCCAGAAATACTGACTCACACATTCTTTTCTTTCCTATGAATGGAATTGGTTACGAACTTTTGTACTTTCGGCAAAGTATCAAATAGAATTTATTCAAAAGTCCATCGAATGACTCTGTTTTCTCCTTCGGTACGAGTATTGTATGATACTTTTATCTCGAAAGGTTATGTATGTTTATTGATAAGCAGTATCGAATTCTTTGCATAAACAAACATGACTAGAAGAAAAATATAAGAAAGATATTTCTATGTCAGAATGCATGTAATGAAAGTTTTGACCGACGGGTTCATTTTGCATACTATCAGCCATTCAGTATGCACACCCTTTAAACTGTTTTAGTAAAAGAGCGCGTGAGAATCGTTTGTACTTTTTGTTCTTTTTTTTTCCTAATGAGACGAGTTCATTCATTCGAATTCAATAATAGTTCCGTTTTCTTTCAACAACCTAAGAAAGTCTCTATACCTGCTACAAATGAATCAACATATCGATCAGAACCTCAGACGACGGATCGATCGACTATTGTGCCTGTTACTCTAGTTCCAAATGATATTCCTAATTATTTCGGTTCGGCCATGCAATCAATGTGTCTTGCTTTTTTTACATTTGCATATACCGAGGTAGTCTAAACGAAACTAATCCTGTTGACTTAAATTTCATCTAATCTACGTAGTTAATCGATGGTGCTGTTTTCGCCGGCAATGTTATTCTTCTTCATGTCTTTTTGAAATTTCTCATCATTCTTTCGATAAGTTTAACACTATTTGCTGCCTTTGCATCGATCCGAGTATCTATATTTACTTGTCAGACATCTGAAAACAATCCTGCCATAATCGGTTCAAATAAAGCCAAATTCTATTCATCAATAGCGCATTATGGTTCAATTATATCTACTACGACATGTGCTATAATTATTTGTATCATCGCTATTCTTTCTCTTTATGTCACATTTCATGAAAGAACTGTTTGATTAATAATTAAGAAGCAAGAAGTTCCCAACTCGATTGTATCTTTCAACCAGAAATGTAAACCAAACATTGAAGAACGCTTGAGTGCTTGATGATATAAAGTTAGTTTTCTGGATGATGTTACGATTAACTTTCGTGCTCTTCACCTTTTACTGTTTGCCTAGCTGGAAAATAGACGGTGTAATTTCAAATAATATGATATATATTTGTTAGAATATATGTATCAATGATTCAGAATATCCATGAACACAGATAAATGATTCGATCACATTTACGAATAATGGTATCAGAGAAAAAAGACAGTTCTCACTACGGTGTTCGTTCCTCTGATAGATATGTAGACAGTTTACAGGTAAGAAATAAAAGAATAGACAAAAATAAGAGTAAGAAAGGCATCAATAACAGCAAAAAAGAACGAAATGAGACAGTAGAGACTAGATTTGAACAGAGAAGAAGAAGAAGAAGATCAAGAAAAATAAAAAATGATTATGATTCTAGATATCACTGTTTCTATTTGTCTCCTATTGTGAATGCTTGTTTTGACGATTCCATCGAAGACGTTTGACTGAGCGTTGACTTCCACACAATTGACATTCAATTCGCCATAAACCGGTTGATTTGATTAAATGTGTTCGAGCTTTCTGACAAGCTAAGCACGTCACATATTCATCAAGATACTTCTTCAATACATTATCAAACGTCGTTCGAGTTGTTCGAGTATTAAATGTTAACTGCTCACGTTGATTGATCGACGACTCACAACCATAATATAGGTTCACATATTGTTGAAATAAATGCGGATCACGGTTTAATGCACGAAACAACCGGATATACGATTTCCAATTGTTCAAGATTGAACGTGATTGTCCGACGGTTATATCAGCATGGGGTATGGTTACAGGCGATTGACAACGTGAAATCATTTCAGTTAAATCATGCTCTTGTCGTTCGATGCAACGAGCAAGAAGACGATCGTAATCATATAACAAATCGAGCGAATTGGAAGAATCTGCTATTGTAGGTTTTTGTTCGCAAACTGGCTTTGAGCTTGACTCAGGATGAACAGAAGAAGAAGAAGAACAACAACAACAACAAGGAGTAGTATCGATATTTTCATGACAAGGATTTTCTACTGCTGTCGAATTGGTTTCTTCTTCTTCCGGCGTTTGTTTAGATTGTTCGTTGGCTGATAATGAAAGAATTTCTTCACCAAGAGAAGATGGTCGACGACTTGATGTCAGAGAGTTGGATCGCGATTGAGGTGGAGTTCGGCGAAAGAAACGTTTCAAATGACTGAATAGTTTCCTTTCAATCCATGAAGTTGGATTGGTGTTAGCCGTGTTCGCTGTCGAAGAAGACGATGAAGATGTGACTGATGGTGTCCAACTATTTCTTCGATCGTAATCATCAACTAACCGAAATTCTTTTTCTGTGAGCATCATCATTTGTGGCAGATAATCTATATCAGTACACATGGATAAATTCAAATCTAGAAATAAATCTTCAATCTTCAGTTTCTTCTTAGTCTATATAGATGATGATAAAAATCGAACCATTGTATTTGATTTTCTTTGCTTACTTTGTAGATAGATCGTTTCTTTTTTTCTCCCTCTCTCCCCTCTCTCTCTCTCCCCTCATTTCATCTTTCGTAGTGTGTGTGTGCGTGTGTGCAAAAGAAATACGTTCTCGTCAAGCGATAGAAAGAAAAACAAAAACACTGACTACGAATCTTTACTTATATCTCAGCTGTTACTGGTACAAATGAAAATAGGAAAGGAAGAGAAAAAAAGAAATAACAACAAAAACGGCGACGACGGCGACAACCACAATATAAAAAAAAACTGCGTATTTAGAAAAGTGGGTGGTTAAGGAAATGGTCTGATGTCACTTTCTGATGACATGATTACAGAAATAGACAAAGATATTCGAACCAGAAACTGATGACAAGAAATTCAGTTACATATTCAAATTTCATGAGCTATTAATCATGTTTATCCGCCTCTTATTTGCATTGTTTTTTCGTCACAAATTTCGAGCCATGATAAACTGGAAGGACAATTAAATAGATATGCATCAATTAGCTAATAATGATAACATAGACTATCTGTCAAAAAACACCTTCATTCAAACCTGTGAATAATAATAATTCTCATCAATCAATTGAAAAACAAACAGCTTTATTCGAATTCATCGATTTTCTCTCGTTATCGAATGATCGTCTCGTTTATTTTTGTGATCATTAGAAGACTTATAGATGCCAGTTGTTTCTTCGGATAGGCACACAAACGAAACAAGAAGAATTATGTTATTGTGATGTTTAGATAATATGTTCTCTCAAGGTCAATCACGTACGAGCTATTACGCGCCTTGCTGTTCGTGTTTTTTCTATACTTGTTACATTTTCTCTTTTATGTTAAATAATGATACTTATCGGAAGTATAAAATTCATATTCATACAACGTTAGATCTTCGTCGTTCGCCTAAGACTGCCAGAGAGATTCTTCTATCAAGATGGAAACTTATCAAAAACGACGAGTTCATTTGCCATTCGATTGATAGTCTGACGCAAATCATTATCAATCTTTTAAAGAATCCTTTTTGTCATCAACTGCAATATACACAGAACACAGCTGATGAAAAGTTTCAATGGCTTTTACTACTAGTCACTTCTCGATATCAATATTACGATCATAGAGCATATGTTTCCACTCAATCAATCGACATTGACGGGGACAAAACTCTCAATCAGGAGCAAACGTCTCACATTTCGTAAGTCCAAGCCGTTTTGACATTGAATTCACGAAATGTTTATTCTACTCGCATTCACACTCAAAGATTACTTTGCTCTCTTTCTCTTCAATCAATGACCTTCCAGTAGCAATCTATTAAATTGGTCTAAGATGGATTCAAAAATGTTGTCATGACCTTTCCCTTTGTACTTAATAGCCATATGATTTATTATTTGCGATCGTTTATCGTTCGATACAAATAAATCAATCAGAAAACTTCATTTTCATTTGCTGAAGATGATATGCTCGAGAAAACTTATTGCAAGCAAATAAGACAGACGACTACTTCTCCCCATCGTTGATGATGATGCTTCACGCAGAAAATGTACTTAAAAAACTTTTCGCATATGTCATCTATTTTCTAGAGGAGAAAATGAAGAAAAACTAATTGAATATTTTCACAACAATGAACTGAAACAATTATGCGATAATGAGAAAAAATTTACTGCTAACGAGCAACATCGAGTCATAACAAATTTGTCTGAAATCGCATTCGAAACTCGAACAAAACATATTTCATTAGCACTTACAATAAGTAAGAAATCGAATCAACAGGAATACCTTGTCAGAGAAACATAGTGTAAGTCAATACTCGGCGAATCGATCCTTTACCGATTATTATTATTATTATTATTAGTGCATGTGAAAAACACACCTACGTTAATAAATCCTTTTCTTTCATTAGACGATTATTTACTATCCGGATGAAAAAATGCGACGAAAAATATGTTAAGCGATAAGGATGATTACGCACATACAACGAAATAAGAATCGAAAGTGCTGCGTAGTATTTTCTAACGATTGCATAATGTCGATGATGAAATTATCGAGAGGGCATATTCGTAGAATAGGAATAGAAACGAAAGAAATTCTAATGCAAAATGATTGTTTCTTTTATCCCGATAGATTTTGTGGGAAATTGTGATGAAACAATCGATAAAATCGTTAATGTCACATCAAATATTATGATTGATCATCGTTTACGATTAGATTTTGCCATGTATCAATATTTACAAGAGAAAAATGACTTCATAGCGCGACTTTTAATTGTTCTTAACCAACAGTCGACTGAAAGTCGGGTACGTCAACAATTTAAAAAGAATTGCCTGGAATTTAATCAACAAGTTATTCTATCGGAAAGAAATCTTCAAGTATTTTTAATTAAACAAGTGCATTGTGAACAACAAGCACTCCCTCGACAAGAAAACGAGAACTCAGTTTCATTACTTTCAACAACTCCAAACTTGTCTCGTTTTTTCCGACAAACCTATGACCGATCAGCGTCAGCATACACATCGAAAAAGAAATCACATCGATATCATTCTTCATCGATGAACATGAACAACGAAAAAGCTCGATCTACGTTGTCTCGAGCTGACGAAAAACTGGATCGAACGGATTCAAAAAAGGATTTCGATAGTCATGTCAGAGACCCATCGAAGATCTATATCAAACTATTCGACTGTCAAGCAGCGTGCAGGTTAAATAATATTCACATTTTTTCATTGAGCTGAAATCGATTGTTCATTAGACGGCTGACTGAGAAGTACAAACAAGTGAAGCACTACTCTTCACATCGGATTAAACCATCCAAATGGCCAATTTGTTACCGAAATTTTCCTTCGTCATTCAATGCATTATCGAAGTCTCACAGAGCAAATAAACAAGTTCTGAATCAATACTGTTCGAAGTCAATCACTGACAAATCAACTTGCCGAGAAAAGTATCAAACAGAGATATCGATCGATGTTCGAAAGAAGTCGTGTCAGCAATTGCTTAAAGATAGAAGAATCGATGATGAATTTGTTTGTTTCGGTAAAAGATGATTTTAGTCTTTCTATCTGATAAAGGTTATGAGTTGGCCCAGGAATTGGTGCGATTGATTTGATTGATGGTTCAGAAGGGCCAACACTATGTTTGAAGCAAAATGACATAAAACCAGATGAAAGTATCTGCTTATATCGAAGGGCTTCATCGAACAGGGAACTGAATTATGAAAAGGGAGATAAACAAAAATCTTCCGAGGTTTTCTTTCATCCAAGTTTCGAGCGTGATTCAAATCTATTCACCAATCAAACTCTGTCAATAGACTATGAAAGCGACTATTATACCAATATTGACCTTGAAATTTCCTTATTAAGTGAAATGGACATTTCAACAACGTATCAATGTCCTTCCGCAGCAATTATGTCAGCAAATCTAGTACCAATATGTCCTTTGACAGTCATCAATTGTCGATTGTCAGCAGCTGCAGTACAAACGCCATACTTGCCACTTGCAATTCATATGTCCGACACGTCAGATCTGTGGCAATATCGACCATTATCGACTGTCATACTTCTGAAGAATGAAGATTCTCAACAAGAACATTCACCCATACAATCTGTAAATATATTATTCGATCGGGATTTTCGTTTCACAAATGATCAACAGATATTTGATAGTATTCATGTTTGATATCGATTCCTTTGGAAAATGTTTTCTTTCTATAGGTGACAATGAACAATCGAAGGATAAGCAAGTTATAAAAAGTAACTTAAGCTCGACTATTAAACCAGTGCTGGATAAACTGCATACTTCATTTGTTGAATCGATACTATTTGATGATAGAACAGATCTCCAAGAAACTGATCTTCATTCAGACTACAGTCCTATGACTACAATTTCGGATCAAGGTATCAAATACTTAGATATCTTTGCAAGACTCATCAGGTTATTTAGGTCAATTGATCTCATTAGATACTATTTTGGAAGGTATTCTCCTTAGAATTGCTCTATTTAGTTAGAAAATACGTGAAGGGCAATAGCAAGGCAAACTCTTAATTATATGTCGTGTTGTAGGAACTTCGTTTGATAACCGTGTTTCTCTTCAAGCTCAGCAATCGGCTGAGAAAACACTCAATCATTTCGACAGTGAAATGCCGTCTCCTTTGTTAATTGAACCATCGCGATCCTCCCGTAAACCTTCAAATGATCTGTTTGAAAAGTTGTTTCATTCTTTATAGTATCTATTGCAAGCATAGAGCATTCTATCGACGAGTTTGTATCAACAACGCATATTGACGTCCAAGGTAGATGGAAAAGAGCGATATTTCTGGAAGATTATTAAGTTTAGACAGGGAACAACATCAATCGATCACAACTCCGACAAATGTACCTCTATCGGTGTTGCATAAGCATAATAGTCATGAAAAAATTGTATCTACAGCTGCTGCTGAAGCGCAGACGTCACTACTTGAGTCGTTGGACACTTACAATCACTCCTTAATGGAAAACACCGGTCTCAAACACAGTAAAAGCTCATGTCTTTAATCTATATTTATCTCTGGAATTTGTTCGCCTTCAGTTAATTTAAAAATAAATCATAGTCTGTCTCTGGTGAACGGTAATTTTCAAAAGATATTAAATTATTTATTAACGCTACTATCTTTCTTTCTTTGTAGCCATTATCTCAAGCGAAGAAAAAGCTACTTTAGCGCATTCATTATTACATCACTCAAAGTACTCACCATTAATGTCTGCATCTTCTATTCATAGAAAACCTTCATCAAGTACCTGTCGACATCATCTATTCGTCACACGTCTATCAGCTTTTTAGGTAGTTTGAATGTATCTCTGGTGCATCATCCGAAGAAATCTAGACCTAACATCGCGACGAGTGCATGTCAACCATCAACTAAGAAGTCGAAAATGTCACGTAACATAAAGAAGTATCCAACGTCAAGCGATCTACATGTGCGACGCCCACATAAAAGATACTCTTCACCGGATCAGATGATGAATACGCAATCGAAAGCTCTTTCGAGACGAAAGAATACGACCTCAACAATGACTGGAAAGAAACCAGTATCTAAAATCCAACCACCCTGGGTATCGGTATATACAAACGCTGCTCGTCAGACTAAGTCTTTCAAACGTACAACTCTCACACCAAAACAATGTGAAATTCATTGCCAAATCGTACCACCTTGTACGAAACTTGAACATTTCTATTGTCGACCCTGCCGACATATCCCTCCATGTTCGGCTGTGAAAGCAGCTAATCTCTGTACGATATATTTAGCATAGAAGAAGACTGAATTCCTACCTCATTTCATTTGAAGACAATGCAGGAGATGAATATTGTGGAGTGAATGCCATAGTTTTATATGCCATCTATGAAGTCTTTGTAAATCATTATTTCTCATTTCTCTCTTGATTTTCATATGTCTGACGTCAATGTCTAAGTTCTCGGACGGTAATTTTCTTCTCAGAAGAGCTAATACTTGAATTGAAATATATTTCTACTTGAATAAATCATGTCTGACAGGGGAATAACGAACCAATTAAGAACAAGTATCTGTATTGTTTTCTTTTTTATATAAAGCTTACGATAAAGGAGAAGAACACGTACAAAAAAAACGAGAAATATTTCATTTATTTAGATTTTAGACGAACTTCATTGTTTAATTGCGGCTGAAATATGTCTTGAATCATTTTCTTCTTGACTTCGATTTGGCTCGTGTCCAGACCGGCTTCCCGGTACTGTCTTTCAGCTGTCTTCAGATATTCTAAGTTTAACCGAGGAAATATCTGCCATGGTTCCATACTTAACATATCATCAATATCATTTTCTTCTCGATAATAACCCCAATAATACTAAAATCACAAACAGATTGAATTCGAACTTTCCCTTTCGTATAAAAACAAACCATATTGATCAAAATAGTCACAATTAGAACGGGTCGTGTGAATTTTCCAATATGACGATTAAAGACGATTGAGTCTGCTGTGTCCCAATATTTTGCTCGACTAGTGGAAAATTTTACTGGTTTATCAAATTCTCGACGTAGTTCTCGAACATGTTCTTTGGCTGCTTCTTTAAGATCTTCAGCTGCTTTAGGAATAAGTGATGGAGTTGTTTTTGAACGAGAGAGTACAAAATTAACCCAACGTTTCGAGATATGAGATCTAATCAACGACAGAGACAAGTGTTGCATCTAAAATTAACGTGAAAATTGTAATTCGAAATGCAAATTGGCTTTTCGCAGAAAATACAAAAACATTATTTATTCAAAATGTTCATACGAAGTCGTACAATCCCAAACCTAAATGAAAAACGAGTTTTATTTGAGAAATACATCCTGAAGTTGACTACTGTTTTACTTTTATTTTTGCATCAGTAGCACCAGACATGATATGCCGAGCATTGGCATGTAACGCAGTCACTTCTGCTTCATGTCGATCATCATATTGAACTTGTTCGAATCGCTCCACATTCCATACCCGGATTGTCTTATCACTCGAGGCACTTATCAAATTTGATTGATTAAATTTATCAGCACTTAGCATACACAGACCGTGGACGGTTGCATCGTGCTGACAAGTTGTATCTAAGCAACGGTTCGCTCGAATATCCCAAACCTATAAGTAAGTATACAGAGAAGGTGAACGTAGATCATCGACTGATTTTGCTGTTATTTACATATATTTTTCCCGAAGAAGCACCAGAAAATAGCAATGTATCCGAATGTGCCAAGCTATAAATTGAATCACTGGTGGGTAATTCAAACTCGAACGAGATTTGATGCGTAGTTGCATCAAAAACCTAAGTATCAAAATCGATGGAATGATGTCCAAAAACGAACGTCATTTACTTTGATTCCACGTCGACATCCAGCATAGATGCATTTATCTTTTTGCATGAGAACTCTTAGCCAACCATTGCGAGTATCTGTGGCAATTTCATTGAACAATTGTAACGTTTCAATATCCCAAACTTTCAAGCATCTATTTGATGAACTGTACAAATGATTATCGTATTGTGCTAATGAACAAACAGGATCTAGAATCATCGAACTTTGTCTATAGAGGAGGCGAACATGTTCATGGAAATTCACCTGTGTGAGCAACAAAAGATGTCGTTTGATTATAATCGTCTAAATTCCAAACCTGAAGAACAAAATCGATCAATTAAAAATAGATTTTCATTATTAGTTTATGCTCACAAATATCGAGTTATCCCCACCACCACTAAACACAGTTCGTTCTTTCACAGTCAACGATAAAACCGCGTCATGATGCCCATGCAACGTAGCTAAATTCGTAAATGGAGTTCCACATAAATTCCAAACCTATTCTTTCGCTATCGAATAAACAAGCCGAAAAATCGACCAGGTGCATCCTACTTTAACTGTTTTATCTGACGAACCACTGAGAAGTACGTCATGTAATGCATATAAACACCAAACAGTATCATTATGTCCCGTGAATGTTCCATTACAGCGAAGAATAACACTGGGGAAGTCCTGATCGTCATCACTATCTAATAAACAATAAAAAATCGAAGGGAGTTTTTCGATGGGATTCATCAATACCATCAGTTCGTATCGATTCTTGTTCGTCAATAGTTGTTGGTATAGGAGATGTTTGTTTCGTTTTCATTAGTTCACTCTAGAAAGATCATCGGTAAGAAAACGTTCGATGTATCATAGAGAAACATTTTACAAGTAAAAGATCATTCCGGGAACAGAGAACTTCTTGATTCACTTTTAACGTATCTAAATAAGAAGAATTTCCTAATTGAACTCGAAAATTGCCTTCACCTACCGATCTCATTACGCATAAGTGCAACTGTACTTGTTAGTTGTTTGCATGTGTTGACGAGAAAATCGATTTGTGACATCTTTGAAATTAATTCTTGTTGGAGTAGCTGTAAGTGTTCGTGATTGACAGGTGAATTTACATTGGCTGTTGTCGTTTGTCGGTTTGAGCAAGTATGAAGATGGTTATACAGATCCTAAAAATCTTCTATTTGGAAACTCTCTTTGCTTCCATTGGCAAGTCAATGCATCGACTCACTTTTTGACGGAGATTATTCAACGAGCAAGCATTGGGACAGGAAACAAAACGATAAGGACATTCATCTTCATGTTCTCTAGATTGAAGCAAAGCGAAAATTCTCTCCGGATCAAAACACTGACGAAAACAACGAACTTTTTTCTCTTCAGCGCGATCTTCACCGGACAACCGTATTCATCACGTTCATTTTTCGTATCGTTCGAACTCATCGGAAACTTTTTGAAAGCATATTTACACCAGACGAGTAGAGCGTCGATTTGTTCAGCAATAATCTGATTACTGACAAAGCTTTGTACAATTTGTTGATCGAATGGGCATTGTACTACAATTCATTTCACGTGTCAAATCAGCTCGAAAGTAGAGCATGAACTTACCTGTGTTAGATATACACCTTCGACAGAATGTATGCTAAAAAATATGAATAAAAATCCCAATAAATTCACAAGGAAATTACTCACAGAACATTGTGTAATAACTGGATCGGAAAATATTCGCTGACAAATAGGACATTTTAATGCTGAAGTAGATTGTTGATCTGCATACACGACATCATCCTGAGATAAACAGATCGATTCTCTTTGCGAACCGACTACAGCCATGAACAAGACAACAGATCTAGAGTATTGGCTGAGATATAAATACAGTTGTTTTTTCTTTGCGGGTAAAATTTGTTTTCTCTCTTAGACTTATAATCAAATTCACTCTTAACAAACAAAATGAGAAATCGACTAAACCAGGAAATGTTGTAGTTACTTAAACAAATAAATAAGATATCACAACAGAAATATATATACATATATGTGTATGTATATGTTTAAAAATGGAAAAAACGATGAGTAAAAGTTTTTCTATGAACTCGCCGATGCGCCAATCGTTGTGAGATTTTCACCATCGAAAAGAATAGGCCGTTGAGGTAAACAAGTCGAACGTATACCATTGGACGAATGACGCATTGGCATATTGCACGAGGAAGAATCTGATTGCTAGAGTGAGCGAAAGAAAAGTGAAGTCAATTTTTGTGTTTGAAAAAAAAGCTAAATGAAAATCTCAAGGTTTAATTAAATCACAAGTCGTCAAGTAGATGTTCACCAATGAATTTTGATGAAAAAAGAGAAAGAAGCTATTCACCTGAAAGCGTTCGATGAATGCCACTAAACTGATTGAAAGTGCTCGAATACTCTTCATTCGTTCTTGTACTCTATGAAACCGAGTGAAAACATTTTCATGAATTATTTTGCTTCTTTAACTTACTTATCTTTCGAACATAGTTTATGCTTCACAATTCCACTTCGAATTGTCTCGCTGATCTTCTCATCAAACAATGGAATACCGAATCTGGACAGTCAAATGAACAGACGCGATTTATTCGAGTATATTGTCATATTCTTACCTAATATCCAATAGAACCTCTTCGGAATCATTCGATGACAATGTTAGCATTGATACGTAACCGCAGGTGTTTTTTAGGTCTACTGATGATGCTAATTTTCCTAATCCGGAATGTTTTTCCGCGTGTTCCCATGGAAATGGTATATGGCGAATCTGTTGATATTCTTCTTTAAAATCATTGCTATTGCCATAGTAAAATCCCTGTAGAAGTACAGCTGAATGAAGCAATGCTTCGTTGATACTCAACAAAATGTTCACATTAGATATGTATGTGGGTTCGTGATTCCAGGTTGTAACCAAGAATTTATCAAAAACTTTCAAACAATCAGGTAAAACATTTAATCGATAACCTTTAGGTAATAACAATGATGCTGGTCCCGATTTTGTTACACTGTAAATAAAGAGCTTCATCCAGACACTGTTCATCTCTTGCAAAAATGGTCCAAGAAAATCAATGGAATTGAATGGAGAATAGAATGTTTCAGCACTGACCGGTGCCATTGATATCAAAATATGATAATTTCGTTCGATAAGACGTTGACGAGTGGTAGAATCAAGACTCGACAAACTTTCATAACGAAGTAAATCAACTCCTAGACCGCCATTCTCTTCATCGAATAGATCGTTATTTAAACGTAAAAAAGATATTGTTTGATAGAGGACGCGTGCGTGTAGAAAATATCGATCAGCTTCGCCTTCACTCTGATTTTCATCATCCGGTGACTTCATTGACGATTGCGATATTGGGGATATTCTTTCTAATTCTTGGAGAAATGATCCGAGAATTTCATCAGCTAGTTTACCAACTTCGAACATGGTTACAGCGTGAGTTTTTAGATTTGGAGAAAGATTTCCCATCATTAAAAATGCAGTTAACGATGAATCAAATAAAAATCCAATACGTTTTTGTTTCAATGTTGAACTTATTATTGACGCCGACAGTTGATCAGGTGTTGTAGCACTTGTCGGCGAGGATAAAGATTTCTAAATAAGAAAAATCAATTTACAAAGAATGCAGACAATCCGAAAAGCGTACCACTTCATCAGTGAGGTTGAGTGAAGTTGTATCATCTTCGATAAATGATGTATCTAATTCTAAATCTTTTTTCCATTCAGATACTCTTTTATCTAGAACTGGTGACGTCAATTTTAATTCCTTCGGCGGCGGTGGCGATTGTAAACCTGATGTGGTGGAGAAATGCTTCCATGACGTATGAATAATGCCATAATCATTTTCAAGATTCTTCTTTCGAGCAAAGCCCAAGCGTAAAAACATGGACATCGTTTGTTTAACTAACTCAATATCTAATGTTAATATTCGAGATAACTCTCCGACATTCGTGTGTTCATCGGTCGAAACAAACAATTTGTAAAGTAATACCTCAAAATAATCGCCGACAATTCGGTTCATAACAAAACCTGAACCTAATGGTGGAACTTGTATAAAATCATCTTCGGAAACTGGTACATCCAGATAGATTAAACCTTTTCGATAGAGAGAATGCACAGCATCGTAGTTCAATTCACCAGCTAATTTAGATGATCGTTCGTCGATCAGATAGTCAATGATTAGTTTCTCTTCACTAGTGCACTGTTTGACATCGTCATCGGTTACGCAACCTAAGCTTATCACCCACCATGGCTGAATACGAACGGAATCGACAGGTTGGGAAGGTAACAGATGACGGATAGAAGCAGGAGTTTTCCAACTAGATAAATTCAAGAACATTTTCTTCTTTGCTGCTTGTAGAATCGTTCGAGATTGATTGATCAATTCAATGTATTGATTTCGACCAATGCCAAGCAAACGAAGACAATCCGCAGCTAAATAAAACTACATGTGATCAAATCTGCACACGTCAACTTTACCTGTAAAATTCGGCAATGTATCATAAGATTTCTCTTGAAGAATTAAATCACTAATAATATCAATATAGTAAGAGAACGATGTCATACGTAAACCTTTGACATAGATCTCAGACAGATGATACGGCTAAAGCATATATAATTGATATCTGCAAGAATAGGTAAGTGCCACTTACGAATATCATCAAATGCTCACGACTATAACGCAAAAGTTCATCGTAGTACTTTCGAGAATCTTTATGAACTTTTCGAACTAAATATTATCGGTTAAAATCGAAAATATTCGAATGTCTGATCGACATACCGAGATTTCCTTTATATCGAAGTTGGTGTTTGATTGAAAAGGCAAAAACCGCCTTATCATATTCCTTCTCTGTATTCCAACCGCATTTCTACGAACGAAGTAAGTCAAATCACAACTGTGCAATCAATTCGAACCATACTTGTTTAACATCAGCTGGCAGTTGAGACCACTCAACATTTGTTCGAATATAATGCTCGTCTAATTGAGATGCCATGCAATAATCATTATCAATACAAGATGAAAACTAAATGCGCAAAGGTTTTTTTTCGATTCGATCTTCATTCATCGATCGATGATTCATGCAAATATGTTATGCAACCAAGATGGAATACGCGTCGATAGATGTCCTCTCGTGCTGGCAATCATATATTTCGTTATCTGTCGATTTGAACGATTCATCATAGAAGAATTCATCCATTCTATAGTACACTCTGACCGTGGATCAGTAGGTAATTATTATTTATTTCCTTTTCACCTCTCTCTGTCTCTCTTGTTGCACACACAGCGAAAGAGAAAAGAGTGAAGAGTTTGTCTGCCTCCTCTCTTGATTAAAAACTTTTGATTTATTATCATCAATAAACATCGAAAAAGCTCCTGAAATTTTTACGACTTGGCCAGATGAAGATTATTAATAGGCAATATGGCATATGTCATCAAAAATGTCTTTCATTTAATTATTTATTAATCGAAGCGTTTCTTTCATCGGGTAGGACGAATCCTTTCCACGCTTGATAATGTCATCACAGCTTATTTCAGATTTCGATGTTTGCACGTGAAATTAAGACACGAAGGGTAGATAATAGATTTTCACAATTTTTTCTTCTTTATTTTTAATTTCAAAAAAAGAAAGAAAGAAAGAATCCCTCTTCTAAGCACGCTGCATCGTTTACCACTCAACATTTCCTATCGTTTCTGAACCTAGACATACACACGCAACAATAACAACAACAACAACATCGATTAAAGGAGAGAAAACAAAACGCAGTAGTAGTAGTAGTTATATAAAAATAGAGTCATTCATTTGAGAAGAAAAAGAAAAAAAGATGTATCGAAAATGGGAATAATAATGATAATATTCGAGCGCATTACACAAAACAATCCGTATATACACACACTCACGAAAAACACGAGAAAGAAATGGCCATGAAGAACAAATGTAAACGCGCGCATCAAGTATCTGCAACTGTTTTGTGTAACTCAATAGATTTTTTTTTCTCTCTGGATAGGAACGAAAACGAGAGCACAAGGTCGGAAATTTAGCAGGCGACACCAAACAAGAAACTACTTAATGAAAAGAACTAATCTAATCACGCAAGAATATAACGTATCTTTTTCTATGTTATCCTATCGACGAGGTATTAGTCGAAGAAAATTGACCTATAGACAAAATAGAAGTAGACTAGAAGATTCCACGAGAGACCACACATACACATCAAAAGAAAAAGAAAATAATGCTAACTATGCGAATAAAACTATCATTATTATGATAAGATAGATAAATATGGCTAACGGGAAAGAAAATTCGTCTCTTAATTTGTTTCTTTGAAAATGGCATGAAACTCATAGATAGGGATGACATCAACATCTCGAGATACACAAAGGCCTGTTGAAAGCGTTCATCTACTGACTAAAAACTATATTTGACTTCGATCTTCAACAAATTCACTTCTACGCTTAGAGTCAACAACAACAACAAAATGCACAATACATATATTAAGAAAAAAAAGCAAAGAAAATAAACGTAAAAGAAACACCTATCAAATCATTCCATAGATGGATATATTTGTTGTCGTGGTGAATAATTTGAATTAGCAAGGAATAATTCTTGAATATTTTGTTTAAGAACATTTAAATTTACTTCCATCAAAGCTAAAATAGAGAACGACAAACATCGATGGACGTTTTCACGCGCTCGGTCAATGTCGTTACCTTCGTTTATTCTCGATTCTCTCTTTAAAATACATATCAGCGCAGTTGTCGAATTAATGTCTTTCAAATATAGAACAAGTCCTATTGAAAGTTCAATAGTACAATTTGACATTGAATCGAGCACCGAACTACTATTTTGCCTTAAGAAAAAAACAAGACCGAGTACATGGACCGGTCGCCCACAAGTAAAAAGTCGTCTGCTTACCCATATATAGACGAAATATCTTTGTAAACATCGACTACATCGCAACACAGTTCCGATATTTGACTTTCAACTGGTTTTGTATCCGATGCCAGAAATATCTTATTAGAAATATCACATACGAAGATCTTATCTAATTGAGTACTCTAAATTCATGAGAAAAAAAGGGCAATGCGCTAATTAATGCGTATTGGACATGTTTTCTTGCATACCGCTGTAACCAAATCAAGCATATTTTCGAGCGCACGTAGCTGTCGCATTTGATTTTGTACGATTTTACTGAATGCTTCATGAATCGAATGATCATAAATACTTGTCAAATAGAAACTAAAAAACAATAACAATAATATAATTAGAATATAAATCACTCGAAAAAATCAAATATTTACTTGATAAGTGGTTCTTCGATCGAACATTCGTGTAACATAACAGTTACTTTCTGTTGAATACTTGAGTAGCGTTCAAGACGGTCGGGCTCATGAACGCCATCAATCTAAAATTAGACGATTGTTTACTTTGTCGAGATCGCGTATTTCTATGCGTGTTTACTTTGTGAATGAGTACTTCGAATCGAATATTACGACCCTGTGAGTACAATTGTTGCACAGAACTAACCAATAAATTAATTGAATCTGAGCAATCTTCCTTGAAAAACAAAAGAGATCATTTTGTTGATAATCAAGTTCGAATGAGAATGAATTCGACGTACTGTTGCATCAAGAACGAACACGATCGTAGTGCATTCAGCTGAATACGCATCAAAATCGAGTAGAGATGCTGTTTTCGGGCCGGGTACATCACAAATTTTGAATTTAACGTGAATTCCACATGAGAGTTCTAGGTAACACAAGAGTTTGAACTTTTCATCAAAGTCCAAAAGTGTATTTACCATGCCGTAAAATCATTTTTGTTTCTGGAAGTTGAAGTGTTTCACCGGCTGTCATTTTGTCAAAAATAAGTTTTATAATCGATGTTTTACCGCTTCTATAAACATTTCAAGTATTTTCGTAAAAAAAACAAAACAAATTAAATATATAAAGTACTTTGTAAGTCCCCACATCAATAGTTCGGGTCGATCAGGTGCCAATTCTCCATAATCGCTATCTATCTGTTGCTGTTGTAGCTGTAATTGTTCTTCAGTATCATCTAATCTATTATGACCATTGAGTATTGATGAAGAATGGTGACCATTGGAATATGGACTTGATTGTTGCTGGAAACGACTAGCAGTGTTGATGGTTCTACCCGATGTGCGCAATCTTTCTCCGCCACCCTCACGTTGTGTGTGTAGACTGCGTATGTCGTGTAGAAGAACCGGAGTATTGTAATGACTAAGATATTGATGATATTCACCGTCTGTACTAGTAATATTATCACTAGTAGTTTCACAGGCACCTGTTAGCCCGTAACTCATATCTGAAAGAAGATCAAATGGAAACAATAGGGCGTCTAAAATAATCTTTCAAAAATAAAATAAACATGCGTTCAAATGTTTGTTATTGGTCCTTATGTAAACCAGTCATATTCGAAGATTTGCCGAAAATTATGATCAATTGTTCGACTATCTTGGTATGCGAAGCATGTTTCGCATTCCTATCGTTTCTTTTGTTCATTTTCTACCCGTCTTATTATAGGTATTGTTTCTTATTGATGATAGACATTGTCATTTACATAAAATAGTAAGATAAAAAAAAACAAAACGACTATATGACGAGTTACCTTTAATCTTTTTTCGTAGCATAGGACTCAAGTTTTGATGCCTATACTATTTAGCTTTTTTATCCCTGTCAATGTCACCCTTCTTCTCTTCCCATCGAGAACATGCACAACCACTACCAACACCACATCTACCACTGACGACGAGAAGACAAACAGGACCGTATGGTGCTCTCTCATTTTCTCTTTTTCTTACCCGAGCTATCATATGTGTTTCGCTTTTCTCTCTCCTGTCTCAGCTGTTTTTTTACCCCATTCGCTTTTTCTCTCTTCCTCTCCTCATTCGTCTCTTTTATTTGCCCGGATGATTCGGGCTGAAGACAAAGAATAAAACTTCGGGGGCACTTGACGATAAACAAACCAGAGAAATAGACGGAGAAGGAGAGAAAACAGAAAAAAAACTAAGCTGACGTCAGCCGTATATTTGCTAAGAATAAAGAAAAAGAAATCGCCAAGAACATTCAACAATTTGCATTCGATCAGCTGTATACTATGCTCCTATCCAGGACTGGATTGTATGACAAAAGGGAATAGAACATGAAGGAGAATAAGTAGAACTAAAATTTCCCTTTCATTGTTTTTTTATATATTAAGGGCATTGTTTGATGAGGAACGAACATGATCGAGAACTTTTGTTCTTTAGGATATCCAATCCGTTCAATTGTACTCACAATTGCACACACACACATCTCTACATTTGCTTGTTATTAACATACCGAACTTATCTCCATTTTATTTTTATATAATCACATTTCTCACACAAACCGATGTCTCCTAACAGGTCACTGTGCGCTGAGTAACGAAAACATCTGTGTACACGAATTTGTTATGACCAGAATTAATCTCACTGTCGGCGTTTTTCTTACTTTTTTGCCTTCGGCTTTTTCTTTTTTCGGAAAGCCAAGAATATCAACTAAAATTGTAAGCATTGCAATGAAACCACATTGAAAACAACGAATAGTATGCTTTGATTATAAACACGTACGCGACGCCAGGCTGGCAAATGAATGTTCATACCCTAGCAAATATTTTTCTGTCTAGTAAAACAGAGAAGCCAGTCTTAGCTGGCAAAATTGCTAGCAAACAAAATCTCCTAATCAAGTTTGTTTTCCGTATTACTCTATTCGAGACGTCGAATTGATTTAATCAAATAAATAAAGATGCCTGCTGAGTAATCAAGCACGCATTAATGTATGTGTATAGATTTATATCGTTTCATTAGTATTTTTAATACTTCAAGGTGGGTGAGAAGTAAGAGAGAGAGAGAGAAAGGGTAGAGAAAGGGAGAACGAGTTGCTTTCCATTTTTATCAGCAATCACGGTGTTTTTATTTTCTATGGATAGACTAGAAATCTTTTTAATGAATTTCTACAGGGGTAAAACTAGAGAAGAACTTGTTTATGGTGACGAAAGGGCGTCGACAGCTGTTCGTCAACTTTTCGTATTCTTTCGTCTTAGCATCATCTTCTTCGCCTTTTTTCTCCCTATTTCCAACAAATTATAGTGCGCGTAATATAACGTCTACATTACACGTGTTTGTTAGTTATTCTTATCACTCGCGAGATATATTTTTTGTGAGGTAGAAGCAAGCAACGAAAAGCGTCTCGAGAAAAAAAGAAATTGAGATTGAAAAGAGAAATCAAGCTAGCAGAGTATACACCGTCTATAATTGTACTTGTGTTTTTCAACACTAACAGGCCATAATATAACAACAACAACAACCATCATAACCATGATCGTAATAACATCGCATCAAATGTCATCAGTGAGCGATTCAATAAATATCCTCATCTCAATTAGAGCCTTCACATAAAAGAAAGAACTAATCGTTTTACGTACCGAATGTGTTGTTAATGCATAAAATATTGAATTGAAGATCAGATGTTATGAATATCAAAGCGGACGAAAAAAAACATTTTCTTCAAATATATATAGTCGTCTAACTGCACTTTGTACGCTAACAATCGTTTGCGACCCTCGTCACGAACATAACAGCCACGCATTTGATTGATTATGTCTAAGTGTCAATATTTTGCCGCTATGGTAACGAAATTCAATCTGTTTGCTGATACCCTCAAATAATATTGAAGATAAAATGTATGCATGGGCACATAAAAACTCAAAAGTAACCTATAAATCTCTAATGTTTTGCACAGACATAACAAACAGTACGCACATTTCTATGCATGCATGTTTGTCAGTAAAGACACTTCTAATATCCTATGTGGACCAATGCAATCGTGCATTTCATCCTCGAGGCATCTACTAGAGTTTTCTTCTCTCTTCTCTAATAAGTCGATGAAGTATGCTGTTGTTGTTACTGATGTCGTGCATAACGAATCATATGTTTTTTTTGTTCGGATCAACCTATCGATAGTTCCGTTAGAGCTTCTTATTTTTCTTTTCCTTCTCGAACAACAACAAAGTAGCACACTCTATAGATCATCAAGGGACCAGTGCGAAAAACACTGTTGTTGCAATAATTTGCGAAATATCCTTGTTTTGCTTTTGCTCTCTCATTGTCATTTGCATCCAGTCTTTTCCCGAAATGTAAATAATAAACAACTCTATCAATCAAACTAGAGTCACCAGGCCATTTCTTTTGTGTTGCTTTTTTTTCGTCAAGCAAAGAGAAAAATATGCGCCGTTGCCAGAGTATTATTGTTACTATCGTTAGCACGACACATTGATTTGACAGTTGATTGAGAAAGTGAAAGAAAATAAGAACTCTTTGTACGTGGCTATTGCGCGGACTACAACGATTTTTGTTTTGACAGTCAAATGTGAATATATATGTCAAAGGAAGGCAATGAAACGATATAAGTCGTTGATGCATATGATTTGATAACAAGAAAAAACGAATCATTAGTATCAGTACATATTTAGCAATGTATGAAGCAAATACGAAGTGATAGTCAATGTCATTAGGTTTTTTTGTCCAGGAAAACTTCGAGTACTTTCTATTTGATCACCATTGTCTTTGATTCTATTCATGAGAATGTCCTAAGAAAAAAAACCTTTCTTAAGGATATCTAGGTTGTTTTATTAAACTTGTTTCCTCTTTCAGTCGGTGTCTATTCTTAGTATTCATTTCGACATGAGAAACAAGGCAGTAAAAATATCAGTGCCAAATGTCAAGAATAGAAATTGGCATCAGATTCATAGATGCATTTGGTGTACATTTATAACAGATAGGGCACTATTTTTTATCAAATCATTATGAAAATGCAATGTTGGTTATATATAGCGTAGGAAAACAATAATCATTGAAAAGAAAATTTTTCTTTTGTGACCAAAATAGCCTTGATCAGATAAGTATAGAAAAACAAATCAGTTTCTTTCGTTGGTCTCAATAAACTAGCAGCAGTTATGCTTGTACTAGTTGTGAAAGAGGAAACTTCTTTTTTTTTTCATATTTAATGATTTATCCAGCCGTTCTTTGCTCTATCATATCTAAAAGAACATTCTCATGCGACCTTTTGATTATTCTTATCAATATTTATTGAGGTTATCAAGAATATTCTATTTATTAAGATTCTTTTATCCATCAGTTATTGTGTTATTCTAGTAATCCGGATCTAGGGTGTGACTATCTCATTAGATTGATTGAATTTACTGCCAAAAATAGATTTTAATAAAGGAGATTATTCTAATAAATTTCACAGCTGACAATGGTACTTTATCTAATATCATTTCCAAGTTGAGATGACGTCAACAGAAAGTCTCATATGATGATTTTGTTCTGAGGTTTTATGCGGGAGATCACTTTCTAGGTGTTAACATCCTGTAGAGTAAAAATACAGTACACAGTTAAGTCCATCACCAAGAGAATATTTGATGTTTTATTGAAAGCTCTAAAGTAATTTGACCTGCCGTTCGATATCAGAATGATACTACATGTGAATTAGGACACCGGTGAACAAATAAATGAAAAAAGATCACCTAGAATTACATAAACTAGTTGGACAAGCAACACACTCATCGTAAAATAAAGATAAACATATTTGCGTTTCTTTATTGTATCTAGTTCAAGTATAAAAGTCGAAATCGTCGTTAGACATCCGCAATAACCTTGGATTACACTGGTGACAACGTGTTTCGAGAGAGGAGATAACGAATGAACATATTGACTGATTGCAACCATGCCGAAGTAAATATATGAACCGAGAATATTAGCAATTAATGTGCCAAGAGGAAAATTCGAATTGAAATTAAATAAAACTGATAATGCATAGCGAGTCAGTGAACCGAATGGTGCGAATATGACCGAGTAAATAAAATAAGTGTATTTACCGACAGGTAAGAGAACAGCGAGAAGAACTAATAATGGAATGCTTAATAATGTAAGAATTGGAAAAAGCCAGATTCGTACGTGACTATTGAAATATCGAACTCGTTTTGCTAATTCCGGTGAGGGTGGAAGAAGAAATGCACTTATATGACGTCCAACAGTAAATCCGACGAATGATGCAGAAAGAGCAGCAATTAACACGGTTAAAAAGTTCGATATAGGATAAGTCAGATCACTCGATGGGCCAAATAATGCCACGCACGAACTGTACATTAGACCAGAAAATGTCGTAATTGATCCACATAAGCCAGTAGTTAAACCGATGTAGAGCTGTGAGAAACTAAATGCGAATGATTAGAGAGACAAACATCTTCACTGGATGACATACTGGTGTTGAATGTGTATTTTCTGTTCAACTACAAAGCCCATGATAAAACATCCGACGAAATTCGGCCAAAAAGCCGCATTCATAGGTGCTTGATTGTTTCCAAGGAATGCGAGACCAAGACGAATCAAAACGCCGATGTATGAAAAGACTACAATTGGCATGATTGAACTCAGGCGATGTTGTTGAACAACGACTGGTTCAGTTTCATTTTCCGTGACATATTCTAAAGTCTCGGGTATTGCTGCTTGATTATTCATCACAGATCACGACTCGTGGTATAGAATATTATCGTTGTGGTTTTGGAAAACCAGCAGACAGATTTCTTCGCCTATCAGATCTAACTGCGTGAACGAAAAGCTGTACTTTTTTTGTACTATTTCATCGAAATAAGGTCAGAAGTACATTGCATTCATTCGTACATCATCTTCTGTAATACGATTTGCCTCAGCTTCAGCCAATTGTTAGTTCTGTCTTTTATGATGTATGCAAATTGATTGGCTCATTTTTCTTCTAATGTGTAGTAATTTGTTCACGGATTATCAGACAAGATAATCGATCTTCATCATCAATTATAGATGTAGAAAAAAGATAAAGTTAACATCCCGGTCACCGCATCGGACGAGAAAACGATCAGGTTCGTAGCGCGCTCAGTCGGCAAGTCTTCGGACTAATCGATTTCTGTCTAGAGTACTGATTTCTTTCAAGATTTCCAGGTCTTTCCGAGTCATTTTCCCAGACCGGAATTATCGTTCAGGGACTCTCGAAAGAAACCTGGAGATCGTAACTCGATTAACGCCATATTTTCTTAGTTTGAATGATCATAAAGCTAATCTTATTTCCGAATAAACAATAAGAGTGCATCCAGAAATGTATCGAGTGAACTCACGTTCAAATCGAGAGACTCGAGCTCAGCACTCATCATAATTATTTTGTACAGCATAGACTTAGATAAAGTAAATGGCTACGCGCAGTAATAGATTCATATAAGCCTAGATTTTTATATGGTATTCCGTGACGATACATAAAAGGAATATGAAATGAAGTGTTGCCATGCATTTTCCTACTGAACAAAGATCGCGTCCGATCTCTCTTGCTGTGATATCGAATGTATTATAAAATATAGTGACTGTTTAAAATGAATACCATCCGATTTTTTTCTTATTCTAAACCAAGAATTCGCTCCATTGATTTTACACGATCTCCGATTCACTATTAATACCAGTTTCTTGCTCATCGAGAATATCCTAGAATAGATATTATTTAAAACAACTGTATAAAATAAATCGAATTTGAAAAATATTCTTTCAAAAAGATTTCTTTGTTGTTCGACGATTGGTAACATAACGTCCAATTGGATATTGATGATAAACAAATAAATAAATAAATAAACAACGGAATTGTAAAAATGTCTTTCGACAAGTTTTCTTTCTGATATAATCTCGACCTCAATATGATACAATTAATACGAATCTGAATGGACTTTGCAGTAGTTCTCAATAAGTAGATAACGAAGTATTCGTAGCATGGAAAATTTATTTATTGAATTATAAAGATTTTTTCTCATTTAATAATGATTTATCTCTTTCATTTTGTACGCAAAGTCAAAACCACCTAGCTAGATACCTATTCGTATATTTAGGAGCTGATCCTAACCAATGACAATATTATTCATTTCTCATTATTTTGTTAGATATGAAGGTGAGATGTCACTCGACAGTTCGTTTAAAACATCCAAAAGTGTTTTTGAAATGCTTTTCTTCTCCTCTGTCTTGTTTGATGAATCAACATGACGAAACCCTGCTTATTGATCCCCATTATTGCATCATGTTACTACACATATTTTCAGATATTTCATGTGATGATGTAATAACCTCGTGATAAAAAACTAGCATAATCTAATATTGGTTTGTATTTGATTATGGCGCAGAGCAGAGACAATCCATTGAGTTTCGATGTTCTCTCTTGGGATACTATCGCAGATTATTTGAAAACGAATATTCAAAGTAAACGAAGTAGTCCAACTGAACATTGGTTAGAATTATTAAATGAACGTGTGGCAAACTCTCATCGGGAACTGGCACAAACGACGCCAGTAGTCAATAACTATATGCAATGGTTGCGAGCACGAGGAAAAACTATCAAAGCACCATCGAAAACGATTCCGTCGTCGATATTAGGTAAACAACGCCAAAATGTTTCTACAAAGTTGTTCAGATGAAATTTTCAGGACCGAAGATTGTCGAGGGTGAACTTATTGACGCTCGAATATCTTGCCGAGGTCCTGATGATAAATTATACGATCGAGATGCACAATTGAGACAACGTTTGCCCCGAGGATGCACTCTAATGCAATGCCGATTGAAAGATGAAGCACAACCACGATTAGATTTCGTTGTGTTTGCATTACGAAAATTCAGTGGTGGTCTTGGGTATATCTGGCTTATTTTTCAATGTGAATAGACGAAGAATCTTCTTCTTGTTTAGTGATGATGATGATCGGGAAGACGATAATCAAGCATGGCTTCGATACTTTCTTGAAAACCCTCGTACAGCGTCTCAAATTATTTGCACAAAAAAAGTCAATGGTAAAATAGACAAAACATCCGTGATTTTCTTCTACTGATATTCGTAGGTGAAGCATGTCATCTGTCGTGCGTTGCACTTCCACCTGACAATCGTCTAATGTTAATTGCTGGCTCGAAGAATGTTCATTTATGTTTCCGTAGCCATTCCGATATTGCGATGTATGGAAATGACACAACATATAACTATGCAAGTTCATTTTGTCATACTATTCTTGATACTTTGGCCCGAATGCCGGACAAAGGATCACGATTATTGAATTTTCTATCATTAACACGTTATACAGCTGTTTTTGAGATTCTGAACTATGCTCATCAACATGTGGTTGACTTAACGTATTTAAAAGATACGCATAATAGTTCCGAATTGAAATTCATTACGTTTTCACAAGTTCCACAAGACTTTGATGCTGCTGTCACTAACCTATGTGCATTACCACCGGATTATGCGATTGAAATTGCTCGCTGTTTACATTTATCAACAACTGAGTATGATATAATTGAGAATCAATCTCATCTTCTCAATGAATACCTCACATCCATCAAATATCGACAAGAATGCGAAGGTCTGTCTTTCAAATGATCTCCATTTCGTCATTACTCTCTTTCTTTCCTCAGGTAGTGTCCTTTACTTCCTGAATAAAGACGATCAGGTGATTGGTTTATTAAAAAAGAAAACGATTTGGTACGTGATCCTTCGTGCTATTCGAGAAAAGGTTCGCCCGATGTTACAACACTGGGAGAAAGAACGAAAAATGGACGTGGCTGAAACTAGTCGCAGGGTAACTGGTCGCTTGAAAGCGATACAGAAATGGTTGGGTTTCTCCGATGAAATTCTCACTCAATGGACATTGCTAGCGGGACAATTCATAAACTGGGTAGCTGAAGGCGGGAAGAAAAGAACGATAACACGAGAAGATATTGCTGATCTCTATCCAATTGTTTGGTCAAAGTTTCTTCGAGAAACGAATAATGATGGCAATTTTATGAGCAAAATGATGAGTGGAATTCGCGAAGAAGATGTTTGGAAGGAACTGAATGAAATGAAACTTGATGAAAGAAAAAGCAAAGGTGAACGCAAATCAAAAACAAAACAACCAAGTGATTTAGAATGCGGTGAAGATATTGATGCAGATCCAGAAGAAGATGACGAAGTAGAAAACTAAATTTTTGGTTTTATATCACAAATATATAGAAACCAGACATGGGAAAGTCAAGTTACTTTTTACTTGATTTGATTTGATCCAAAACTAGCCTACAAATCCAAATCCTGTGAAAACCATAAAAGAAGTGGCTTTAATGAGTATTCAGAGCTTCTGTATCAATATAATGCTAGAAAAGTAACTTTTATTGGTTTCTGATCAAAGCTACCTGGATTTCACGTTAGTAAATTTGACTTGACTTGTCAAAATGCCTGACTTGTCCAACTCTGGCAGAAATGCTTTTACACCCCTTTCGAAAAGTATAAAAGAAAATTGATTTCATATGTTAACCTCATAGAAGAGAAAACGTATTGACAGGAAAGACGCATTTGTTGAAATGCTAAGCAAAGATCATTCCATGACGTTGTGTATACTAACTAACGTAAACAAATTGAATAGATAACATACTTATCCCGAATTATCATCTCCGCATGCTGTAAAAGATAAATGTGGCATATCAGTGCATCTGAAATTCACTGTCGAACTTTTATCGTTGCTTGTTCGACTGCTAAAAATACCTTATCTTCTCTTTACTTATGCTCGGAGAAGAATATTTTCAAAGTAAATACACAGCGGAATCATCAGTCGAGAAAACGGGTTGTTTTACGTGCGTACTTTTCTTTCTCTCGTTTCTTCTACGACGCGTATGGTTACATCAACTTCATGTATTTGCGAATCAGACTGAGTTTAGAATTGAGAAGGAACAAATGAGAGAGTAATGGTGGACAAAATAAATACAACATTGTCTTTCACAACGCGAAGGCTTGTCATAGAACAGGAAAATATGACGAGCGTAGAAACAGTTGTGGGGGTGTTGATAGGAAATCGAAGCAGAAAATACCCGAAGACGCGAAGATAGAAGTTCTAGAATCGCAAAGAATTTGTGGCATCTTGTCTTCTCATCGTTGTTGATTTCTCCTCAAATCTTATTCGGCCGCCATTTTACTTTGTTTTTCTTCAGATTTCATTGTATCCGTCACACTTCAACATGTCGGCAAGTATAAGCGAGTTTTACAACGGAAAAACTGTCTTAGTTTTTGGCTCGACCACATTTCCAGGCAAAGTTTTGCTAGAGAAACTGCTACGTTCATGTCCAAATCTAGAGAACATCTATTGTCCGATTCGACCGACGACCAAAAGTCAAATACATCAGCTTTCGCCTATGGATACATTTGCTGAAATCTACACAACAAAACTGTTCGACCGTGTCAGACGTAATAACCCAAAATTTCAAGAGAAGATTATTCCATTTGATATTAATCTTCTCATCTCATCGCCGACAATCACGGAGGCCGAGAGAGATCTCGATGAAAACAAACAACTGCCGCAAGGAGTTTCATGGAGGAAATTACAAGAAACTATCGATGTATGTTTCTACATCGCAAATAATTCAGTCGATTTTGAGGAACAAAATCTGAAAGATATGATACACACGAATGTTATGGATTTGAAGATTATTTTAACTTTCTTGAAGACATGCACACAATTAAAATCAATTGTTTACTTATCGTCGATCTACGCAAATATCGGTAGAACATTTCTTTCATTCATCAGCATTTTCATCACGATATTTTCCCTTAGATTGTCCGTATATCGACGAATGCATTTATCCATGTCTGATTGATCCACAGAAACTAGTTGATGCACTCGATTGGATGGATAAAGATATGGTTGCGTTAGCCACTCCGAAACTAATTGGACCAAAACCAAATGCATTCACATTTTCACATTGGTTAGCTGAAACAATCTTAGCCGAAGAACAAAAGCATCTTCCGTCGATCTCGATTGTTCGCGTCTCGATCATAGGCGCCGCATGGAAAGAACCCTATCCTGGTTGGGTAGAAAAATCCGATGGACCAAGCGAGTTATTCGTTGCCGCCGGTCGGGGCTACTTGCGTTCGATGAAAAGCGATTCGAATGACATTCTCGACATTGTGCCCGTCGACATCCCTGTTAATCTACTAATTGCCGCATCGTGGGAGAAATACCATGAGGAAAACCGAGAACGTTTGACAATTTATCATTGTACGTCAAGTGGATTAAATCCATTTCATTGGCAAGAGATGAGCAATTATTTTACTGAATATTCCAAACGTATTCCGTATGAACACGCATTTCGTCGGCCTAATCTATCCATGACAAGCCATAGTCTAATTCATGATTCGTACGTGTTCTTTTCACACTTGATTCCAGCTCACTTAGCTGATATTGGCCTACGTTTGATTGGTCGCAAAGCACATGTAGTTAATATCTATAAAAATCTTCATCGAATTCTTCTTGGTCTCGAGTCGTTTACACATCGGGGTGAAATTCAATGTTCTTATGATAGTCTAAATTCATTAAGACAATTAGTTAGTGAAACAAATAATTCAACTGAATTCTATTTCGACATCCGAGCATTGCACTGGCCAACCTATATTGAATCGTATTTGATTGGAACGAAACGGTATGTTCTCAATGAGGATATAAACTCTTTGAATGGTGCGCATAAGCATTTGAATAATCTGCGAAACATTCGCTGGACATTCAACACGATTGTTCTTGTTCTTCTTTGGAGAATATTCATATCGAAACGACCAACAGCAAGAAATCTTTGGTATTTCATAATGAACTTTTTCGTGGCCAAATTTGTTCGATTCTTCAAAATCTTTAGCGCAGGAAATACATAACATTGATGGATAGAAATCTTTCTATACGACATACTTATATACAGTACTTTCTTCTTCTAACTCTATTAGACCGGTTCATGTTGTTTTTGTCTTCAATTCTTCTTTTGGTGTCGTTTGTTTGTGGCTTTAGTTACAAAATAAATTTTAAAAAAAAGATGACTGTCCGACACACAAACTAAATCGATCATTTATTCTTCAAAAAAGTACTTGATGTCATACAGAATAAACGCGATATGCTTGAGTATCTAATTACTACGGAAAGAAAATATTTATCTTATTTGGTGATACATTGTCAGTGGGAGGTGAGTCAAACTGTAAAATCGAATCCAGACTCTACCTACAGGTCGATGAAGTTCACTTCATTTGAACTCGAGCTTGTCTGCCTTCTACTTTTGTCATACTGACCTTTTTCTTACGAGTTTGTCGATATCTAAAGGCAAGAACTACTAATTTATTGCGAAACTGAATCGTTTTGATGAGAAAACTGCACCGAAAGGTGAAATGCGAGCTATGTTTATCTTCAGTTTGGCGCATCGCATATATTTTCACAATGTAATTCAATTGATTTAGTGAATAACCTTGACCTGGCAAAATTCAGTAGACAAAAAAAGTCATCAGAGAAAGATTTACTTCATCGCCATCGTTACAGTTGCATGTGCATTAGAATAAATTTAGATAAAGATCTTTACTTATCTCTACATCGATCCTTGCAAATGATCTCTATAGTCAATGTGTTAAAACAATCGCAACGCAGTTCGTACTGCTCTGTCGTCGGTTACTTTGACACGTTGTTTTTTTTTGTAACAAACTCGAACCAGAGAGAATTGCCTCCTTGGTAGGTTCTTTGATTCTCTCGATAATGTGAACAAAACTTGGAGTAATGATCATTCTCCTTGTCGTTTTTTTTTGCGCAAATCTTTGAAATTCTCATGTCTTTTGTGCATTTCTCGATTCAATAGTGAATGATTGTTCGGGTCCGATCCGTTCGTCTATTGAGACCAAGAAAGTCAAATGACAAAATAACAATACGTTTAGCTTTCTGTATTATATACAATAATTATAAGCGAAACAAAAGCGAGAATGTGAATTCTCCACCCACGCATTAGAAAATAGTTTAGTAGAATTTTCTCGAGAGTTTTCGATAGCTTTGATGTCCGATATTTATCGACTGATGTCAAGAAAAGGGAGAGCAGAGGGAGGCAGAGAGAGAAATTCTATTTTTCTTTCTCTCTCGCTCGATTTCCAACGATTGTTGATAAGCAAATGAATATTTCAGTCACTTCTTCTCTTATACTAATCGACAGTCTTTTACAATCTCGAAAAACATGATCATGTCAACTTCGTTCGTACGTTTTCTCATATTCATCATAGTTTGTTTATCCATTGCTCATGCATATCCATCATCAATGACCAAACAGAAATGGGTAAATCCAGTTTCTGTCAGTCGTTCAATTTCATTCCTATTCTCATTTGTTTAGTTACAAGGAAGTCTTGAACATCACCCTCAAGTTGTTTATGAACTTTCATCGGACAGTGTTGATACTGGTAACCGAAGATTCTGCTTGTTTGCTTTTGTATCTATTCGCTTTTTTTGGTTCATTTAGATCTGATCGAAAATGATGGTTTTCCAACATGGTTGTATCGTTCGCGTAAATTCTGTTGTGCACCTCCATTGTAACTTGCTTTTCTTGATTTATGAAAAAAGAAACTCGAAGAATTATATATTGAAGAAAAGATCGCGAAGAGGAAAAAACTACTAGAAATCTTTCACAAATTTTTCCATTGTCTCTTTTTTTTTACAAAACCGGCTGGATTATGTTTGTTGAAGATGAGATATCTTCGAATTGCCCATCCAGTCTTTCGTCCGTTGAATTCGATATTAATGGATTCGTATCGATTAGTTTATCATCTTCATCATCGGGATTTACTAACGTTGTATCGGCATACATTATTTGAGGAATACGTACTTGGGAACTAAAATCTAAACTATTAACACTAAGGATTTCCCTGAGATTCTCTTACCTTAACATTCGACGGAGAAATTGATAGTAAACAAATGGAGCAAAACATGTATAGAATATACAAGTTGTACCTTCGACGATACTAAACAAGGAAATTGAGCGGACGATTCAGATGAGAAACATACCACATGCTATAGATGGTTGTCTCAGTTAAGTTCAATGTTGCTCCAACAATTTGAATGAGATTAATTAAAGCCAAAATAAAGCAATAGATATAAAACGAGCGACGAACTGAATTGAAATATCGAATACATTGAAAGCAACAACAATCAGTTCGAGTTCTTTACCTGGCAAATAATTTTGACGATGCCGACGTAGACATGATAAAATCAAGAGAAGAAAGTAGATCTGGATAAACTCTATAGTTCAAACGTTGTTTTTGATAACGAGAAGATCTTACCATTAAGGATGTCGAACTCGATATGAGAAAAAATCGCATTCCACCATGTGAATAAAGATTATAACTTCCCGTCTGAAATCGTATCGGTCGGGTATCGTTACGAAATTCTAACAAAGCCTTGAATGGAAAAACCTTTTGTAGTGAATGTATGATATATCAGAAGAACTTTTACTTGAATAGATATGAATATCGAAGTGAGAATAAACGAAAAGAGCAAGATTTTCATCGTTTTCATTGAATTCAACGATCCTATAAAATCGAATCAGGGATATCTCGGTTTCTTCGTTGTTTTCAATTTACCAAAACAAAGCCCGAAGAAAAGAATACTCAGTTCCGTCCATAGAACTGCCAATTGAACCAATAGCCAGAGAATCTATTCTCAAATTCTCTAATAAACCTATGAAACTAACAATTACTCCTACTTTCGCGAGAATTTCCTGCACAGAAAACGCTTGCTCGGGAAATATCATTACAAATACGCATCGCATTAGGTTACTTATTGTAATCAAAACAAGTAAACAAGTAACACTGAATAGTAATGGTTTATGAATATTGAGTTTAGTTCGTGTTCGAATCCATTTAATGATTAAGAATAAGAGAAAAACGACATTGGGAATGAGAATGATCACATCGAAGTATCGAATTCTAACAAAGAGAAGCACATGCAGCGTTATTGAATGTCATCAATGTTGGATGTTAGTAGGAATTTTATGAGTGATGAACACTTACTTAGACAAAAGGATTCTCTCGGTTCGCAAGCGAACACAGAACGGTAAGTATTTCGAATCAAGTAACATCTAAAACATTGAATTCGATTTTATTGAGATTCATTAGAGAAGAAAAATTCCACTTGACAAAATGTGAAAGGAAATGCCCGAGCAAAAACAAAACATAGCATGCATGGTAAAGAAAAAGTACGGAAGAGTATCGATAATGAATATGTGAAAAGAAAATGTTTTATTATTTGAACACTTCAATATCGAAGTAATTTGCGAACCCATTCTTCATAATGTATGAGACCATTTTTGTCTTCGAGGCCGATAAGTAATTGTTCAACTTCTTCATCTGTCAATCGTTCACCTAGATTAGTTAATAAATGACGAAGTTCAGCTGATGAAATATGACCATTTTGTTCTTTATCGAACACTTTCAAGCCTGAAATAAACCGTCAATCAACATGTGTTCATTTTGTCATCATAAAATGAAACATACCTTCGATAAGTTCGCCTTCGTTCATGCTATTGTCCTTCTTCTTTGCTAATGAATCGTATAATGGTAAGAATTCTTCGAATGAGATGCGATCGGTTTTCAAGTTTTGTGTTGTACTTTTGATTTGTCCTTCAGTCGGGTTCAATCCCAGTGCTCGAACGACTTCACCAAATAAGTGTTTCGGAATTTTATCATCGCCACGATCATCGAACAGATTGAAAGCTTCGCGAAAATCCGGCAAATCATCTCGTACAGGCGGCATAGTTTCTCTCCAAACAATGAAACAAAGTGTCAATTGCCTTGTCTATTTAAATAAACGGTGCTATTTGCTGACTTTGTATAGTGTAGGCGATGTCTATCGTATAGAATGTATGCAATGTGAATGATGTTTGATGTAGGTGGTAAAGAACGAAAGCGATGAGAAGAAGAACGCTTTCGTTTCTTTTTCTCCACTCCTCTCTGTCCGTATGTTATGTGAAAAGTGTGAATCAAACATTCGACATATACTGATAAGAATAATGACAGATTCATTCTCTTATATAATATTGCTATGACTAATTCGAAATGAAATCATACTTTGCAAAATCTAGAACAGAAGAGATCATTGTTATCACAAAAAAATCTTTCGTTTTTTTTTCTTTTCTTCGAGATACATCCCCGTTTGACTAACATTATCATGAGAAAATGAACAACAATGTGGCTTGTATGGTTAAAAAGAATGATTGAGACGAATAAATTAAGTAAAATGTTCGTTCTATTTACAATACGATCGCAAGTGTCAAAAGATTCATTTTCATACTCTCAAGACAAGTTGTCTTCATAGACTATTGACTGCACATTGTGCTAATAAATGATTACGACACGTATCGCACACACGAACCGGTTTGTTCGAGCTAGGTAAAGGTAATTTTGTCCCTGCACATGCTTCGCAAAAGATTTGACCACAACTAAATGAATCGCAACGATCGGTACACTGAAGAAATCATCTGTTTTCGAACTTACTTTCGACAATGATGTTTTCGTCGAAGTGAACTGAATTCTTTTTTACATTGACAACAGTCTTTGACATCTTCGTCTTTCATCCACGTAGATAATCGTAAACCGTCTTTTTCTCGAAATTCATCTTCTCGTTTGATGGATACCTCCAATTTCAATGCCAGTTCTCTTATCGTCTCTTCTTGTTCTTGAAACTTCTTTTGTAGATCGTTGTGTTGCTTCGTCATTTCTTTTTTATACGAATCATATTCCTAAAGTCGCTCAGTTTGCACAAACAAAGAACTTCGCAATAAATCAAATTACTTGTTTGATTAGATTCAGTTCGTGAACATCGAATTGTAGTGAAGAAACTTTCTCTTTTTCACTTGTCAACGTTTGTTGAAGACGTTGACGAAAGTCTTTCTCGACACGTAGATCAGTTTCGATCGATGTTCTAAAGAAAATCTCTTTTTTTGCAGAGAGCAAAAACGAAATCAAATACGAACTTTTCAGCATCGATTTTAGCCAGTTCCCGACTCAAAGATTCATTGGTGTCGTTGAGTGCATGTTTTTCTCTGTTAATCTCTTCGATACTTTTCAAAATCAAATATCAGATGAGTCTTCTACATTATGAAAGAATGTCGTCATCTTACTTTGTTTCTAATTGGCTAATTGTCTGTCGTAACATTTGATTTTCTTTTTCCAAAGCTTGCGTTTGATGTTCATACTCCTCATTTCGATTACTTTCAATCTAGAATGAAGAATTCCACAATTTAGAAAGTGTAAACAAAGAATTCACGACAAAATACTTGTAATTTCTCAGAAAGTCGAATATTTTCATCTTTGATACCGTCAATTTGCTCTTTCATATGAGTATACATTGTCGTTTTGAAGTCCATGTCTTTTTCCATGAGTTTCGTTGCTTCGATGAAATCATTTTTCTGCGATAATTGCAATTGATACTCATTTTCAATATCCTAAATGATCCACAGTTGTACGAAGATGTTTTCTTGTTCGAAATGACTTACGAGCTTTGATAAACATTCATCATTGTATTTCTTTTGCAATTCATTGTAAAGAAGATCCAGGCCAGTACGAGAGTTCTGATATGTTTCACGTTCAACTGCCATATCTGCATTGAGTGCCTGAAGAACATTGACAAGTAATGATTGACAATAATTGGAAAATGTTTACTTCGATTTTCACTTGATAAAATGCTTGAATTTGCTCTTTTTCCGTCTTGGCTTTGCTTAAATCAGTTTCTAACTGTTCAATTCGAAATTTTTGTACTATCCCATCTTCAATTAAAGATCTGTTGGTTTGTTCAACTGTTTGTAAACGTTCTTGCAAGCTACTCACTGTTTTCCTACATGAAACAGACTAGCAATGAAGAAAAACTACCGTTTTTAGATGAAATTTACTGTAGATTACGATGAAGTTCTTCGATATAATTCTTTTGATCAATTATATTCGAAATGCGTTGATCATCAAATGTTGACACATCGTTCGTATTGCAAATAATCACCGTATCAGAATTCTGCGTGCTTGTTCGTGTTAATGGTGACGATGATAAAGATGAATAGTCATCTAATTCATCGATTTGATCTTCAATAGCACCTGGAGGATGAGTATTATTCAATGTTGGTTGAGATGGAATACGTCTTTCACGTAAATACAGACTGTAATAAATCGTTGTTTCGCTTGGCTGATCAAGTGATGCTTCTTTTAAACAAAAGTTGAGATCCAACACATTTAAACCAACTAATAAACCAGTAATGATGGAGATTTCATCTGAGAGTAACAATGCGTGAGATTCGTAAAGATCTTTTAGTTCTTGTTTTTGTTCAACAAGAATTTTAAAATAGTCAGCTAGACGTTTCTGCATCAAAGCTAAACGTAACCATGCGCGTACGCGACCCAGGGATGTGCGAATGTTGGTCATCTCTTTCGATGATAGAGAAATTTCCAAAACATCTGTATTGCTTGATTTCTTCGAGATGAGTTCAATTAGCGGCCAAAGATCTCGTCGATTGGCTGCTGATGTGAGTGGGAACGACTTTTTACCGGTATAACCATGTAAAAGGATGTGTTCGAAGACGATAAAGAAATGCTTCAGAGGAAAATATTCTTTTTCAAGTAAACGTTCATGTCGTAAACTTGAATTCAATAAATCTTTCATAACCAATTTGAAAATACATAACAAGTTTTGTTTTTCGATCAGTAAACCGTCGAAATCTAAGCAGAATTCGAACTGAAATTGATCGAATTGTATTGCAAATGAAAGTTTTACTTTGCTCCGGGGAATTGAACAGACTACTTAACGAACGTCCATCACTTGTTAATGAAAACGGCATGACGGATTTCCAGTTTGAAAATGTTTCTCTACGACTAAGATACAAATACAGAAAACACCTTCAGATCGATACAAATTGATCACGTTTTTCTCCTTTCTCTTTTTTCATAAATGATCATTGGTTGTTAGACGCCATTTCATCATTTCTTTCCGGTTTTTGAGTGTAGGAACGCAATACTTTATACTTATATAATGAACCTGGGCGACAATGACATCTATCGAAAAACCATATGTACGTACTACAGGGCTCCGACGCGAGATTCCAAATCAATTATCATGGGATTTCTATTCATAATATTTGAAAAAAAAGCACAAATTTTTATTCATTTCTTATCACACGAGAAAGAGAGTACAAATTTTCTTTATAGATATCTCCCATATGAAATAAAAAAATAAACAACTTTGCAAAATGAAGAAAAAAAGAATCGCCTACACTTCGTACCATAATGTACAACATTATGAAGCGGTGTTGTTCTCTTGAGTAAATAGACATTCTGAAGAAGCAAAGAAGTTAAGCAACGTTAGAGAGAGAGAGAGACGACTAGAGCCAAAATAAAGACACAAATGCATTGATAAAGCTTGATTAAATAATAAAAATTATCACTATTTCATGCACATTTCTTTGAAACGTTCAGGTAAGAGAAAGATGAGTATTAGTTGTACGATTGTCATTGATTGTTCACATGGATCCATGATGCCACGTTGAAGCCATTTTGGTATGGTTAAACGTGCATGGTGGAAACCCAATTTCTGTAAAATATAATCAGCACCGAATGGTTCGACTTCATTACCATATGTGGTTAGAAGTTTAATAGTAGGCTGTAGTTTCCATTTTGAATCCGGACAGATGAAACGACGAGTATCAGTATTGGCAACACCGTCTAATGCTGGAGGTACTTGGGGTTCGGGTGAAGTAACGGACGGCTTATTTGATCGTTTGCTGGATTTTTCATTTGTTACTGCCAGCGCTGCTACGTCTAGATCAAGAAAAACAAATGCGATGAGAAAAGAAACAAAGAAAACGCTTCAGCGTACTTCGTTCTTTTTCTTTGATATATGACGAAATGAGATCGTGAAGAAAATAGAAATGTTCAGCATTGAATGAGAACATGATATGTTCGTAGAATTCCGTTTCGAAGCTGCATTGAACTTGTCCTTGATATTGACGTGTTTGAAAGCGTAATTCAAGAGCAGGAAGAATGAAGATCGATTCAGCAGTTTGTTCATATTGTTTCGAACGAACTTTACTTGGTACCGCGGACACTTCAGGTTCGTCCATCAGAGGAAAATCACGTAAACCTACCAAAGCAACAAGGTTTTCGTTTCTACTTCTTGACGACAACTTACCAACAGCTGAAATGGTCGAACTCGCATAATTAAACCATTCGTTAACTGTTACTAATGGTGGTGCATCCATACCATTTCGTGTTACTTTAGACACCGACGCCATATTTGTGCGAGATTTGACACTCGCAGGTGTGGTTTGACTTTGATCACCTAATGAGAAGATTAATTCTTGATGAACTAAATCAAACAAACAATTATTCATGAAACGCAGCGTGTAAACATTAAACGAGTGACATACTATCATCTTCTTCTCCTCGATTGGTTATAAAATTAATTTGAGGTTCATTCAGCGAAAACAAAGCCCATTGTCGCGCTCGGAAGTTCATGCCATGGAACACAACTATGGTTAAATTATGACCCTGCAGCATAAGTTCGCCGCCGTGCATTCCAATGTATTTCTTGATAATATTGATGTCATATTTTGCCTGTACAGTTGGCGGCTTCTTCGACTTGGAATTCTTCTCTGAACCCTTAGACTTTTTACTATCACGAAAGTCGGACTGAATCGATGCGAGAAAAGTTCTTGAGTTGTTGACATTTTGGTCGAAAAATTCAGTCAATTTCGCCACCATTTTGATGATATCTGGCGTCGTCGATCGTGTAATCATCAGATGTAATTGTGACCAATTCAAATTAAGCAGAACTGATTTAAATGGGAAAGCTGAATCACTGCTAGTATTATTCACAGTTGTACTTGGACGATAATCTTTTAATCGAAGTAATAGGTGACAAATACGTCCCATCAAAGTGGGAGATCCCATGTAATCGAGACGAATCTCAATTGCTTCCGTTAGAATATCAATGGAATGAGAAGCATCAACAAGAATTATTCGATCGCGAAGTTCTTGAAAGATATAGCCTAGAAAAGAAACAAGAGTTGATTTCGTAGGGAAGATTCGAATTACAATGCAGATATATACCTGTTGTACGCAAGTTTTTCAGTCGTATCGTGCCTCCAACGATGCCTTGTTCTGCTTGTAAGATGGAATTTTGCAAACCTAACGAGATGAAGAATGTTCGTTTGCCTTTACTTGTCAATGTTAGACTTCCAGTGGAAGAAACATTCTTTGTATTCCACTCAACTTTCCCCATAACATTCGACATACGCATTGATACATGCAATTCTTTCAACTGAATGGCCAAAATCACATGAGCTTGCTTCTGTAACGTTTTATTTGTTGTGGATGACGCTTGGGTTGGAACGGTGACTTGTGCCATTCGGTAGGGTGTCGGTATTCTTGCTGGTAAGTTCTCATCGCCTAGAAACAACCGACGCGCTAATGAACGATTGTACCAAATTTTCGGAAATGTTAGGATTTCAGTAAAGCGTCGCATATCATATTCAAACTGTGCTTTAGATATCTGTGCAACAACAGATAGTTTGATACTGTTTAGCAATTCATTGTTCTGATCGACGGATATATAACGAGTACGAGATATGTTGATCGACACAGATTGAACACTAACAGCGAGCGCATTACGTGTCTGTAATTGGCCGGAGTGAATATCTTCGAATAGATGTACTTTAGATTCGCCAGAAAATGGATGATAAACGTTTAGTTTGAAATCTTTCATGCACAGTGAAAAACTTAAGCCACCAAGAGAACTTCCTAGAACTTGTTCCGAAGAATTCTCATTGGATGCTGTCGTGTTCTCCGGTAAGGCCCGTTTCGATGATAGAACAACGTCAACAGCAGGTAGACGAAGTTCACATTCCATTGGATGTGTTGGTAAACACGTAAAAAGAAGAACACATGGTTGAATAAAGATACTAACAACAACGTCTATGGGAAATGAGGTTGTCGAAGTCTGTTCTTCCATGAGAAACATTGTATCTAAATGATCATCATCGTTGGTCTGTTCTGCTTTCATTTCTTCACTAAGATGATCGTGCCGAGTCTGTTCACGCGGTAATTTAACATACTCAAGTGTTTGTTCGATGAAATTCAACAAAATTGGGTGAATAAGTATCTGATTGGTGGGTGACTGTATCATAGCACGACAGTGGAAACTTCCACGTTTATTCAATGTACTATTTGTTGTATTATCATGTTCTGAATTGTAATGCGCATCGACGTCCACACCAGGCAGGGAAAATTGTAAAACTTGATATTCGATTTTGTTGATTGTTAGAATCAAACCAATTGCTGCTTGTGTTTGTTGTTGACTTTGCTGTTTAGTTACATTGGGAGTCGATAGAGGATGGGATATTAAATCACGACGTGTGTATAAATTGCAAGAACCATTTGCAATCAGAATCTGGATATTCAATTCCAAATCAACGGCTGGAGTTGATGTGATTTCACTAGGATTTCCATTTGTTGCCGTCGATGTAATCGATTGACGATCCTCTGATTCATGTGATGTTGCACTAGAAGTAGAAGAACAGTGATGTATCTAATCGAATAAGGTCAGATCTATATGAACGAAGCAGATAGGTAAAATAATTAGTTATTCCAAGGCAACCAATAGTCAATATTTAGTACTTAGAAAAACAAAATACCTAAAATATAGAGACTCGAATGGATTTCTCATTCTACAATGATGACAGACGAAGACGTAATATAGCATTTTCCAACAAAACGAACGATGTTTCACTTACCGTGCAGGAATAGATGACGTGCGTGATAAATTATCTTCTGTATCTTCTTCCCGGATGGGTGATGCATATATTTGTGATTGAGGTGTTACCATTACCGAACTAAATAGCAACACATCAATTAATATCAAAGATCACACAAGTCGAAATCATTTGTTTGTTCGTATCACAGATGAACCTTCTATTGTTAGATGATCTCTGTTAAGATTTTGATATGATTACAGTTATGACAAGTAGAACAGGCAAAAGTCTATGCAGCAATGCAGAGTAGTCTTACATTCGTCGATGATCTGCACCAGTTGATGAAGCAAGTGCGGCTGCGTACATTAACGAATAGCGTCGCTCACTATTCGTGTATATGCATGATCGTATCAATCAACGTAATGAAGATTTGTCAATTTGTGCAAAGAAAATGATTACTTACGGAGTCTTTCGTGTTTGTTGAGTAAAATCCAATGGTGATGCTCGGTTTTGACTTGGAACACTCAGCGTCGACAGGATTCTACGGTTACGATCTCGATTGAGAGCGTTCTACATGAGAAAACTGTCGTTAGTCTTCATGTTCATAGAATTTTTCAAAGAGTCATAATGAACACAACGAAATAAAATATGTGGGTTGAAAGCATCAATATTTTTGTCTTTTCTAAACGAATATATTCGTGTGGCGTATACGGAACATGCAGGATGTCTGGATATTGGCGACAAAACATCAACAAATGAATACAAGACAACACTTATAGTCAAACAGAGTAGGCGAACCGTTGATGAATTTGATCTTTGACGAAATTCATATGATTGTTGTTGATGTGGTGAGGTGGGCTAAAAAACTCACGGCTTTTTCTTATCATGTTCTTAAATATTTCTACTAGCACAATTTGGTTATATGTATGAGGCACAAGTTATATAAATGTTGCGAAAAAGATGGGTTGTACTCTTACCTTGTTCGATTGTTTAATTTTCTGTTGGATATCAGTTTTAACTGTGTGTAATAGTTCTTTTTCCAGCCATTGATATCGCGCTTCTTCAGGTTTCAAAGCTTCATCGGGCGCTTGAGATCGTCTATGAACATTTGAACATGTACCAAGTTTAATTAAGATCGTTTGTTCAAACTTACTTTAATGTGGCAATCTTTTGTCCCAAGATGGAATATTCATACTGTAAACGTTTCCTTCGTTCATCATCTTCGCTAGGATCATTATTTTCATTAATATTAATCGAACTTCCTGTTTTCGTCTTTAGTAAATTCGAATCGTCAGATAAATCATTATCGTTACTTGATCGATCCATAGGTTCGATTAAATGAGTGGCAGTAATTGTTCGAATCAATTGTGTGAAACGTTTACCAATAATTGAATCAATATTTATATCAATACCTTTCATATCCCATTGAACATCTAAGAACCACTTTGGACTGTTCGAATTAGGTAGATGTTTTGCACGCGAATGCATTAAGTACCGACCACTTGGTACACAACAGGCGTTTAAAATCGTCTTGGATGCGGAGGAAGAAATCGGTTTCCAGCTACGATTCGTTTGTTTGAAATTTTCAGCAAAACGAAAGCAGAAACCTTCGAAAGAACCCGAACTTATGATAGCACCACATGAACAAGCTGAAATTGTTGTTTGATCGAGTGTGAACACAAGAAAGTCACTGCTTTCTTCCAGATTTGACACAGACTGCCTTGTACCAAGCGTCTGCACATCTGTCGGTGTCAATTTACCCGGTGGATCGATTTGTTGCAATGGAATGGCAACACCTAAGTCAACAATATCTAATTGAAACATTAGATTGAGTTCATTTCTTATTGTCGCTGGTAATGCTTGAACATTCATCAACGAACGTTTTCGCGTAGCAGTGTTGGTTGAAGTTGTAAATGCACCGCGTTGTTCATTCCAATGTTCGTATGTATTTTTGTAATTTAGCCAGAAGAGAATACCTGCAAATGAAAGCCATGCTATCGTACGTCGAAAAAATAAGACAGATTACTGTCATTACCTTTGTCGATAGCACCAGGTTGCCAATAGAAACTTGGTTTAGTTAAACGAATTATATATGCTTCTTTGTCAGGTTCATCGACCTGAAAATGATTTTGGAAATGTTAACGATTGATTGTTATCGGTAGTTACACTTACTTGAAAAGAATTTTTCAAAAGTAATTTCGTTTTAAAGTAAGCTGCATCTTGAAAACCACCGGTGTGGAGTAATTGTCCTAGACTGAGTTTTATGTGTAATAAGGCGTTAATTGATGGTTTGTTGTAAAAAAGTAAGGCGTTTTGTTCATCGTAATTGGATAATTTCACAAAGATAGGTAGATTTTTATCGCCGTTATGAAATCTCACGACTGTATTCGATGGTGTTTGTCCGATGACTTCAAAACCTTTCATAGATACGTCAATTTTATAAGTGAACGGCGTTTGTGTTGATTTTTCTTGTTCATCGTCGTCAATTAGGTCCTCTTCACTATCGATTGGTGATTTGGACTTGAGTTCGTTGTCTATCGGTTTAGTTGATCCGAAGGAAAATTGATTCAAGCCAGACACTTTCGCGAGAATTTCGTTGATTTCATGTATAATAACTCGGGAAACAAAAACCAATTGGGCTAGAAAATCAGCCGTAATTGTTAATTTGAGTGCATCGATGTTTGTACGCAGATTTAAATGTCCTTTCGGCCGATTGTCTTGCTCTTGTTCATTGGTATAGTTTCCATAACAACGTATCTGTGGAAAATCAATTCGAACGTGATTATCTGAACTAACCGTGGGCAATTGATGAAGATCACTTGTCGCGTTATTTAGAAAATGCAGTGCATGCTCATGAACAATTGCTGTAAACCGTGATGTTGTACTACCAAGACTGGCAACACCTTCGACAACTCCAATTTTATATTGTGCCTTTAACGTCGATAAAAGTGTCGTGGAAAACGTCATGCCTTGGCAATGTGCTGTGATGTGAACTGTGAAAACGGGTCGTTTCGATGCTGAAGAAATACTTTGTCGAGTTTCGATTGTTTCATGACGAAGATTTGAAGCTAATGTTAATCTACGTCGAATGTGTGAACGTTTCTTTTGTGGCGTATGTTCCGATACAGTTGGAGCATTTGATTCATTAATTGTGTTATTTAGGTTTGTTTCCATCTGTGGGTCTTCATTGCCGATGTCTTTAGGGATCGTTGACAACTGTTCTGTGTCAGCAGGAAGAAATTCTTGAACGTAAGAAGTAATTAAGCGACCTGCACGGTTCACTAGATCATGAACTTCTTGCGGTCGTAATGGTACATCCATCGCAATAGTACCGATGTTGGTTACACCACTCAATGTTAAATTCATGCCACGTGTTTGCAAAGATGTCAATGCACGAGATTTTCCGATGATAATATCAAGTACGGAGATTTCCCGAGCCGTTGATGATGTATTGGTTGAAGTTTGATGTGAATGGACAGCAGTGTTGATAAGACTTCCATCGTTAGATGTAGAGAGCGTTTCTTTCAGTGACAAAGACGTCGAACCGATCTGAACAATCAACGATCCATCATATCTAAATAGAGATCGATCGAGAGGTTTTTTTTCTTCTATCTCAGTTAATAACTTCGATTTACTTCTTTGCGTTTTGATTGATCGTGTTCGGTTGTACCGTCCGAAGTCGTTGTGATAAAGTAACACTACCTTGTACTTTACGCATACAACCATCTACTTTCAAACTACCCAATGTAGCTGTTGAGTAGATTTCATCAATAATTAGCCATCCGAATACGGACAACAGCAGATTGTCATTCTGTGTATTGATCGATTGTGGTGGTACTGAAGTAGTACTATCGGTCAGTACTGGCAGGACGTTTGGTTGCTTGGAACGATCAGGAGGCGTCGCTCTAACTTCTGATTGTTGCTCATGAAGAGCAACAAATTCTCGTAATTTCGTCCAACATTGTATTTCAGGATCAATGGAAGTGTTGTTCGGAGGATGGAGGAGACTCGATTGTACAGATCTCAAAACAAGATTCTCTATTCCATGTTCAGCTCCATCTATCATTGTACTCGTTCGTGAATTGATCGCATAGAACTCTTCCTGTTGTTGAACAGCGTTATTATCCGGCTTTATTATTTCATCAATGCCTGTATACTCCACTGCATTACCAACTACCATATAGAATTGATAAACAATACGTAACAAGGATAAATTAACTTCTTGTTTAACGCTTTGAATACGAATACCAGCTTGAACGTTAGCTGAATGTAATTGATCGTGTTGCAGTGATTGTCGAAAAACACTTTGGATGTTTAGATTCGTTACACCAAGAATGGATGATTCAACAGATGAATTTAAACTTAGTGATTGAGTGTTATGAATGACTTCGTTCGGCAAGATTTTGACATCGATCTTTTTAATTTGAATCGATGCTAAAACCGTCTGGCCTAATTTTTCAAATAAGGGTTCGATTGATGATGTCACAGATAGTTCTACACCAGCATACTCAAGTAGAATTTTGAATAATTGTTCAACGGATCCAGATAGATCAGGTCCAACGTCTGCTAGAGTGATTTCAGTAAATGAATTCGTACGATTTCGCTTATTTGCTCGTGTACGAGTAGCACTATCATCAGCATCGGATTCGTCAGGAGCCACATTTAATCGCGCATAACCAAGAGTATTATTTACATTTGCTGTTGGTTCCAGACGTCGAAGAGTTTCACCTTTAATAAACAAAAATGCATTCATTCATTTTCTTCTTGTAATCGAAAGCATATCAATCATGCACGTAGGTCTTGAGTATAAAAATGGATACGTATATAGATTAAGATACGTGTCGTATAGTGGAAATAAGCACAAACCCTGCACGGGTTTATTCTTTAAGCAAGAGTGCTTAATTTGATATCAAGAGCGAAGATTTCTCTTCGTGTTTTTTTATTGCTGTACAAACCTTACCTTCTTCAAATGCTATATTTACATGACCTCCGGATGGTGCTATAATAATTTAGAGATATACTCGTGCATATGATACTGTGCGAAATCAATATATGTATGGAGCAAAGATGAAATTGTAAAATCACATGCTTTTTTTCCGGATACAAATAGTTAACTCCAATAATCTCCTGATATCTCTTCAGTAGACAATTTAAACGATGTTTACCTATCAAACTTGATGCACGACGACGTTCCGGGACTGAAGATGGCTCTTGAACCAATTCGATAATCGTATCTCTTGTACTTGCATTGGATCGTGTGTTTTGCACAGTCATGCGTCTTCGAGCTGCTGAACTGGATCTATCGCTTGCTCCAGCTGCCGATGAATCCCGTGTAAACAAGCTTTGAAGGCGACCGCCTACTGTTGGCGTCCGTGCGCGCATGACAACTGTTGGTTGTTCTTGCTCATTACTATTTGTCGGTAGTATACTATCGATAGGTGATGTTGTTGTTGTAGACGATGGCACTGGAGGATTGATATAGAGATGAAAATGAGGTTGTCGTTTAAATATTTGAGTCCATTCTCGACAAGCTTCGCGAATACCTTGCTTTAATAGTTTCTTGTCTGGTAAAATATGTGGCTGTAGATTGATATTTATATGTTGACTTTTATTGAAGCGTTTCCGAAGTTCTGTCACAAGTTGGCAGACGGGATGAGAAAGCAGGTACTTTGTTTTAGGTGTAAATAGTTCGTAGAATTTACTTTCTGGTAATGTAAATTCAGGTTTGATTTCAATGAGAAAATAAGCTAGCACAGCATCGATACGTTTTTGCCGCTGTTGAAGAAAATGTTCAATCGGCTTCTGTACACGATCCAGAACACAGAACCATCCGAGAATAGTTGGAGATAATGTCGAAAGGAAATTCCAATCAAACCGTGTGTACGAGAAGTGCTTTTTCGGCATGGTATTCAATTGAGTTATGCTTGTAGTGCTCGTACGTCGACGTTTCGAATTCGAATAAGTATGACGCGGAGGTTCAGGAAATGTGATCCAAACATGATCGATCGAACCATCGAAAACACTGCTTGACGAAGGATTTGAAACTACTGAAGTTGTTGCTTTGACCGTCGTTGGCGAAGAGGCAGCTGCCGTCGGAGACGATACGGAAGGCTAGAAATATCGAAAAATTCGTACATATGAAGATAACGAATAGGATTTCTATAAACTTACGTCCGTCGATTGTTTTCTTTTAGATTTCTGTTTTGCTTGTGTTTTCACTGGGTGTATTTCATCGATTTGCGTCATGGTTGGTAAGATGAGTTTTTTCTCCAGTTGTTGTTTCGCGGCGTTGTTTATTAATTTAAAACAAAGCCGTTGAAAACCAAATTCATTCATAACATATCCGAGATTCGTTTGGTTATTACTCATAGGTAAATGCGTTTGGATATCAGTAGGTATGTTAAATTGTAATCGACAGCGTTGAGATTGGATCGCATGGATATTAACATGCTCGATAGAGGAAAAATCATTTTCGAAACGACGAAATTGTCCTGTTAAGGATTGAATTTTAAACACACCGGTCGTCGATTGATCACGATTGGATAAAATCGTTTCCATTTGAATTTGTTTACATGATAGAGCAAATAGTGACATTGTCACAATATCCACTGGTGTTCGTAGTTCAGTTAATTGTACATTATCCTCAGCAAGACCGGCTTGTAAAAGGCAGATGTTGATTTTCGGTAATTGTAACGAAATTTTCGTTGCCGAAAGATCGATGGATGTCGATGGCGAATTCGACGTCGTCTGAGCTTGAAAGTGAAGACCATCGAGAATGGACATTGGATGAAGTTCGTAAGTTTTCCATTTGTCAATGTATGTATTGAGACACTCGAGCATCAATGGAGTGCATAGAATGTTTAGAGCACCAATAAATCGAAGGCATACTTCCCTTTCTGTGGCAATGACATTCGATGAATATAGGGTAGACAAAGTCGGTGCAACAGATAGACGCGGTCGTGAATTTGCTGCTGGGAATTGTGAACGTGATGGTGTTGGTTGCGATGATTCGGATAAGTATGAACAAGAGAAACCATTTGAAACACAATTGAAATCAAGTAACGGCTGAAGATTGATTTGGTCTTGTCGAATGATTGGTGGGAAAGAGGCTTGGCTTGACCAGGTCGTTGACCGATAATGAGATAGATAACGAATATAAGTCGTGGATAGTAATGTCGATTTTGGTATTGACATTTTCATCTGATTTCGCAAACTGATCCATGATGAGCCAGGTAACGATGATTGAGGAATTGATTTATTCTCGGTAGATGGTTGAAAAACCTAGAAAACGGAAAAGCTTTTTCGGAATAGATTTAAGTTAAGCAAACCTTTTGTGGTGATGATGTTGCTCCTTGCTGTTGTTCTTTCAATATTTCTTCCAATGCTGTCAATGAATCCGTTGACGTAGATGAATATGAAGATCTCGATAATGAATCATTCTGTTCGTCCGAGATTTCACTCGGTATATTTATACGAACAGACGGTGGAGACAAGTTTGTTGGTGAATCATGCGGTACAGGTGTTAACGACATGATTGATACCGATTTTGTTTGATTATTCTGATGTAAACTTCTTTGACTGGAATAATGCGATGATAACTGATCATTCGGAGTTGCATAAGCATCATTGAGTGTGCCCGACGACGAACCCACCACATCTTCATTCTGACATGCGATCGATGAAGATGAACGTTTGTGCGATTTCGGTTCAGCGAACGACTTGTGTCTAAGATTTCTCGCCGAATTCGATCTTGAAAATGTAGAGAGATTTGCAGGTACACTATGTGGTGAATAATGTTCAGTTAATGTATTATGATATGTCTGTGTTTGTGCACAGAAATCGAATGGATAAAAAATTTCTTCGTCGTTCAATCGCTCAGTTGGCCCAGATGAATGACTATAGGTATGCCAGTTGTATTTATGTTTGAATATTGGATGAGAATGTATAACATGGACATCGGGCTGAAATAATGATAGACCAAACGACGGTTGTTCGCTGAGACGAAATGTACTTCTGAAGAACTGTTCGCCTTGAACAAGAGTGTAGTAATGTGGTGATCCACCCAGACATGCACAAGCAAATGTATTATATGGTAGAGCAATAGTTGATGGCCGTTTCGCACCCGTTGCTCCTGACGATTGTTGAGACTTGGTTGTGTAAAGAAAATGAAGTCTTTGAGAATGTTGATCATGCCGACGGAGAAACTCGAGTTGTTCATTGGTATTCGCTAGTGCCGGACTATGGCAGTCGAATTTGGCATTGATTCGCAATTCAGGTATTTGAACCGAGCCGGCTTCTAACCATGAACCAGGATGCAAACGAAGTAATTGTCGCATTTGAATAGCACCCACTTTGAGAGTCAGGCCTTCATTACATGTACTTGTATGCATGTTACACATACAAAGACGAACTGGTGCGACCTACGAAGTCATAGAGATAATTTTGACGTGTTGATTATCAAATAGAGTATTCATACCTGTACGTTAATAGCATTTCCAGTTTCAATTAGGTTTAAATCGACTGAGTCCAAACTAAATCGAAGAACATCGTATTTCAATTTCTCAATCCATTTAGTTTTATCCATGACTGGCGAACGGACTAATGTGTACTCCTCTTCCATAATTTGCAAATAGAAATTTTTCACAAAACCGAGCATCTTCTCCATCTATTAAGCAAGAAATTCAATTTCAAAGAAACAAAGTTGACTGTATTCGACATACTTGAATCGTTGTCAAACGAGCTGAGATCTTTCCTAAAAGAATTTCCATTTGCCATGCGTATTCTAGTGTTTCACGTTCCGGTGGTAAACCTTCATGAGAAAGCATCGCATGTCCACGAATAATCAAACCAGATAACTGAAGACTTCCTGTTGATAGGTGATAATCAGATTTATTTCTCTAAATCGGAAATGAGCCCAATCATATATTTCGATTCATCGGCAACTTACAACAATCGTATCTTCAACATAAACATTGACAGGTAAAAACAAGACTTGCAATCGTGTTTCATTCAAATCAGTTGTCATTTCTACGCAGAGCCGTTCACAAAAACCAATGGGACTCGGCGCATGCTCGGTGTGCTAAAATCAAGAACTTTGTTTTTCCAATGCGAAAGAAAACATTAGAATTTTATATTACATGAAGAAGATGAAGTGTTACATTATGGAGTGCAACTCGTAGGGTCACCATCAACGGTCGAAAGTATCTAGGATCAAACGGGCGACTTTCATCGATCATATCTATCAACGGATCGTCATGAACGACAATTTTATTCTCCCTTATGAGATCAGGTTCGCGTATGTCATGGAAAGACTGGTCCCATCCGAATAAGTTTTCCTGAAGAAGTCGAATGATATCGAATGGGTAAAAGACACGCATTTCTAAAACTTACCTTTACCCACCAGAGTTTTTTCAAAAAAAAACCATGCAAAAGTAAATTGACAGGACCAATATCAAGTTCAAGATTGAATACATCGTATTTAAGTTTATTCGGATGGAACGTGTGTCGATTGCCCATAGATTTGATTTGTTGCACGTGTAAAAGGTCTATACTTCCGATCGAAACCCTAGTTCAACGTTCTGCAAAGTATTTGCTTTTCTTACCTGTGCGATTCATGTCAACTGGCGGTGAGGAATGAAGCAGAATTTGAACTAAAATTTTGATTTGATTGACTTCACCACATTCAAAACATCCATTCCTACAATCATTATCGTGAAACTGATCGGGATTTGAAAAGATAGTTATCGTGAACTAACCGTTTTTCGAAAATATCTGATAATGACAGGTGAGATTTAATACCATCAGGTGCGTAGAATTGTTTATGTGCATCGAGTCCTTCGACAATATAAAACATTCGATTACTTTCCGGTATCACAAGACGAGCAAGTACATCATTGACCTACATAAATCCAGTTGTTTTACACGACTTGAAAAATTGAAAACATACTTCGATGTTCAAATCCATTGGAGTTGATACTGGACAAAATTCGAGAAACGGCAGTGGATATGTTAAAACAAGCGACTTTGCACACAGTGAAACATAGGCTAAAAACGAAGAGAAAAGAAATTTTCAGCAGAATATCTTTTCGTTTTACTATTTTCTGCAGCTTTGTCATTCGAACAATCAATCCAATTGCCTTGATTGCATGGTACTAGAACTTCGACTAATTCACCATGCAAAGTGATGTTGTAAATAAACGGAGTAAATGAATAGATATCCGGCGGTACAGATGAGCCGAAATCAGTAATTAATGCTATTCATACATCAACAAAACGTAGGCATGAATAGACAAAAGAAGAAGTGTCACCTTGGAAGAAATTCTTATGTTCGAAAACAAAGTAAACTTGAGCTTTTTTGGCATCGATATCTATGATCCAGTCTTGTAGTGAATTCCACAAGCGTGGATAATGAATATGCACTTTAATCTAAATGCAAATCGGATTCTTGCTTTGTGGAATGTTGAAATAGGTTGTTACTTCAATATTTTCTGTGTGGAGAAATGGTGTGAATGGAAGATTCGTTTGAGCAATTGTTTCACCGATATTGATTGATAGAGATGTATCAAAACCATCTGGATTAGTTGAAAACGGAAGTATGGTCTCGAAAGATGATCCTTTTGAAGGACATTCCAGATGAAGTTGTTGAAGTTTCTAGAAGAATGCAGCTCTCATTGAAATACAACAAAGAAAAAAAGAAGTATTCATTGCAAACCGTTTTATTCATAAAGTAAAGATCGAGTATAGTTGGACAGTTGAGTAATAGTTTAAAGCGCACAGATCGAAATATCCGTGTTTGACCAACCAATGGTTCAGCTGTGACAGCAGATTCTTCATATAGTGTAGGAAGAAAATATTGCCACAATAATTCTCTAGGTATAGAACAACGATTGAGGGCATCTTTTACAGAGAGAAAAGAACAGATTGACTCACCTCTGTCGATCAGCCCACGGTCCATAGGCAATTTTCGTTTTTTTATTACATTTCATACGAATTTCCCAAGCAACATCAGGTACTACTTGACCATTTTCTAATGGCTCACTCATTTTACCGGGAACATCTTGTTCATATTCAAGTTCGCCTTCGGGGCATTCGAAGATTTGCACTGCATCTTTTGCCGTACCTTTTGTAGTTGGAATCGGCGGTGGCCTATGAAATACATACATACAATCATCAAAGATCGTATGTCCTATTTTGTCACACATTCCTCAGATGTTTTCATTCTGTTCTCAAATATTCTATCGCATATTTCGATCGAATCTAATACATTCCAAACATAGCTTACATTTCTCTTATTCCTTCTTTATATTCACTAATAGGAATCAATTGAATCTGAAGATTTCGATATTTTAGACTGTACAGTAATGTCATGGGATCGATTTCCGGCGCAGTTCTTGACGGTGATTGACTCGTAAATGTACTGTTCATTGTACTGAAACGTAACGATAAGCCGTACGGCAATGTATGATGTCCAACTGAGATTCTTCCCTATAAAATATATCAGTAGTAACATTCGGAAACGAAATAAATTTAAAAAAACTCACATGTTCAACTTTTATTTCGACCGACGGAAAGAGACTCCGTAAACTGTTAACAAAATTGCTTTCGTCGTTGCCTTTCGTCGTGTTCACACTTTGTGTATCGTCCACTCTTGCCGATAATCTTTTAGAAAAATCAAGCATTTCTCATCGAAAAAACTCGAACTTCTCATTCGTTTACCCGTTCATTGATTCTCTGTGTAACTCATCACTTGAATTATTCACTTCGGCAAACGTGTTCGACCGTATTGGACTAAATATTTGCATATCAAAATGATACAGATGAATTTGCAAGCGTATCACAGGTTTTTTCTTCACTTTCGACCAATAACGAAAAATCAAACAACCATCCTTTACAAAAACGAAATAACTTCCTGTTGTATAATGTAAATTTCTAAACATAATTTTGCCCGAAATAAATGATACGGAAAACGAATCAAATTTGATATGTGATGCATCTTTGAAATAGAATCGTTGTAATATGTGTGAAAGTACAATGCCTTGTATACGCGAATGGTATAGAATTATATAGAGCATCCAGATTATTGTAAAGATGTAAACAATTACAAGCAGTGGAATTTGTTCGCGATGTGATTCAAAATAATCAATAATTTCATTTGAGATCTCTTCAAGCGTCGAAGGAGTAGTTGTAGTTGAATTCGAATTCACATTCGTCATGTTAAAGGATAGTTTAGAGACTGCTGACGTGGTTGTTCGAATTAACGACTGCATTGAATTTAGTTTCTTTTTTTTTCTTTACAAAACCTATGTGTGTTACTAAACTTGTTGCCTTGTTGGAGCCGTTGAAGTGAGGTAACGTTTAATTGGCAAATTCATGAACCAATACAGTTCGGCACAAGAGCGATCTCTGTCGACAAGTTATGTTGGGTCGCATTTTCAAGACAAGTGGCAAGCTATCTTTATAATTCGAATAATTATCATTCATTTATAACGATTTCCGATGGCTTGAGATTTTTTTTTCAGGAAGTCAAGTCACTCGTCATTTCCTTGAAGGAAAATCAGCTCGAATCGCTTGAGATTTGAAGATTTCGCTGCAAACGTTCAAACACTGAGCTTCATCACATGTTTTCGCGCGAGACCAGATAATCCTATTACTGAGGATGAGACACTCACTGCAATAAGAAGCTTGTCAGGCGTCTTTTAATCAATGCTTTTTCAAGTTGAATGCAATCACATGCCGGATTCTTTTTCTTTCATGTTTAATCTTTACACTTTCGGATTTGTTCCGTTGACGAACAAAATACTATCATTATGTTTGTTCAATCAAAAGAAAACTCAGTGTTATTGATTTCAGAAGAGAAAAAGAGCACTGTTTTGCGTTTCAGATCTATTTTTATACAGCCAATTTTTACATAGAAATCAATTGAAAATAAAAACACATATTTGCTGATCAGTTATAGTTTTTTTTTCTTTATCATCCGTATTCCGTTCTCATATGCATACATACACACGCACAGGTAAAGAAGAAAATAACGACACTAGTAAAAAAGTGAGTGAGAGAAGAAATATAAGAGAAAAAAAACGTTTTTTTTTGCACACTGAGATACGAGAACCATCAAGGCTTGTCATTGTCATTTTTGCGTAAGAAAACACATAGATAATTGTTGCTCTCTTCTNAGAAAATAACGACACTAGTAAAAAAGTGAGTGAGAGAAGAAATATAAGAGAAAAAAAACGTTTTTTTTTGCACACTGAGATACGAGAACCATCAAGGCTTGTCATTGTCATTTTTGCGTAAGAAAACACATAGATAATTGTTGCTCTCTTCTGACTAGATGCACGGGTAGAGTCAGTATAGACAATCAAATGTTTGTCTTCGAAATCTTGGCAAACCAGTACCAATCGATATCATAGAATAGTGGAAGAGAAGAGAGAAAGAGCCGAAGCGATATCCCAACGACTAAATCCGTTTGGATTCATGTCAGGATGACTTTGATGATATTTCGGCTGTCGTTCGTCGTTGCACGGGATAAGTTGTACGACGTAACAAGTTTATATATAGCTCGGATTTCAGAAAACGTTGGTAGGAATCTTTTTCCATTAAACCTTGGATACGTCGTTGAGCACGATCAAATGTTTCCAAAGGTGGATTATCAATATTTGCTATAGTTGACATACGAGTCTCAGTGTCAAGATTCACCTGAAAGCAAATGTTTGTGAGAATAGCTTTGGCAAAGTTTTACTCGAATACCTGTTTTGGGGCACCAATAGCAATGAAATCCATGTAGATCTTCTTTGCTTTCGCAGAACGTTTCGGTTCTTTGCAAGTTCGAAAATCGTCACACGCAAGCCAGAACTCGAGATTTTCTTCACTGAATTCTGTTCGTAGAAATGCACGAAATAACGCTTGGCCATCTAAAACAGCGCTTAAGTAACGATACTCATAAACAAAGATGAAAATGTTTACATCGATGTCGAAGAAGTGCATCGAATGATTCTTCCCATAGTTGAACATCTTCTCGTGATGGTATGAGACTTTTTTCGGATAGAGTGGCTTCAGTGGTACGACGTCGAATCAAATTAGCCGCACGTGATTTGAAATCTTTTGCTCTAGAGAAGAGTATACAATCAATCATCAATTCATAGACAAAAACCATGTCTTATTTCCATACATTATTGCTGCTTTAGATTTCTTCTTTTTTGTCATATCTGTCGTTGATGAATTACTTATTGCAGATACACGATTGTTTGAATCGTCGTCTTCACTAACGTATATTGCGAGTTCCTGAAAAAGAAACAAACAAATAACTTAGATGCATGAATATGTATATATCATTCGTCGTTACTTTTTCTACTCAAGTTTTACTTCATCATCTATATACATCAATGGGAAGAAGAAGAAGTAGAAGATGCTCGTCTAAACAATCTGTAGTGATCGATATAGTCTATTGCGTTTCTTCTCTCACATCTATTAGATTTTTTTATAGCCATCTGGCGGAGAAAGAGAAAATGTGAGAGCGAAACGTTGAACATACATACACTTAAACATATGCATCGACGTCATTACTAGTCTCTGTATTTCTTTTTTGCCTATCATATGTAATAAGACTCGTATGACGTCACTGTACTGTTCATCTATTCTGAGTTTCCTTTCTTCTTCTTCTTCTTCTTTTTTTCCTATCTGACTGTTTCTATCAATGTCTGTACATGTTCATCTCTGCTCATGGTTCGGACGAGAAGAGGAAGAATATCTAGACAGTACAAATGTCTTGTACGTTTTGCTTTCGGCTTAGCGCGCGATTCTCAAAGGCTCATTGTCGATTCGTTCCTCGCCGAAGTAGGATACAAAGAAAATCTACATTCACACAATGAAATTGAACAGATAATAGGAGGAAATGAGTATACTTTTCTATCGATCACAAAATAATTCTTGCCAAATAAAAGAATTTCTTCCTGACTTAACCGTAAACAAGAGAATAATAGATTTCTTGTTTTCCATCAACAACTACATGAATACATTTTATCTTTCTCTTGTAAAGTCATGATTCGAAAGCAAATGAATCAGAGTGAATTACTTGTCAAATAGAACTGCAATCATCAATACTTAAGCAAAATATCGATGTCATAAATAATCATACTTGACAATTTCATCTCGATGGAGAAAAAAATTAGACATACGGTACTTAAGCGGATGTTTTCTCACGAATTCATATTTACTCAATGACTCAAATTAAAAAAGCTAGAATGATCGCGTATCTTGAAATACTGTGAATAAGAGCTGAGAAAAGAAACTGACAAATAATTCATCTTAAATTCATTTCTCTTCTTTTTTGTCACGAATAGGCATAGTAGAAGAAGAATGAATGTTTATTAGAACAAAAGCAAAAATGTCGACTATAAACATGATTTCTTCTTTTCATCTCAAGAACTGGATAAGAAACCTTAGAATCAGTTTCTTGTTATCTTTATGAGTTGTTCAAACAGATTAATTTACAAGAAAAACAACACGAAACATCGATGCCGACAAGAAAACTAATGCATCAAGTGTCAAGAACTTGACTTTCGTATAGATTACCTTCTGTCGATGTAGAACATCATCAGGACTACGTGAACGTACATGTTGCAAAGGTTTAAGCTGATTGATTGTCGTTGCTGAACGCGCGCGATAGAAAGGTAATAGGGAGGACATAAGAATGTTTCAACGTGTTCCCAGCACACAATATGAGACAGAAAGTGCGAATATGTTCACACAAAAAGAAAAACGTCGACCTGCGACGATAATTGTCTCTCGTATTCAATTCTTAACTATTGATCATTTATGCGGTGTATGTGTAGCTGTTGGAGTATGAAAATGACGGCGACTACGACGGCAACGTCAGAGACGAAGAAAAAAAGAAGTACCACCACCACTATATTGCTGAAGACTAGACGTTCGCTCGCACTCGCATGCATAAAAAAAAAGAACAACAACAACAAACGGCATGCTTCACTCCGTTCTCTCGTTCTTCCTGTGATGCGAATTAAAAAGTTATGGGGGTGTGCGATTAGATGAAAACTCGATGAGAAGTAAGCAAAACGGAATAGAAAGCGAAAAGAAAAGGAAAGGAAAGGAAAGGAAAGTCGAGTTGTTTGAGTAAGAAGAGAGTGATCTCTGAGGAAGTTGACACATGTAATCGATTGATACGTTTTGTCAATATGAAAAATGAAGAAAGAGAGAAGCGCAGGGATAAAATACATGCACCAAACTCAACATAGAAGAACGTCGCAATAGTTTATAATGATTATCATCATTGTGTTGTTTTCTTCGTTCTTTTCTTTTTCTCTCTTCTCTTGTTGTTTGCCCTAAGGCAATAAGCAACAAAAAAAAAACTACTACATCATTTAAGGGACCGGAAATGGGATACCATAGTCTCAATTGAAAACAATCTAAGAATGAAGCGGCATAACTTGACAGTCATAACATGATTCTTATCAATGCCATCTTCTCTTTCCGTCAGATATTCTAAAACATGACTTGAAATGGATTCCAAGAGATTATATGTAGATCTCCTGGTAATCAAATTCAACAGAAAACAATATGTATTTCATTTTCATCGAACTGGATGACTTTTTCCGTTTTCATAACCAGAAACGATCGATTAAAAACAATTGAAATATTTTAACTAATGATATCTGTCTATCAATCAGATTTGTGACATCAATAATGGGACAATAACATAGTCTTGAAGGTTACCAGCAATGATCTGACAGAATGTCATGTGGAGAAGAAAAATTTGCTTACCGGTCTTATTTGACTAGTTGCTGCTGTTGTTTGCAGTTGATGTGACGATGACGATGATGATGATGATGCCTGTTCGGTTGGTGTTGTTGTCACTTCACTTTTACTACGAGGTAAAGCTCTTTGTTGGACGTCGAGCCAATTTTCGAACGTCTTTTTACGCATCTCAGGCGACGGATTCGATTGCCTTACGTGAGACAATGTTAAATATTGTTCATATAGTGCTAGCTCTTCAGAATCATCGATACTTGATGTTCCACTTATTGAAAACTCAGGTGCACTTGATGCTGTGCTCGTCGTCATGATCGATGATGACGAAAACATCGGTAAAGTAGTTAATAATGGAGTTTTGAGAAACGATAAAGATGATGTCGATGATGGGACTGATTCAAGCGAAGAATCAAACTGTGACGAATGTTTCGTTATCGAGGCTTGTTGAACAGTCACTTTAACGCGTGGTGTGACTGGCACTGGCGAAAGAGTCGGGGGAATC